GTGTATGATTGAAAACTCGGTTGTTGCACTCTTTCCATATCACCCAAGCCACCAGGATGACAATTGAATCGAAGCCTCCTTTTTGGGTTTTGTTGAGTCCTCGATACGTGTTAAACCACCATGAAGCAAAGTCTGTTTGCCGGACTGGTAGGTGTTGCGGTATCTGCAAAGCAGTCAGGATCACCCACCAGACCTGACAGGACTTGGGGCATTGCACCAGAATGTGGTCAATGGTCTCCACTTCTTGATCGCAGAAGAGGCAATTCCACCTGTGAGAAAATCAAACATCTTTGTTAAGGAGTGTAACTGGAGCACCGGCTATTATGTTTCAAACTATACCAATGATAATAGAACAGGCTAGTTGGACTGTGTTTAAATTCTAGTTTCACATAATAACCTTTGTAGACAATTTGGTATAACTAATTCACTCGTTTTCTTGATTGTGCACAGCCTTGGGCACAGGCAGCTCTAGGCTGTATGATGTGCAGCTTGAGTTGATCTACTACTTCTGTTGCACACATGATCACAATTTTATAACATTTGTGTCCTTACCACCGGCTTGCTTCTTGATGTTTGTGGGATGTGGATAAAATAATCATAATGCATGAATGAGCTTGCATAATTAAGTGAAGATAATCTGTTATATTTAAATTAGAGTAGCACATGCAATCACCTGTCTGTACAGTAGATATTGCGATGTTCATCCATGGTTGGAGCCTTGGATGCATGCTCTGTATAGATGCTTTTATGTTTGTCTACTCTACATTATCTTTAGGATATGTGATTGAAGGCGATTTGAATTTTGATATTTTATGGCAGATGGTTCGCCCTGTTGCTGTGGAGGATGTAAAGAGAGAAGTGAAGATTCTTAAAGAACTTAAAGGCCATGAGAATATTGTTCACTTCTACAATGCGTTTGAAGATGACTCATATGTATATATTGTGATGGAGTAAGTAGTTATATACTAGCTTCTCTTACATTTCGTGCACAATGTTATTTGCTATATACACTCCTTGCACTTACATTTTATTTCTACCTAAATCCTAATACGTCTTTACTGCCAGTTGCATTCTCTATCATTTGTTTACAGTATATGAATATATACACAGTTCTTCCAAAATCACATCTCGAATTCATGTCTTCATGGCAATAACCATTTATATGGTCAGAACTCTTAGTATGCTTTACCATTTCCCCTTGCTATGCCCCAATAGTTTCCAAGATTATCTAAAGAGAGTATGCACGACCACATATGATTTCCATCAGTCATACGGTACCAACCCTTGCTTCCTTTCTATTTTTGCAGACTATGTGAGGGTGGTGAACTATTGGACCGGATTTTGGCAAAGTAAGATTAGATATATCCTCCATTTCTTCTTCTGTAGTTGATACATTTTCTTCTATCTTTTTGTGTCATCATTCTTTAGTTTCCATTCCCGTACAGCTTCTAGGGCCATAAGGCCATTACTTACTGGCACCTTCCATTTTGTCAGAAAGAACAGCCGTTATAGTGAGAAAGATGCTGCAGTGGTGGTGCGGCAGATGCTCAAAGTGGCAGCTGAGTGCCATCTGCATGGGCTAGTTCACCGAGATATGAAGCCCGAGGTAGAAATTGAACGCTTTCAATGTCTTGGCAATTAGTGTACATTTTGGTGATATTTCATTACTTCTCAGGTCATGTAAGAATGTACCTATTTTCCTTCCCAGAACTTCCTTTTCAAATCAACCAAGGAGGACTCACCTTTAAAGGCAACAGATTTTGGTCTGTCAGACTTCATAAAACCAGGTATTTATTTCAAGAGCTTTTGCTTATGTGCATCTTTGCTATGTGCTTCCAATTGTTGCTTCTGATTTGAGTAGGACATACAAGTCTGCAGTTCATTCATTGTTTTCTTTCATTACTGTAGGGAAAAAGTTTCACGATATAGTTGGCAGTGCCTATTATGTAGCACCAGAAGTTTTAAAACGACGGTCTGGCCCTGAGTCAGATGTTTGGAGCATAGGAGTCATAACTTATATTTTGCTCTGTGGGAGACGCCCTTTTTGGAATAAGACAGAGGATGGCATATTCAGAGAGGTAAGTGATGAACTGTTCCCAAGCTTTTGCTTCAAGCAAAATGTGTTTGGTGAGAGTGCCAACCTTTTACTCTGTTGTCGGTGTGCTTATGTGATGGAGGACCAGTGTTATCTACATTTCTTCAAGTTATGCGGCATTGTTACCCTGTTAACGATGTGTCAGTTTTTATAAGCATAGCTTGTATTATTTTTCACACGGTAGGGCACTTGGCTACTTGGTCAGGCTGTCCTTGAGTGATGTCTGAACTAGCTGTCTAAAATACAGCCTCATCATATTTTGTGAATGCTACTCCCTCCGTCCCAAAATATAAGCATTTTTAGCTATGAATCTGGACAACTGTGTGTCCAGATTCATAGCCAAAAGTTGTTATATTTTAGGACGGAGGTAGTAATGTTATGACTATTAGAGTGAGTAGCAAAATTGAACTTCACTTCTAGTTTCAATTAGTATGAATGGGCAACCTGTGGTTCCAACAGCCTTAGCAACCAATGTTCCAGTGCTTAGTTCTAGACAGCTGGCACCATTTGAGTATAGAATCCTCTTAGGACCATTATTCCCATCAGACTATGCTAGATTTTTTTTTTTGAATTACGTGTATTTACAGAAGGAGAACATTTTCAGTCTTATCCGTCATCTTGCCGTATGTCTTCTGCCAGCATATGCCACGTCAGAGAACATTTCCACTTTATTTGTTGAATTAGAAAATAACGATACAGAGAAAATAGGCATTCAACTCAACCTGTGAATGCAGTTACGTACTTAGGTAGTATGGTTTCCCTCTTCAATGAACCAGCATTTTGTTGTAATGCTGATTATCTTTGTGCATTTAAATCAACATAGACATCTTGTGGTGTACATAATCTTCTGCATCCCCTTGCCTTCTAATAATCAGGTACTAAGAAACAAGCCTGATTTTCGTAAGAAGCCTTGGCCAGGCATCAGTTCAGGTGCTAAAGATTTCGTTAAAAAGTTACTTGTAAAGAACCCAAGGGCAAGATTAACCGCTGCTCAAGCTCTCTGTAAGTTCCTACATCTAATCTAAGATAGTCTTAATACAATAGTAGTGAATCTTCGTCAGCTGTCAATCCTTACTGTCCTGTTTATGCTTTGATATGTTTAGCGCATCCATGGGTAAGAGAAGGAGGAGAAGCATCTGAGATCCCTGTTGATATATCTGTATTGTCCAACATGCGTCAGTTTGTCAAGTACAGCCGTTTTAAGCAATTTGCTCTGAGGGTAAATTTTGTGTGCAACTAATCTTACATATCTTTTCTCACTATATGTTCCTAATGATGTTGGTTTCTTTCATGCTCAGGCTTTAGCAAGTACACTAAAAGAGGAAGAACTAGCAGATCTGAAGGACCAGTTCGATGCAATTGATGTTGATAAAAGTGGATCAATTAGTATTGAGGAAATGCGGCATGTAAGTTCTTACTGGATATTCTTAATGAAAATGCACTTTGGCACATAATTGAAGTCTCTGATTGTCTTTTTTATGTTTCAATAGGCCCTTGCAAAGGATCTTCCTTGGAGATTGAAGGGCCCCCGTGTTCTCGAGATTATCCAAGCAGTAAGTGTCAGGCCTTCTTTATTATTTTCCCCCTTATTTTCGGAGCAACTAGCTTACCATCTATCAGAGTCGTACTTCAACTGTGATATTATTCTGTGGCAGATCGACAGCAACACTGATGGTCTTGTGGACTTTGAAGAGTTTGTAGCAGCAACCCTCCATATACATCAAATGGCTGAGCTTGACTCTGAAAGGTGGGGCCTACGCTGCCAGGCTGCTTTCAGCAAATTTGATCTGGATGGTGACGGATACATCACTCCAGATGAACTCAGAATGGTAAGTTTCAATTCCTGTTCTGTGTTCATGTTGGTTTATGTAGCTACCTCATATTTAGTGAATGAAGTGATTTTGTCCACAGAAGATATTATTTCTTACACCAAGAAAGAAAATCCCAGATTTTCACATATGTTAGTCGATGCTCCACATAGTAGGGGCCTGTCTCATACGTATAGGAGGCCTGTTTGATAAATTGAAAAGCATTTTTCTTTGTGCAACATCGAAGACCAGTTTGTTGCAGTGTGCTATTTCAGCAATTAGATGCGAGATTAATTTTGACTAATTAATCCTGTATAAATGTTTGGACTGTGACAGAAACAAAACTAGTAGTATTTCTCATTGAGGTTTACTTTCAAGGTGCAGCACACTGGCTTGAAGGGTTCCATCGAGCCATTGCTGGAGGAGGCCGACATCGACAAAGACGGGAGAATAAGCTTGTCGGAGTTCCGCAAGCTCCTGCGGACAGCGAGCATGAGCAACCTTCCCAGTCCAAGAGGACCTCCAAATCCACAACCCCTGTGAACGTCGGTAAGAACCGAGATGAGACGTCGTAAATTAGTCTTGTAAAGGTTGTCTTGTTCCTGTCCGCGTGCCATGTGATGTTGAGGGTGTCTTGAGTTTTTAGCATCCAGGTTCCGTGTGCAGCATGCAGATAAAGTTTCGGTGTAGTACGGAGTACATACATATTTTTTTCAAAAAAAAATGTTACAAGCAGAAATGCTGTTCTAGTCTCCCATTCTCCTCCTTGTACATAATTCTATATATGTATGATTTGATTGCACGTATTCATCGCAATAAAGTTGCCTGGGATTGCATGATCATGTGAACTTGTGTACTAGATGTAGATGGTGATATTGCAAGGCCATCTAGCTAGCTAGCAGCTGTAATACTAGTTCAGAGCTAAGCAACTTTCAAATCTATTTGAGTATTTGTCTATGCAGTGTTGATTTGTTTGAGGTTTTGAGAAACTCGGTTTCCCATTTGCTGGAAATGCTTTTTTTTTTTTTGCTCACTAATATTCAGTTCAACCTCTGTTGAGTGCACTGCAAAATTTAGCCAAAAAAGACTTCCAATTTCTTCAGAGAAACTGACTTCAAGTGTGCCTTAGCGTAAGTTCTAAACTGCAAACTTAGCCGCACGCAAAACGGGATAACTCACTATTCCATAATTAATTATGCAATTATTATAAATTTTAAAAATATATCTTTTATTTTTTAAAGAAAACTTTATATAGATTTTTTTCACAAAATATACCATTTGATAATTAAGAAATTGTGCTAATGAAAAACGACAAACTTCTAATTTGGAGCTAGTATAATTTAGGAGCCCTATCAGTATCACAGTCAACATTTACAAACAGAACCCTGACTAGATCAATATTTACAATCAGCGCCCTCAATATTCACTCGTCACTCCACTGCAATATACAATGGCGCATGCTTGAATGCCGCCGCCGCCGCCGCGACCTCGTTTGGCGCCAAATCCGGCCGCCATCATCCACGCCGCGCTGCTCAAATCCTCCCCGGCCAGCCTCCCGCCGCGCCTCTCCTTCAACTCCCTCCTCGCCGCCGCCGCTGCCTCCCCGCACCCGCGCCTCCGCTCCCTCGTCCTCCCCGCGCTCGCGCTCGCGCACCGCTGCCCCGCCGCCGCTGGGCCGCTCGACTCCTACGCCCTGTGCTCCGCGCTCCGCCACGCCTCCGCGCCGGAGGCGGAGCCACTCCACGCCCACGCCGCCAGGTCCGGCTGGCTCGGCAGCGTCTTCGTGTCCTGCGCGATCGCCGCGGCCTACGGTGGGTCCGGCAGGTTCTTGGACGCACGCAGGCTGTTCGACGAAAGTCCTGTCAGGAATGCCGTCTTTGGGAACGCTGTTCTTGCTGGGTACGTGAACGCGGGGAAGTGGGCACCGTTGCTGGAGTTTGCAAGGAGGTTTTCGGAGCTTCGATTGCAGGTTGATGGGTACACGATGACGGCTGTGGTGAGAGCTTGCGGAGAGTTGGCGGATGCTGATTTGGGTGGACAGGCGCATGGGCATGCGATCAGAAGGGTGGGAGCTGTGGAGTCTGACGTGTTCTTGACCAGTGCGCTTGTGGACATGTATGCCAAGTGTGGGCTTGTTAGCCACGCGAAGCGCGTGTTTGACCTCGCCCAGCAAGTGAATGCTGTTGGAATCGATGTTGTGCTGTGGACGGCGCTGCTGAACGCATATGGAAGGCACGGAATGTGCAAAGAGGTTATCCAGATATATGATCGGATGGTGGCTTCAGGGGTCCGGCCTGATGAACTGACTATTCTGGCTGTGCTCTCAGCATGCCAACATGCTGGGGAGGTGGTCAAAGGGCTCCACTATTTTGAGTCTATACATGAAGATTACGGGTTGACACCGACACCAGATCATTTCAGCTGCGTGGTCAACATGCTATGTCGGGCAGGGATGGTGATCAAGGCCTGGGAGATTGTGACCTCCAAAGGCTGTGGAGGTGAGTTTGGCATCTCCACATGGGTGGCTTTGCTCAGTGCTTGCTGTGATTGTGGCAATGTTGAGCTCGGGAGGATGGCTGCTCAGAGGGCAATCGAGCTGGAGCCTAACAATGGCACCATTTATGTTGAGTTGTCAAATTTGTATGCGAGGTTTGGCTTGTGGGGGGAGATTGACCAGCTGCGGGAATTGATGAAGGACAATGGGTTGGAAAAAGATGCTGGATTGACATGGGTTGAGCTTAGTTCCTGATATGACTTAAAATCCCTTCATGAAACCAGTACAGGTGGAGGAAGGGGAGGCAATTTCGCTTTTGTTATGAAAGCCAACTGAGTATTTTTGGGAACAGATTTGAGTATAGTCCTATTTTTTGGTCACATATTTAAGACTGCTGGAGGAATTGAAAGTGAAACCACTCGTGGCTTTGCCTTGGTCACCTCATATTTATCTTCGTTCAACAATGCATATACACCTTTACATCAGGACTGGATCCGACTTTAGCATGGTTGCTGCCTCATGATGCCTCCAATGAATTGAAAGCATCTGTGTACCAGCGGGTTACAAACCGCCAGAATAATCCAAAGATATTAACATTCAGTCATGTACTCTTCTGATGCGAACATGATGCCCTAGTGTGACAAGTGATAACTGTGCTGAGATGAACCAAACGAATTGAAAGTATTCGATGTGCCAGAAGTTCTCTTATGAATCAAAATATTTGTAAAGAAAAAAGGCTCCTCCTTCTGACTCTTTCACCAAGACAAACTTGTGCTATGGATTTGATTTGCAGGTTTCTCCTAGACAAAATTACACCGGGTGCTCGAAATCTGGAACTTATTAGACTTCTCATGGTACGAATGCTTTCTTTTTATTCTTCAATGGAGTTCTTCCTATATGTTGTGACTGTTATTTTTGAAATGACACTGAAATTTCACAGGTCAGGCCTTTGTTATTGTGATCATGATCTGCTAAATCACTGCTAGTTGTCGTTCCAACAAAGAAGAATTAAATATGCAGTACAATCGCGCTTGATGTCCTAGACAAGACCAGTTAAAATACATCAGATTAGGCAGTGCTGAAAGGGCTATTATTTTCTATATATTGATACAGTCAATTTGAGTAGTATGAGAAACTAACTCAATGTATCCAGTTTATAGTGCAGGTCTTAGTAATGGGTTATTTTATTTGGAACATTAACTAATAATATCCAAAAGACATAAAAAAAGAACTAGCAGTAGGAATCTCTCTCTTAGTAGCTAAAGCATGATTATTCAATTCGTCTTATGCAAGCAAAAGTGTATGCATATGCAAAAGCATGCCTATCGCCACCTTTTGCCTTGATTTCTCCTTATTGCTAAAAGTGATCACAGAGCCACTACAAAATTGAAGTACCATAACTTGTAGCTCTGAATTCCTAATACCACTCGTTGCGACTTAACAGGTTTTTGGAAAATGTTATGGCCAGATTTTGACTAACCTGGAAAAGAGGTTGTGCATAAAATTCAATAGAAGATAAAATGAAAGCTTGATCCTCATTACAAAAACCCAACCAGAGACCGAGTTGGTAACTTTCCCCTCAAATGATTCCTGCCTCTCCAATGCCAGGCCAACTCTAGCTTCAAATCCAGGGGAGGAATCAAAGAGGAAGGGCAGAAAAGGCATTAGTAACATAAAAGTAAAGGAAGGAATGCATTCCAAGCTTGCATTCCTTTTCTTCTCCTGAACTATATAAACACACTGGTTCCCACAAATCTTGTAAGCAAACAGTCTGTTTTGCCCTCTTTGCTGGAACAATCATGGGTCTTGCATTTAGTGCCTTCGGTAAGTTTGGTAAATACTTTCAGTTCGTTCTTTGTTTTTATCTCTTGAGATAGACAAGTGCCACATGTATGTTGAACCGATCTGTGCACAGCTGTTTTATCTCCTTCAGGAAGGCCTCATTGATTGGAATGTGTGATATTGCTAACATTATGCAATTCTGGAGCTTTTATTTCCCTTTCATGTTCTGAATTGTTAGTTTGCTGTTGTTCTTTTCAGGCCTGCCAGGGTGGAGCAGTATACCAACCGGACAAGTTTATGATCAGTATTTCAAGGACAAGAAAACCGACAGCTTTGAAGCTTTTCATGTTGCCTATGTTGAGTTCTGCAAGTAAGCACCCTCATTCTTAAATTTCTATTGTCTGCGCAATCTTGTTCGTTGTCGGTTGTTATCTATCTCATCTTCCCAAATTACTGCAGAGATTTCAACACCGTGCTACCTGGTCAAGATTTTGATACCCCATCACTCGAAAAAATTCAGGTAACCCTATCTTTCAAATCTTCTTCCTCCTTGAGGATGTAGTTTTGCGCAAACATTCCCAATAAGCGACACCTCACTGTGAATTAATTGGCCTAGATTACAGAAATGCAGTCCAAAAAAAGACAAATTAAACTGGGGATATAGTTTTGCACAAACATTTCCCGATAAGCGACACCTCGCTCTGAATAAATTGGCCTAGATTAACAGAAATTTAGTCAAAAAAAAATTGAACTACGTAACGGTGCATGACTTATGACTTGCAGAAATTCTATGATGATACTTGGAAACTGATCAACGAAGACCAAGAAAAGAAGAAAGCGTTCATGGATTACATCCGCGACAACGTCAAGGAGGCGGCGGTCGACGACAGCCTCTTCATCATGGCCGGGCTGGCGGCGCCGGCGGGAGCCATCGTCCTCAAGAGGACAGGGCAGAGCATCCCGCAGCTGAAGAGGCTGGACCTCCTCCCCAACGTCCTCTTCGTCCCGCTCTTCACTCTCGCTGCCATCATGGGAGCAACTGCAGTCCAGATGAAGCAGAGGAGCAGACACACCTGATCTCCTCATCATAATCATCTACATTGCGTCGGCAGTTATAATTTACAAATAATAACATGGATGAATGTCGATCAAATCTGCACTGCAATGTCAGCGTCAAATATATACACACGTTTTCTTTTGTAATCTTCTTTATTGTTACTGTCCATACTGATAATAATATCACACACCGGGATACGCCTTTGCCAAGCTGCCATCATCTGAGTGTTGTATACATGGTGAATTATTATTATTTTATTTCTGTTCATCATATTTCCGAAATGAACCTTATGCTAACTTGGTAAGCCTGGAGTCGCAGTATAAGTCCGGCATGGAATCAAAGGTTGTCGCTCGAGCAAACTTCCACATCAATAAATTTAAAAAAGAAAGAACCCATCAAAGCGTATCCTGCAAGATCAATCAATGTCTGTCTGGTTTGCGAACTTGCTCAAACTTTCCACTGATTTGGAACGTTTCTTTAGAAGCATCCCACAAATTCACACATGTGCATGACAATGAGGAATAAATCATCAGTCCCCCAAAAGAGGAATATTTGGCCAACATGTGCATGACAATGAAAGGGTAAAGTCACAGAACAGCGGCAGAACATTGATACCTTGCTCAACTATAGAGCAAAACCAGACCTGATATAGTAACCAAACTCATGTCCTGGTTAAACACTTGCTTTCACAGAACTCATCATCTCTCGCTGATACTGTATATTACAATCGATTTAGATGAACAAACAAAAAAAGACTACTACAGGCTCAAATTCTAACTTCATAGAAGGTTGGGATAGATAGGTTATCAGTAATTCTTGCAATGGAGGGCACGGCGAGCTGTTATCACTTTCCCCTGAAAAGCAAACAGGAAGGACAGATAGATAAGTGTAAGCTGAGGAGCTAAAACTAAGAGAATTTTTTTATGGAACTTGTTTTGCTTTTCACTTACGTGTTCATCATTAATGTAATGTTGTCTCCTTTTAAGAGAATCCGGCCTGAGACAAATCAAAGTAAGTTACGAAGATTTCATATATGTTGTGAACAAAGAACAATAGTAGCAGAGTGCAGAATTTCCTTACCCAGAGATTTTCTAGTGTCCTTCTTTATGTTGATCTCCTCAGCTTCATCCAAGACCAAATTCATGTATTCGTCAAAGCCCTACAAAACTTGCTGCAGTAATTATATTGTTCAACAGTATTCAGTGAGGATAAACCAGCAACATACGAAAAACTACCTTAGCATGCACGTGCAAGGTCACAGACACAACAATTATAGTTGTAAAGAATAGCAACTCACGGGTGAGAAGAATTAAATCCTCAAAAGTTTTGTCATCTGTCCTATCCCATGAGATATTGTGAATAAATACAACATACAGTACAGAGTTGACATACATCTAGACAGAAAAGTTATATTATGTATATAATATCTAGTATAACAGTATCAAGCATTAAAATGGTCAACTGGCAGTATTTTCTTGTCAAATCGAGTTGTCAGATCAGCAAAGTTTCGCACTGAAAGCATTAGGGTTACATGTGAACACATAAAAAAATAGCAGTTCTATGTGCCCATCGCATAAACAAACACTCAATAATAAAGCTACTTCTGTTTTCGCTGATACATTATACTATATTGGAGTCAGGCAATCTCGTGAAATAGGAATTTATGCAAATACAGTACAGATTCTTGAAAGTGTCTAGCAGCTGTCACTAGTCTGTCGCTATTACTACAAAACTAAAGAAATAAATGCCTAACTTCGCTATCTCCAATGCAAAACGACAATAACTTACAGATCTATAAACCTGCTCTTCTTCCAAAAAAGAAATACACACACTCGTAAAACCACACAGATCCTACCCAAGACATGTCCAAGACTACAAACAATAAATCAAAAAAAGAGACGCTATTGCTAGGTCTGGATTTCATGTTTAAAAGCTACTTCAGACGCATATGGGAATACAATACAACAAAAGTGTATGACAGTATGAGCATTTGAGCAACAACCTCAATCCTGACGGCAGTATTATCTAACATCTCAAATTTCACCTCTAGCAAACCTCAATCCTGACGGCAATATTATCTTAACATCTCAAATTTCACCTCTAGCAAACCACTCTTACAAAGGCCCCTCATCTTCTTAGGGCAAAATTCTTTCTAGCATACAAGATTAAACTTTCTCCCCAATAATATTTCCATAGCTAAGGGGGATTAGGGAACTTACGATGATTCTGCCCTCAATCCGGAGGTCCTTCTGCTCGAAGAGCCAGATCTGGATGCGCGCTTTCTGCTCAGAGGAAAGAAGACGAAACGAGAAATCAAGAAAAGCACACAAGCAGCACGGACACAGGAAGAGGAGAAAGAACTGCGAGGGGGGGTAAGGCGCGTACACTCTGGAGGAAGCGGAAGATGAGGTTGATGGGCTGGGTCATAATCCTCTGCACCTTGGTGGACGCCATGGCGGCGGAGTTCGCTTCTCCTCGACCTCGCGCGCTCTCCTTCCTGCCCTCGGCGAGCTGACGCCTAAAAACCCTAGTTTGTTTGCGAGAGGGGCTTTTGCAGCAGCTGGGTGTGGTTCGCTATGGAGAAGCCAAGCTTTTATCAAGAGTACACATGAGTTTCATGTAACCATGTAATTTTCCATTTCAAATTATATTTTTTAAGACTTACACCCTTCATCTAAAAAAACTTAATCTAAATAAAATAGGACATATATCCTACAACAATAAATAACTCTTATCTAAATTTGTTAATTAGATCATATTTTAGGTTGGGTTTTTTCTATGAAGTAAGTAGAAAATATTTTACTTCCCGCGTCCTAACTAAGATACAAGAATTTGGTTAGTTAAACTACTTTAAATTTAATAAAAGTTTTATGGAGAAAAGTATTAATATCTACCATCTAAAAAGTAAACTATAAAAATATATTTTATAATGCATCTAGTGATACTTATTTGATACCGTAAAAAAATTATTCTCCATTACTATGGATTTAGTTGAACTTAGAATAGTTTAATATGAGATAAACTAAAAATCCCTTATATTTACATGAGAAAAAAGTTTTTAAATTTAGAGGAGTACTATATCGCAAAGAGTATCTTTACCAATGATGAGGTTTTTTTTAATGCTTTTAAATTATAAATCGTATTGTTAGATAAATGTAGCAAAATCATAAGTTGATTTTATCGTTGACCCCAAACTCCTAAAGTGTCATAGTCAAACAACCGATCTTAATATGTATTACGTATGTGTTTGGAATTCAAACAGACAGTCATGAAACAACCAGAAGGGTATAAGTGGGAGGTGAGCGTGTTTATATCTTCCGTGCAAATTCAGAAATAAAATCATTAATTGTTTTTTAAAAAAAAGTATAAACATTCTCTTATAGGAGAACGTGTAACTAGATTTTGCTATATCTAGCATATACTGTTTTGAAATAAATACCGAAATGTGCAGGTGTTGCAAAAGAAAAATTCAGTTTGGCAAAACATCAGTAGTCAAATGATATTCCCTAATAAGTCGTTTAAGTTTATTAGAAAATAAAAATTAATTTATAAGTAAAACTTTTATATATTTATTATTCATAGCGACTTAAAAACTAATATTAAAAAGTTACATTAAAAATATATTAAAATCAACTTTAAAATTAAGATCAAAAATTTAAATTTTAGCTTTTGCTTTGCAGAAATATCCCCAAATGCCCCATGTTCCATCTGAGCCGTCCAACCCCACGATCGGACGGTCCTTACGCCTCCGCAGAATCTCACCTCCGTATCAGTTAGTATGCCCAATTCTCCTCTTCTCCCCACTCTCCTCTCGCATCTCTTCTTCTTCTTTTCTTCTCCAGATCGCGAGGCGGGCGGAATCGCGGAAGCAGGGGGATCCCGCAGCCGAATCGGGCCGGATCTCGCCGGCGATGATGCCGTCGGCGTCGGACGCCGCGGCGGCGGCGGCGGCGCTGGAGCTGCAGGAGTCCGGGTGGGAGGAGCTGCGGCGGGAGGCACGGAAGCTGGAGGGTGACCTCGACGTCAAGCTCTCCTCCTACGCGCGCCTCGCCGCGCGCTCCTCCTCCGCCGCCGACGCCGCCTCCGCCTCCTCCCCGAGCGAGCGCTCCTCCTGGAAGTCCATGGAGTTCGAGATCCAGTCGCTGCTCGACAAGCTGCAGGACGTCAACGACGCCATGAGCCGCTGCGCCGCCTCCACCGCCCCCACCACCTCCGTCTCGCAGAAGCTCGCCCGCCACCGCGACATCCTCCACGAGTTCGCGCAGGTAAACCCTAGCCCCTGCCCGCCCCCCCGCCCCCCCCCCCCAACTCCCTCACCTCTCCTCCCCCTCACACTGCTTGTAACTGATCGCCACAGGAGTTCAGGAGGACGAGGGGGAATCTGAGCTCCATCAGGGAGCACGCCGATCTCCTCAGCTCTGTGCGGGACGACATTACTGAGTCCAAGGTTCTTGCCTCAAACCCCTCTACAAAATGGTTTAACTGATTAACTCCACAAAATGGTTGTAATGTAATGTGCTATCGTGTTGTGCTGGCCTGATTGATCGTTGTGGTTGTCTAGGCTACTGGCGGCATGTCGCCGAGGGTGCATTTGCTCAGGGAGAGGGCCTCGATTCATGGCAGCATTAACCAGGTATGGCTTGAGCTAAAATAAGGTTGTTGTTGCACACTTGCACTGATCAAATGGTTTCCTGGTTGGCATAGTCGCATAGATGTTCATTGGCTAGAAGAATTTATGTCTATAGGCATGCCATGTTCATCATTAGTTGGACTGGACTTATGTTATCTCATGATCATGACAATCTGCCTGTCAATGGCGTTTGATGTAGTGTAAAGTTTGGAGGAGGGTCTATCTAATCTCTCTCATTGCTAGTTCATCTTTCAACCATTTGATTAGTTATGAAAAAACAACTAGAATAATTGAGGTAGTCTGAGTGGAAAAAGGAAGGAAATCGTGGTATTTCTGTCTTCAGCATTACGAGTATGCATTTCTGAGGATTTTTGGTTTATCTAGCACAACAATGTAAAAAAGGTAGCTCATCCTGTACAATATATTAAGTAACAGCTATGACTTGTTTCCAGATTGATGAGGTAATTGGCCAAGCTCAGAGCACAAGGGTAGCCCTTTCCAATCAGAGGGCATTGTTTGGGGATGTTCAAGGAAAAGTCAAGCAGTTGGGTGAAAAGTTCCCTGTTATTAGAGGACTACTTGGTAATGTATCAATCCCCAATTTACATTTTTATTGATCCTTTCTTACATATTGTTCTGAACTGGCATTGTGCTAAATGTGCTAATCTATTATTCACCGAAATTTCTGCATCCCAACTTTCCATGATCATGTTTGTTTTAGTTTGTGTTAGTAGTTAGTACACCACTACCTTTCTTACACATTCTTGCTACAGGTGCCATCAAGAGGAAGAAATCAAAGGACACTATCATCCTTTCAGCAGTGATCGCGGCCTGCACCATCTTTTTGATTATTTACTGGCTTTCGAAATGATGGTTGTCTCCAGAAAATCTCACCGTGAAGGCTTCCCCTCTGCGCAGAATCGCTGATACCAGATGACACGATAAGACTTGGTAGTATGTTTCATTTGTTAGGCTAAGAGGAGGAATGAGAGATCGGATTCTTCAGCTTTTATCAATTTGCCTTTGATATATACTCCTACCTTGTATTTGGAGATTAACCTGTCCTACATGTACAGTACAGAGCAATTTTGCTTTCCAAAGTAACTTGTCTGGCTGGCTGAGTAAATATGATACAATCAAGCTGATGCTCTTTTTGTGATAAAAAAAATGGCCATTAAAACACTTGATCCGTTGAGCACTTAGGTTTAGCTGGAAAATAGTCTCTCGTCTCTTCTCAACGACCGAGTGGCTGGCTGCTATTAATCTCAGTTATATGTTCAGCTTTACACATTTACAGCTGATCAGAAGTGAAGATTATTGACGCATCTACCTTCACTTTGATGCTAACAACCTTAGATAGTACGATGGCAACCAGTATGCTACGTGTGCTGGTAAGCTTTGGAGTTCAACAAGTTTTCACTTCAAAATAAAACTAGGAATCTAGAACCATAGCGTGCAGTAGTGCATTCTCAAATATCACATTCATCATCTTGCAGCGCTCAATGGATTTTTTTTTTACCTCTATGGACAATCTTCCATCCAATTGCATGCATGAACATTAGATAAAAGAGGTATCAGATAGTGACACTTGACAATGCATGCAATCGTGCATTCTCAAATATCACATTCACCATCTTGCAGCACTCAATGGAATTTTCGATCTTTATGGACAATGTTAAGTAACAATCTCATTGCGCTCCATCCAATTGCATGCATGATCCATGGACATTCGATAAAAAGGGGTATCAGATAGTTGACACTTTACAATGCAAGGCATGAAGCATGAAAAAATGGTGACCAAGTACAGTTTCATCCCAAAAGGCCTTCTTTCCCCAGAAGCCGCCCAAATACAATTAAACAATTTTTGTAATGAATCAGTTGTGTTTCCTTTTTACTCTGTAAGAACAAACTATTTACACCAGAAGTGACATATTTGTAACAGGTTGCCTATGGCAAGGAAAAAACAGCTCAATCCTGACAAAGTTAACAGCCGCATTCTATGGTTCTATCTCACTTCAAAGTCAGATATCATACTCTCTTCGCAAGAGCCACGTTTTTGCAGTGATGACAACTGGTATTCGACATCTCAGCAGGACTTGCCGACTTGGCTCAATCATACATTTGGCGAACATACTGCTGAAGGCAGAAGTACATGAACAGGGCACTCCTAGCTGCATCAGACTCCAAAGAGAGGTAAAGCTACTTTGATGAATGAGTAACAAAGTGCCCCTGTGAAAACATAGCTGTCTACTCGGTCAAGCATCCCACCTGCATTGCAGCCTTGTGTTATGTTCATGCAGAAGCTATAGATGATTCTTTAAATACAAACCATGAAATCTGGAAATATAATTTATTTCTCCTTCAGGGATGAAAGCAAAGTTAACAGATTAACATACACAGTAAAACTTTCAATATGAGTTTGACATTATCTATAAAGCAGGCAAAGTGCGTTAAAAATAGAAGTTCCTGTTGTCAGATCTCAGTAAGTTGAGGCAATATCTATCTCTTAGTTGACAAAGAAGGGTTGTACAAAAAGTAAAAAACTATAAGAAATTATAATTACATGGATTAATGCAGTTGACAACTTGAGATGACACTATGAAATTATGCATCCAATAAGGCCTTTAACATTTATCCTAAATCTCAAGACAATCAATTGCACATGTAGATGCATTACTACAATTGAATAAGGCAGTGAGTTAAAAAAGGTTACCATGGCCAGGAATGAGTGATCCAGAGTCCTTCACACCAGCATCACGCTTGATCAGAGACTCGACAAGATCCCCGAACAACGAACCCAGAAAGATCAAGATTCCGTAAGCAGTAGCACTGATATCAGTGAAATAGTTAGTTATCAAAACCAAGTGTTAAGGAAATATTTGCTACTTGTGAACATGCAAGTGAACAACCTATCAAAGTTTTGAACACAATCAGACTAACACTCGATGCTCACATGTAGTTCATTTCCATAAAGAACTCCTAGCAGCAGCTGTTTGTTGTTCATATGTTAAGCAAAATATAATGCGCATTATGGTACTGCTGATACACCCTAAAAGGTGAAAGCCTACATTGACCAGTAAATGGCATTCGGAAAAACCAGTATGCAAGAAGTTTCAGTGGAGAGATGTGATGTTTGCTACAGAAAATTGTAATAATAGTTAGAAGCCAGAAATTAGCAACACCTCAGCAGCGATCTTGGCCAATGTAAGACGCTTGAAAGAAGCACAGTGGTCAGTACACAGCCAGTTAGACCAGCTAAAGCACCCTCCAAGGTCTTCTTAGGGCTTATATCAGTAAGAGGAGTGCGACCAAATGCCTGAAATGGAAAATAAATAACATGACGACACGATTTCCTTATTCAAAGTACAAAACTTCTTTAATATACTACTTGAATGCAAAAATACAGACAGTAGGAATACTTGTTCACACAACAAAAGGACAGCAAAATTAAGATATAATAGAAACATGAGAGTCTGCTAGCAGCTTGTCAGCAGGAAAAGGAAAAACCTTCAAGCAGTTTATATGTGATCTAAAATATTCTAGCAGCGTGGTTTTCTATATCAATTATGAACCAACTATACCACTCAGCATAGTTTGGATGGCTTAATAGCACTGTGATTGATGACTGGAACGCCTCAAGTCACAAAAGTCTCAAATATCTACTGTAGTCACACAAAACAAGGGTAAGAATTACAAGAGCACAAGGTTACAACCGTTCCTTACTCTAACATTACCATGGGCATTGCAAAAGATAATATATTTTTTAAAAAAAATAATATATCTTCTTTACACTAAAATAAAAAATGAAATCAAACTGGACATTATAGAAGAAAAGAACATACCCGTCCACAAAGGAAAGCAGATGTATCAGCGGCAATAATGCTACTAATAGAAATCAAGGTTGCTACAAGTCCAACTGTCCAGTGAGCTTGCCCACCAAGAAGTATTGGCCAACTGTATGCAATTTCTGGCAAAACACATACTGCATAAGCAAGAGGAATCCTATTCGCTTGCTATAGTGAAATTTAACAGTACAAACTCTTGAACTGGTAAAAACTTTGCTGCTCAACTTTTTATGAACCTTTTGAAAAAATTAAGACTAACATAAATTGAACAGAAACATATAATTTGATGGACACACCATTTCTACATTTGCTAACAAACTAGACAGAAAAGGAATTAATAAAACGAAGGCACCCCAACTAAGAAAGGACAAAACAAACTTGATTGAACAACATACTTGTATTTAAGGCAGGAGCAGCTAGTCCAGATCGGAGCTTAACCCAGAAAGAAGGAAGATAGCCACAATAAAAGAGACCAAAAACTGAACTAGTCAGCTGTGCAAAACGAGGATTTCCTCTTTGCAATAACAATGATATCGCAATAAGGAATGCAGAAAACGTCACGGTAACATCCATATGCCCATAGTACCTAAGCAAATAGACAGATGAAACATCAGGTTCAGAAAATTGTCACATTTACAGAAAATGACAACTTAAATATAGTCATGTACCAAATAATACTCCCTCCATTTCTTTTACTCTAGTTAGGATATCGACACAATCTCCAATGTGTATTAATTGCACATAAGTTTTTTCATGACAAATCTACTAATGCTATTTTCAGTTTTTTTTCACATGTCAAAACTTGACATGTTTCATATATTAGTGAATTAAGGTCTCAAGTTTGCCTACGTGCATTCTAAAACTTCATCTATTTGAGAACAAACTCATGAAGGAAGTAGTACAATACATAATTCCCTCAGATTTTTAATCTTTAACAGGTGAATCATCATTAAGATCTATTCGCAGTCCCCTCCCATATTTTGTTCAAAAGTGATGCATGCCTCAACTGTTCAAAAACAGATGCCTGGTGGTTACTTAAGTTCTCATATATACAGTCTACATTGATCTTTTTCAGAAACATCAATCCACAAGATAAACAGAGAAGCTTAAGGACTATCCTTTGCAATATTGATTCTAGGGCGTTTGAGCACCCAAACAGCAAGTAGTGAGATCCAGTGCATCTCTTCTTGTTGACAAACCTCAACAGTCAACAATGCCTTTACTTTATGATGATGGCCAGTATTCATCCCCAATTTCCATCAGATAGCTGATTGACACCCAGACCGAAACCTCACTATTTGATTAGACTCTCCCTGTCTTCTATTCATTCAATAGAGACAGACACCATTCAGTTCAGTTTCAACTCTTATATTAGTCAGAACAGGTTTCCCTTTACAAAATTAAAGATCCTAAGCAATTTCATGTACCACTATCCTTGTTACATACAGGATTACTGGCTAAAAGTTACTTTCACTAAGAATGACACCTTGAAACAACAAATCCTGACTAAACTACACATGAATTGAACACCAATTGATTGAAGCAAATGGTTAGCTAACACAGTTCATCCAAATTAACCAATGTAGGTGTAACCGCGAGGCCTGCTTACAGGGTAAGGATAGGCATGAGAGCGCAGATGGCAGAGCAGACGCGGGACACGAAGCGCGGCGGCGGCGTGCCTCCCCCGCCGGCGGTCCCGCGGACGAGCCCGAAGTACTCACGAGCTCCGGCGAGGACAGCCGCGGCCACGGCGGCCGCGAACACCCACCCGCCGGCCACCACGACGCCGCCCGCGCCCACCCCGATGGCGACGCCCACGAGCACACGCTTCTGAAGCTGCCGCGACTTCTCCCTCTTCCTCTCCGCCTCCTCCCCGCCGCCGCCCCCGCCGCCGCCTCCATCGGCGGAGACAGCGGCGGCCGCGAGGAGCGGGGAGCGGCGGAGGAGGCGGCGGAGAGGGGGTGGTGTCGGGATGAGGAGGCGGAGGCGGAGGGTGGGGCGGGGACGTGGCTGGGAGGGGAGGAGGGGGAGGCGGTGGTGGCGGTGGTGGTGGTGGAGGTGGGCGGCGGCCGGCGTCGTCGCTGTGGCCACCGCGGCGGCCATGGGAGATGGGGGTTGCAGTGTTGGTGGTTGTGTAGTGGAGGGAGGCGGAGAGTTCGATGTCAATAGGGGATTTTGCTGGACTTGTTTGCTTTGCTTGGCGCAAAAAAAATAAAAGAAAAGAAAGACTTTCGTGTTTAAAACGTGCTTAAAAAAAAACTACTCCCTCCGTTTTACAATATAACTTATTCTAGCATTTTTCACATCCATATTGATGTTAATGAATCTAGATGTGAAAAGTACTAGAATGATTTATATTGTGAAACGGAGAAAGCACATGCACAAAGTACTGTAAATTGGAGCATGTGTATTCATAAAGGCAACAAAGTTTGCAAGTTAGAAATACCTTTTCACCCAATGATGAGAAATCATTTGACGCAAGAATACCTTTTAGTTGCAGGAATAAAAAAAACGGAGGAATAAAAAAAACATGATTCTGATAGGAATGCAAATATAAAACATATGATTATAAAATGCAAAAATTACCGTTTGATTCGACCGTATAAATTAGACGAGAGAGATAGACTCAAATAAAAGCTCTCACTAAGTTTCATTCAAAATCTTTGTATGATTGTCCATTTTATTGGAATTTTTCTTATAGGATTGAAATCCTCCAAAATTTATACAAATCAAAGAGGCCCTAAAAATATGAATTCAATGACGATGTAAAAAATGTAAGAATAGAATGTCACGCTTTATATTGGTTTCAAACACACTAGAATTCAACCGTTTTGTATATATTTACATGGTTAAAAACCTAGAAATTCTTGAGAATAATCTTTTGTATAATAGAGATACCACTATATGTCATATAGAAATTCTTGAGAATAATCTTTTGTATAATAGAGATACCACTATATGTCATATAGAGAAAGCAAAGAAAAAGTGCATGAGAATTAAAAAATTAAATAAAAACGTGAGGTGAGGTTATGAACTCATGCTTAACAGTCTCAACGGTTGCCTAAAAACCAAAGAAAAAAATTTTAAAAACTTAATTTAATTAATTTTAAAATTGATTTTAAGATATTTTTAGCATAGTTTTTTTTAGTATTGGTTTTAAAGTCGCTAAGGATACATATGTTAAAGTTTTAGGTCCCTAATAAGCCATTCGACTTGTAATCAATTTTTGGGCAACCGATGAGCCCCTAAATTCATATAGAGTTGAGATGTGCTTTGTAGGAAAGGAACTCCATATATTCTTTTTTTAGCAATGATATTCTTTTGCTCCAAATAGTGCATTGAAACCATCCAAGTTTTCTTTTGAAATTGCTTTAATCCAGAGAGACCTAAATCTCTTAGCTTCCCAATTTAGCACAAATCCTTTTACCCCAAACTCATCTATGTATAGAACATAAAGATAGTTTTGATGTGAATATTTTCCGATCTATTACAATTATTCGTTAGTAGTTATATTGGATGATAAACCAGTTTTACAAACGGCTTGGTATTTGTAAAGTACTCTCTCTGTCTTAAATTAATTCACATGAATTATGTAACTTGACTTATTTTGAACAAAGGGAATTGAATTGGTGTGGTCCATATCATCTTGTTACTATCGATTTTCTCATAATTTAATTCTAGTAACTAAAATGTCTCTAAAGTATTTACCTCATATCGGCCTTAAAAACATAATTTTCAACTTTATATGCTACGTCTCCAAGTATTTACTCCTCCAATTTCTAATTTTTTGACGTTTTGGACATTATCTCACATAAAAAAATTAATTAGGATGCTTATTTTATGTATTTTCACATTAAATATATTAGTGCGGTGGTTCTAATAAACTTAACCTGGTAGTTATGACCGGTAGTTTCAAAGATTTAGGTTGGATTTAAATCTTGGCACCTACTATTTTTCTATGCTTTTACCGTGGCGTTGGAAACGATACGACAATTTGATTTTTTTTTCCACATGATTTTTGCGCTGCTGGACAAGAGTCGATGCACAGGTTAACGTGATTTGCATGCATACATGTATACAAGCTAAAGTGATCACATGGAGACTAAAAAAGTAGTGATATACATATTACTGAACCGTACGACTACGCTGAACCAACCAATCACGAAGTTCATAAGTATTCACGTGGGCCCAATCAGAATAAGTTAAAACCTAAGCTTATGTCCAGTTGTACACATGTCGGACAAACGCAGTCGTATGTGCAGTCATTCCGAGACTAAAACATCAAAAGTTTTTATTCAAAAGGTCCAAGCCCCGAATGTCAACTAATTCATCACTAGAGGGAGTATTATGTTTATGCTTTTAATTTTTCACTTTGTGCATTAAAATATTTAATAATTTATATGTGTTTATGGTACTTTCAAACGAGATATCTTATATTTTTCTTGTAACTATAAATTCATCTTAAAATATAAGAGGTTTTGGTTGATGAAACATATTTTATTCTAATACTATGAATCTGAATATAGAGCCTAACCAAAAATTTTTTATATTCGAGAGCGAAGAAAGTAGATCATACTATGATCTATACTAGGAACAACAATACACATATGTGATACGAAGAGCAAACTAGAAAACCATGGTTGCGTTTAGTTCACACTAAAATTGAAAGTTTGATTAAAATTAGAACGATGTGACGGAAAAGTTAAAAATTTGTGTGTAGAAAAGTTTCGATGTGATGAAAAAGTTAGAAGTTTAAAGAATTATTTTGGAACTAAAAACCGCGCATGTCACGAACGAAGCATGCAAAGCAGCAACCGAAATAACGAATCAACCCTGAAACCGCACAAAAACGGCAACACAAAACACAACCACAACCACAAGCAGGTCCGGTCGAGCCGAGTCGAGTCAATCTCTCTTCTCTCTTCTCTCCTCTCCTCTCCACTCTCCGATCCCCACGTATGGCGGCGGCGGCGGCATCTGCGGCGGCGGCGACGGCCGCGGAGGACGGGGCGCGGCTGCTGCGGCTGGAGGAGCAGGCGGGGCACGGCGGCGGCGGCGCGTGGGAGTACCTCTGCCTCGCCCGCAGGCTCCGCGCGCGCCGCCCGGAGCCCGTCCTCCGCCTCGGCCTCGCCCTCCTCAACGACTCCTCCGCCCGCTCCCGCCTCGCCTCAGAACGTAACCTGCCATGTCCTCCCTCCCCCCTCCCCTCCCCTCTACCCGATCTCTCGCAATTCCGCTCGGTGGGTAGATGGATTTGGTGGATAGATCTCGTGATCTGCTCCTCCCGACGCCCCGATCCATCTGTGGATGCGATGCCGGGGTTTTGGATGGCCAACTTTGAACCCTATTGTTAGATTGCGGTTGTAGTACTGTGGGATCTGTAGAATTGAGGTTTTTTTTTAGAAAAATAATAATTGTGTGTTGCCTGAAACCCCTGCTGTTTTACAGTTAGAATTACTGCAATAGGATTGCAAGGCTGCAGGATCTGATTGCTCCCTTCGCGATTAGTTCACTAGTGAACTGAGATTGCTTTATTTTGATGCAGAGTGGACGCTGTATGAGCAGGTGGCAGTGGCTGCCATGGATTGCCAGCGTCTCGATGTGGCAAAGGTGAGGTTGCGCTCGTGTTGTACTGGCAGTGGCACCCTTTTGAGCTCAGTTCCTGTTTCTCTGATTCAACGCAATTTCATTTAATCACTAAACAGTTCACGCTTTTGGGGCCTTTAGTTATCCAAATTTCTGATGAAGCGATCTCTTTCATGACTTTACAGGATTGTATTGGAGTGCTTTCCAAGCAGTTTCCTGGCAGCATGCGGGTTGGTAAGTTCTTTCAGAGATCAGCATAATATAGTTAGACTAGCATCATTTGTCAACAAACGTAGATCTTATATTTTGCTTTTGGATGCACATCCGATAAGACTGGAAATAAAAATTACATATGGCTGAGAAAAACTAAATATAAAAACAATCTGGCCTAGAACTTAAAAAAATGCCACCAATCCTGTGTCATAAATTTATGTCAAGTTACAATTAGGGTTGACAATAGGCCACTCTGTCAATAACTTGAGGAGAAAATACGGAGGCAAATGGTCAGGGCTATTAATCTAGATTATTATGAGTTGCACTGAATTGCTTAACCATAGTACAATATGATGCTAAACCAATCTTACAGGAACTGATGTTGATTTCTTTGAAAAGATACACCTGTATCTAGCTTACTACTCCATATATCAAGATAGAACGATGATGTGGTAAGCTGGATTATAGCAATGCTATCAGACTAGGCATTATTTGATCTAAAGTAGGAGGGCAGTGTGCCTATCAACTGAACATGTCATATCTTACATGTTTCTTAACTAATGATCTATTACCTAAATCCTGGTGCGCACAAATAAATGCCACATACACCTAATATCAAATTCCCCTATACTTCATATGAGTTTGCAACTTGATATATGCTGAGACATGTGATGCTGATTCTTATGGATATTTTTCTGCATATGGTACTAAACACTTTGCCCTCAAATGAAGGTCGATTGGAAGCCCTGCTGTTTGAAGCAAAGGGTGAATGGACTGATGCTGAAAGGGCCTATGCGCTTATCCTTGAAAACAATCCGTTCGATCAGGTATAATTGATATTTCTGCTGCTGATCCTGGTTTATATGCTGTGAACCTGATGTGCAAGATGGAGTTTGATTTCCTTGGTATATAAAGCCGTTCAAATGCTTGGGATGATAATTTTACAGGGGCATATTAAATATTTTCCTTGTGTGCTTTCAGATTGTCCACAAGAGAAAAATTGCTATTGCAAAAGCACAGGGTGACATGGCATTAGCTGTTGAGTATCTCAACAAGTATTTGGAACTGTAAGTATCTGCATCAACCTGATGCGTTAACCATATATGTTTACCTCTAATACAGTGACTTTCCCTGTGTGTTAGATTTATGGCAGATCATGATGCTTGGAGAGAACTTGCTGAAACATATGTTGCCTTACAAATGTGAGATATTTAATCATCGATTCATTCACATCTGTTAGAATGTGATGATGCTAATTTTGTTATTCCTCTTGTATCAGGTATAAACAAGCTGCCTTTTGTTATGAGGAGCTAATATTGGCCCAACCAACCGTTCCACTTTATCATCTAGCTTATGCCGAGGTAAGTGAACTATGCCAAACTCATCCCTCATTCTCTCAAAGTCTCAAAGAAAAATAAAACAAAATAAAATTGTATCAACTTATGCAGTTTCTCATTTTCATGTGGAGTGCAGCAGTAATAGTTTGTTTTGTTCCTCAATGAACTAATGGCCAACTGGCCAAGTCTTACAGTGGCAATGAACATCAAAAGGCTAATTAAAATTAAGCACAGTAAAGTTATTGCTCATCCTATTGAAAACAGTGTTGCTTGATTCAATAGAATTCCATACAGAGCGATATACTTATTTGCACATTTTACGGACGTTGTGTTTGGCAATGTAAATGGTGTTTTTGAGAAATGAATTCAAAGTTTATCTTAGAATTTGCCCCCCCCCCTCTGTGCTGTTTTTATACCAGTTCTGTTGTTATGTTGTAAAGTGATGATGGGAAGAATTTGTTGGAGCTTGATCTTATGGGGTCTTCTGGGATTTTGGTGGGGAAAATTTTCTCCCTTGTTTTAGTAGTTGTTGTGTATGCCATATGCACGTTACTTAATCTATACAGTAGGTGCAAGAGAATTTACCGCATTTACCGCTGCTTTTTTCTGATTTATACATAATAACTTATTTAACATGCTTTTCTGATTTGGAGATGCTACTACTGTTGCTTTTTTTTTTTGTTGAATGCAAAATCACCACAAATTTAGTGTTCTATACATGCAACTAATTCAAGCCTAGAACCTGTCTGCAACTCATGATTCTGCTGGAAACTCAATTGATCTCATCCTACACCTCTCTGTACTTCTCAAATTCTCATGAACTGTGTGTAATCCTTTATATTTTCTAGGTTCTGTATACAATGGGTGGTTTGGAAAACCTTCAAACAGCTAGAAAATATTATGCATCTACAATACAGTTGACTGGAGGCAAGAATACAAGAGCCCTCTTTGGCGTGTGTTTGGTAAGACATCAGTGCTGTTCCACAACTTCTAAGAATCTCAGTTGGCTTCCTTTTGTTATCCAATACTAATCCTCTTATGTATACCACCTTCAACATCAACAGTGTAGCTCGGCAATCAATCAGTTGACCAAAGGGAGGAATAAGGAAGAGGAAAGCTCAGAACTGCAGAGCTTGGCTTCAGAGGCACTATTGAAGGATTACAAGCAACGAGCACCGTCGAAGGAGGCACTCATCACCAGCCTGTTGAAGAACATGAAACTCTCCTGATCTTGCCCTCCACTCATCGAAGGTTTTTTAGCTTGTGGCACAATCGCAGCTAGTCAGTGGCGCCACAATGGCAGTTTGACAAATCAATTGATAGCAGTATAATGCTTGTTTTTTTTTTCTCCTGATGGCACCGAAATTGTAAAACTTATGTAAGATGCTTCAATGGGTTGTACCACACCTGTTTTGATCATTTAGAAATATATATTCATCGTCGTGTTTTGATTGCAAACTGTACTAAGACCATCCGTTGTAATTTCAGGATAGAAAATTTTGAATAATACCTTCGAAAGCTGTACCATTTGTTAACTTGCCAGACCTCATGCTGTTCCTTCAAGACTGTCATAAACAGAAAAGACATAAATTACTTTAAATCTAAGCTCCACACTTCATGTGCCAATTATTCATGGTTTCTCAAATTACAGAGTACTTAGTAGTAAATAAATAGTACTACTAATCACTATGTTTTTGTAATATTGGTTGTCTATTTTATTTTCTGCGGAGGGAGTAATGTTTTTCCATTTCATTTCACCAGTTTTTAGGCCTAGTTAGATTTAGATTATAGCGTGGATTGTCTGCTTTATTATAGTGATAAATTAAAATTTTAAGAAATAAATTTAACAAATAGTTTAAAGGTATCTGACTCAGTTACAATGATAAATTCAAAATTTTAAGAAATAAATTTAACAAATAGCTTTCAAGAAGTGGTTTGGAGCTGAACAATGCCGCGCGTAAGAAAGTTTAAAAGAAACGATATTTTTAAAAGTTCAGAGCGAATAGTCTGATAAATATAAGCTTAAAAAGAGCCAGACCTTAGCGATTAAAATGACACTAGTTTCGTTGAGCGAAAATGCACCAAGAAAGTAAAGGGAGCATGCATGCGCGCGACAGGCGCTACCACCGCACGTCACCCGCGAAGCTCTCATGGCCTCACACACCGCGCCATTGCCATCGTTTCACCCTACATATAAACCGCATCCACGACGCCAACGATCGCTCGAATTGATCTTTCTTGCTCGCGATCGATTCGATCGTCGTCGACGCTTCGATTAATTCTCGCTCGCAGAGACCACCACCAGTAGCAGCATCCAGCTGATTAAATTAAGCTCGCGGCAATGGCGCAGGTGAGCAGGACGGTCGTGGCGGCGCTGCTCCTCGTCGCCGCCGTGGTGGCGGCGTCGCCCGTGGCGTCGGCGGCCACGTACGGCTGCTTCGAAGACTGCTACGAGCGCTGCGCCTCCGGGAAGAAGGACGAGGCCTGCACCAAAATGTGCAAGGAGGCTTGCGGCGGCGCCGCCACGGACGGCCATGCCCCCGCCGCTGGCGCTGGTGCTGGCGCCGGCGCTGGCGCCGCCGTCGGGGCTGGCGCTAAGGCTGCCATCGGGGTTGGCGCCGGAGCTGGCGCTGGCGCTGGCGCCGGCGTCGGAGCTGGCGCTAAGGCCGCCATCGGGGCTGGCACCGGAGCTGGCGCTGGCGCTGGTGCTGGCGCCGGCGTCGGGGCTGGCGCTAAGGCCGCCATCGGGGCTGGCGCTGGAGTTGGCGCTGGCGCTGGCGCTGGTGCTGGTGCCGCCGTCGGGGCTGGCGCTAAGGCCGCCATCGGGGCTGGCGCCGGAGCTGGCGCTGGCGTTGGCGCCGCCATCGGGGCTGGCGCTAAGGCCGCCATCGGGGCTGGCGCCGGAGCTGGCGCCGGCGTCGGGGCTGGCGCTAAGGCCGCCATCGGGGTTGGCGCTGGCGTTGGTGCTGGCGCCGCCGTCGGGGCTGGCGTTGGAGCCGCCGCCAAAGTCGCCGGCGCCGCCGAGGGCGCCGCCGGCGCGGCACCCAAGGTGTACGCGTGAGATCGATCGATCGAGCGGCGTCCATCTCCACTACTCCATCCATATATAAACTCGCTGTCGATTGTTTGTTGTTAATAAAAGTTTGGTTAATTTAAACGTCAAGCGTTTAGTTGTTTAATTTACATGCAAATCTCGCGATTTGTGATAATTAACTACCGAAATGTGTGTTTGGGCTGCTAATTCATCCTTCTCGCTCCATATTAATTTGTCCATGTTACATGTGTGTAAATGTTATAAAGATCTAACTCATGGGCGGACTATATATATATATATATATATACCTACGCGTTTCACCTTGGTTAAAAGCAAACGGTTCGGTGATCCAACAAATCCAATATAGAAGAGGCCCAAATACAAAGTGGATCAAAGAGCAGCATTTGCATTGGCAGAAATTAATTTATCAAGAGATGTAATTAATATTGCTATTATTCTCTTTAAGCAAAGAACCAGACATGAAATTAAGATAGATATCTATTAGCTGTAAATTTATATATAAAAATACAATCACTTCCAACACTGTTTAGATTACTACTTGTCGTATTAATAAACTTCCATCAGAATTTATTCCTATTTTACCTCCACCCACTCTCTCACCCCCCCAACACTCCAACTATTATCATTTAATAACGGTTCGGCTATAATTATGGCGACAGATTTTTCCCACAAACACAGTCGAATTTTTTCAGCCTTAGAATTGGCATGAAGATTCGAGCTCACGGGGCATCAGCACACACACGCTTTGCTGTGATTGATTCTGACACGCCATAGATGCACTGATATGCTTTTTAAACTTTGTTGTTGTTGTAAATTATATATTTATACAGATTTACAAGGTAGTTACACCTCACTTACACACCACTTATATGTAATTTTAGAATTTACATATGTAATTTTAAGACTTACATATGTAATTTTGGGATTTACATTGTAAATACACTAAAATTACATATGTAATTTAGTGACTTACAATGTACATACATGCCGACTATTTTTTGGTGAAAAATATGGCGCCATAAATATAGCTAGTCCCTTTAATAAAGAGCACCAAAATATTTTTAAAATTTTAATCTCTGTTAAATAATCTAGAAATATTGATATTTTAGAATAGATAAAGTATTAAAACTTTGACTATATCTATATATCTCTATGGAGAAGACATAATTTCAGTAACAAATCTACTCATGATATAGTACAATAAAATCAATTACCTTGTGCAATTGGGTAAACAGGGTAATAATGGCCTCATTAATTATTCTTTGTAAATATATAAGATAACATGTGACATTCATATAAGAATCATGCACTATACAATATATAATTGCATTCGCACCCGAGGGGCTTGGCACCCTTTAAGGAGTATTCATGCATGTCGCAAAATGTAATTTCTAGCTGAATTAAGCTTCAATGCTAAATGACAAATTAGGTTCTATGAAATATAGGAGCACACTATTTTTCTTTACGAAACACAGTGCAAACGCAAAACACTTATATTTACGTGCGCATGCTCGCACGTATGAATACTTACTAGAGACCAAATTGGCATGAATTAAGATTGATCAAATTGTCACAAACGTCACGCTATGAAAATCGATACCATTTTTACAACACACAGACAATGACACAATTGACAACACACTACTATATAAACATACATATTTTTTTTATAAAAGGGTTTCTTTTTTTTTTTTGAAAAAGAAGAGCTAGAGCATATAATTGGATGTACACAATCCACCCACACATGCACTCTTTCTTTGAAAAAGAAAGCACACACCCACAAGTTACTAGCTAGCTATATTTGCAGCGTCATATTCTTAAAAAAAACAGTTAGAACATTTTTACGCTGTAAACTACCAGTACTTATATTAAAAGTTTGCAAACTTACACTTAATTACACTGTGAATTTTAATAGATGTACTGCAATACACAAATAACATATTATAGAGAATTAGAATTAAAAGTAATCGATTAACTACATATGTAAGAGAATGGAAGAGAAGATAGGAGAGATAGACATATATTAACAACTATAGATGAATACCTCATTGCGTTGCTGCGGGAAATTAAGTTACATAATATATACAAATATGATGCAATATGATTATTAAAACTGAAACAAATTAATACTTATAAATTTTGAGCCTATAAATAATTGAGATTGATGGTGTTACGAGAGAAGAAAGAAGGGACAATTCGAACCATAGATCTATCATACAAAGGCTAGAAATAATTAGGGTGATGTGACTTAATTAACGAGAAAAGAGAGAAACAGAAATAGTGGGGATGAACTATATAAGTATATAGGATTGATAGAAGAAAATAAATGATGAAGACCAAGTGAAAAATCAATGCGAAGCCCTATTTTTAGCAAAATTAGACCGTGTACATCTTTTGGATGTAGAGGCCGGTTTAATCCATTTTCTAAAACAAATTTTTAGCAAAAACATCTCGTAGCCTCACGCTTTGCCCGGGAACCTCTCGTAGCCTCACATCTCGTCATTCTCCCTCCTCCTTTCTCACGTATATAAACACACCCTCACCTCCTGGTGATAGATCATCTCTTGCATCAATCTTAATTTAATTTCTCTCTTCATCATCATCTCGCTCTCGATCTCCTACAGAAGCTACAATAGCCAGCAAATCAATCGATCGATCGATACGTGCAATGGCGGCCATGAAGGTGAACAAGATTGCCGTGGCGGCGCTGTTCCTCGTCGCCGTGGTGGTGGCGGGCGGCGCCGGCGCTAGCGCCCACGTCGGGGTTGGGGCTGGGGCCGGGGCCGACGCCGGCGTCGGTGCCGCCGTCGGGGCCGGCGCTGACGCCGCCCTCGGGGTTGGCGCCAACGCCGCCGGCGCCGCCGGGGCTGGAGTTGGGGCTGGAATTGGAGCCGCCGCCAACGTCGCCGGGTCTCTCACCGGCGCCGCCGAGGGCGCCGCCGGCGTGGCACCCAAGGTGCATGTGTGAGATCGATCGATCGATCGAGCGGCGCGGCGTACATCTCCACGACTCCATCCGCCCGTAGCGGCGCCGGCCATCGATCCACGACCATTCGCCGTCGATTGTTTTTGTTGTTAATAATTAAAGTTTGGTTAATTTAACCGCCAAGTGTTTGGTTGTTTATTTTATACTCTATCCGTACTAATAAAGAAAGTCGTTTAGGATAATGTTTAAGTCAAATCTTGGAAATATAAATAATGAACAACTCTCAAATTATTGAGTTTGAAAATGTAAAAATTACATGAATAGATTTGTCTTGAAAAATACTTTCATAAAAATATACATATATCACTTTTTAATAAATATTTTTATAGAAATAAGATATCAAAGTTATGTTTTGAAGACTGTGTCGCTGTCCAAAACAACTTTCTTTATGAGTATGGAGGGAGTATATGCAAACCTCGCGATTTGTGATAATTAATTAACTACCGAAATGTGTGTGCGGCCTGGGGCGTTGCTAATTCATCCTTCGCTCGGTCGCTCCATTAATTTGTAATATAAATATATATCCATGTATTTTGTGTAAATGTTATAAAGATCTAACTTATGGGCGGATCATCATATATACTGACGTGTAAACGTTGCTTAAAATTTTGATTGTTTTGTTACAAAATCTAACTCATCACTCATGCATGGACCATGCATACCTACACGTTTCATCTTGGTTAAAAGTAAACGGTTTTATGATCCAACAAATCCAATATAAAAGAGGCCCAAATACAAAGTGGATAAAAGAACATCATTTGCATTGGCTGAAATTATTTCTAGTCTAGAGATGTAGTAATTAATATAGCTATTATTCTCTTTAAGCTAAGAACCAGGCATGCTTAAACTTTTGAAACAAATTGAGATAGATAGCTATTAGCAGTAAATTTATATATCAAAATACAATCAAATCAATTCCACCTCTATTCAGATTACTATTTGTTGTATCAATGAACTTCCATTCAAATTTCTTCTTATTTTACCTCCACTCACCCTCTCATCCCCAACGCCCCAAATATCATCATTTAATACAGAACACCAAAATAATTTTTAAAATTTTAATCCCTGTTAAATAATCTAGAAATGTTGATATTTTAGAATGAATAAATTTCACAAAACTACAGATACTTTAGTCAAATTATCATAAAACAACATATCTAAGGTGATGTATTACAAAACTACAGATTTAACACTAAAATTCTCAAAGAACTACATATTTAAGGTGGAGTATCGCAAAACTACAGATTAAGTAACAAAATTATCCCAAAACTACAGGTTTAGTATCAATTCAATCATAAAACTTAGATATTTATAACTCAAATATAAGACTAGTGTTAAGGATTTAAACTCCAAAATCTGTAGTTTTGTCATAACTTTGTTACTAAATCCATAGTTTTGCGATACTCCACTTTAAATATGTAGTTTTGTAATAAATTTATTGTTAAATTTGTAGTTTTATGATATATCACCTTAAATCTATAGTTTTGTGATAATTTGGCTAGAGTATATGCAGTTTTGTGAAATTTACTCTTTTAGAATAGATAGAGTGTTGTACTTTGACTATATCTATATATCTATACGGAGAAGACATAATTTTCAATAACAAATCTACTCATGATATACGATAAAATCAATTACCTTGTGCAATTAGGTAAACAGGGTAATAATAGCCTCATTAATTATTCTTTGTAAATGTATAAGATAACCAGTGACATTCATACAAGAATCTTGCACTATACAATATATAATTGCATTCGCACCTGAGGGGCTTGGCACCCTCGTAAGGAGCAATCATGCATGTCGCCAAATGTAATTTCTAGCCAAATTAAGCCTCAAAGCTCAATGACAAATTAAGGTTCTATGAAGTATAGAAGCACATTATTTTTCTTTACGAAACACAGTCCAGACGCAAAACACTTATATTTATGTGCCTACGCTCACACGTATGAATGAATATATACCTTACCCTATAAATACTTCCTAGAGACTAAATTGACATGAATTGAGATTGATGAAGTTGGCATGGACATCTCGCTATGAAAATCGATACCATTTGTACAACACACAGACAATGAGACTATTGCCAATACTCAACGCTACTATATAAACATACATAATTTTTTTATCAAAAGGATTTTTTTTTAAAAGAAAAGTGTCGATGTTTTAGGTCACGACTACGGTATTTGCATGGTATGGAGATCGTTGGTACCAGGGTATATGCAAGATTGAAGTAAAAGAGACAGAAACAAGGATTTTTACGCAAATTCGGGCCCCCTTCACAGGAAGCTAATGACCCTACTCCCGTTAACCGAAGCCAGTGTTGCTTTTTATTCGGCTGAATCACACAAGTACAATAATTGCGATAACCTATCTAGCTGTCTTCGACTTGGCGACATGGATCACCAACACGTAGTCGACGACAGGGTAGTCTTCCTCCTCGTGTACGAACTCGTCGAAATCAGAGATGGCGCTAGATCCCTCTTGTCGGTCTCCACAAGCACCAGATTGGGTTTGTCTAGGTTAATCTCTAATGCCGATGTCTGGCTTGTTTTGGCTTGTGTGTTGATTTGTTGTGTGTGTTCTCTCCCCTAGGGGATTTTGTATTTATACAATAAATGTCCCATTGTCCAAGTAGAACTAGGGAGACCAAAATGGAAAAAATCCTAATAGTCCTTATAGTTTTTATATAGAACTCTATTTGTCATTCCTTATCCGGAATTCCTTCTATATACGAGGTATGATTCCTTATAAGATTTGGTATATGGTGAGCCCCGCCGAGTTTAGTCAATTACTACTAGGTATGTGCTATTCATAACCATGATAAAAAAGAGCTAGAGCATATAATTGGATGTACACACAATCCACCCACACATGCACTATTTCTTAAAAAAAAAGCACGAACCCACAAGTTAGTAGCTATGTTCATAGCGTCATATTTAAAAAAACAGTTAGACCATTTTTACGCTGTAAATTACTCGTACTTATATATTAATAAAAGTTTGCAAACTTACTAGATATACTGCAATGTTTGTAATACACAATTAACACATTAGAATTAGAATTAAAAGTAATTGATTAACTACATATGAAAAGAAGATAGGAGAGGTAGACATATATTAAAATAGAAGAAAATTAAATAACTGATGAAAACCAAGTGAAAAATTAATGCGAAACCCTATTTTTAGCAAAAACAAATTAAACCTATTCACGCTTGTCCGGGAACCTCTCGTAGCCTGACATGATCACATCTCTCGTCATTCCCCCCTCCTCCTTTCTCACGTATATAAACACCCCCTCCCCTCCGGTTGATCGATCATCTCTTGCATCGATCTTAATTTCTCTCTTCATCTTCTCGCTCTCGATCTCCTACAGAAGCTATAGTAGCCAGCAAATCAATCGATCGATCCGTACAATGGCGGCCATGAAGATGAACAAGATTGCCGTGGCGGCGCTGTTCCTCGTCGCCGTGGTGGTGGCGGGCGGCGCCGGCGCTAGCGCCCACGTCGGGGTTGGGGTTGGGGCTGGGGCCGGCGCCGACGCCGCCCTCGGGGTTGGCGCCAACGCCGCCGGCGCCGCCGGGGCTGGAGTTGGGGCTGGAATTGGAGCCGCCGCCAACGTCGCCGGGTCTCTCACCGGCGCCGCCGGCGTGGCACCCAAGGTGCATGTGTGAGATCGATCGATCCATCGATCGATCGAGCGCGCGGCGGCGTCATCTCCACTACTCCATCCGCCCGTAGCAGCGCCGGCCATCGATCCACGACCATTCGCCGTCCATTGTTTTTGTTGTTAATAATCAAAGTTTGGTTAATTTAACCGTCAAGTGTTTGGTTGTTTATTTTATACTCCATCCGTACTGATAAAAAAATCATTTAGAAGAATGTTTAATTCAAACCTTAGGAATATAAATCATGAATAACTCTCAAGTTGTTGAGTTTGAAAATGTAAAAATTATATGAATAAATTTGTCTTGAAAAATACTTTTATAAAAGCATGCATATATCACTTTTTAATAAATAATTTTATAGAAATAAGATATCAAAGTTATGTTTTAAAGACCGTGTCGCTGTCCAAAACGACTTCCTTTACGAGTATGGAAACCTCGCCGATTTGTGATAATTAATTAACTACCGAAATGTGTGTGCGGCCTGGGGCGTTGCTAATTCATCCTTCGCTCGGTCGCTCCATTAATTTGTAATATAAATATATATCCATATATTTTGTGTAAATGTTATAAAGATCTAACTTATCGGCGGATCATCATATATACTGGCATGTAAACGTTGCTTAAAATTTTGACTGTTTTGTTACAAAATCAAACTCATCACTCATGCATGGACCATGCATACCTACTCGTTTTATCTTGGTTAAAAGTAAACGGTTTGATGATCCAACAAATCATAGAAGAGGCCCAAATACAAAGTGGATAAAAGAGCATCATTTGCATTGGCTGAAATTATTTTTAATCTAGAGATGTAGTAATTAAGGAACTAGCTAGCAAATTCGAGTAATTAATATAGCTATTATTCTCTTTAAGCTAATTAAGAACCAGGCATGCTTAAACTTTTGAAACAAATTTATATATCAAAATACAATCAATTCCACCTCTATTCAGATTACTACTTGTCGCATCAATGAACTTCCATTCAAATTTCTTCTTATTTTACCTCCACTCACCCTCTCATCCCCAACACCCCAACTATCATCATTTAATACAGAACACCAAAATATTTTTTAAATTTTAATCCCTGTTAAATAATCTAGAAATGTTGATATTTTAGAATGAGTAAATTTCACAAAACTACAGATACTTTGGTCAAATTATCACAAAACTGTTGATTTAAAGTGATGTATTACAAAACTACATATTTAACACTAAAATTTTCAAAGAACTATATATTTAAGGTGGAGTATCGTAAAACTACAGATTAAGTAACAAAATTATCCCAAAACTACATGTTTAGTATAAATTCAATCATAAAACTTAGACATTTATAACTCAAATATAACACAAGTGCTAAGGATTTAAACTCCAAAATCTGTAGTTTTGTCATAACTCTGTTACTAAATCTATAATTTTCCGATACTCCACTTTAAATATGTAGTTTTGTGATAAATTTATTATTAAATTTGTAGTTTTGTGATACATCACCTTAAATTTGTAGTTTTGTGATAATTTGGCTAGAGTATTTGTAGTTTTGTGGTATTTACTCTTTTAGAATAAATGGAGTGTTGTACTTTGACTATATCTATATATCTATATGGAGAAGACATAATTTTCAATAACAAATCTACTCATGATATATAATAAAATCAATTACCTTGTGCAATTGGGTAAACAAGGTAATAATGACCTCATTAATTATTCTTTGTAAATGTATAAGATAACCAGTGACATTCATACAAGAATCATGCACTGTACAATATATAATTGCATTCGTACGGAGGGGCTTGGCACCCTTGTAAGGAGCAATCATGCATGTCGCCAAATGTAATTTCTAGCCAAATTAAGGTTCAAAGCTTGATGACAAATTAAGGTTCTATGAAGTATAGAAGCACATTATTTTTCTTTATGAAACACAGCGCAGATGCAAAACACTTATATTTACGTGTGTACGCTCACACGTATGAATAGATATGTACCTTACCCTATGAATACTTCCTAGAGACCAAATTGACATAAATTGAGATTGATGAAGTTGGAACAGATGTCTCGCTATGAAAATCGATACCATTTGTACAACACACAGACAATGAGACTATTGTCAACACTCAACACTACTATATAAACATACATAATTTTTTAATCAAAAGGTTTTTTTTTTGAAAAGAAAAGTGTTGACGTTTTAGGTCACGACTACGGTATTTGCATGGTATGAAGATCGACGGTACTAGGATATATGCGAGATTGAAGTAAAAGAAATTAGACAATGATTTTTATACAAATTCGGGCCCCTTCACATGAAGGTAATGACCCTACTCCCGTTTTCCGAAGCCGATGTTGCTCTTTATTCGTCTGAATCACACAAGTACAACAATTGGGATAACCTATCTAGCTGTCGTCGATTTGGCGACATGGATCACCAACACGTAGTCGATGACAGGGTAGTCTTCCTCCTCGAGTACGAACGCGTCGAGATCATAGATGGTACTAGATCCCCTCTTGTCGGCCTCCACAGGCACTAGATTGGATTTGCCTAGGCTAATCTCTAATGTCGATGTCTGGCTTGTCTTTGCTTGTGTGTTGATTTGTTGTGTCTTCTCTCCCCCTAGGGGGATTTGTATTTATACCAATAGATATCCCATTGTCCAAGTAGAATTAGGGAGACCAAAATAGATACAATCTGAATAGTACTTATAGTTTCTATAAAGAACTCTATTTGTTCTTCCTTATCCGGAACTCTTTTTATATACGAGATATGATTCCGTATAAGACTTGGTATATGGTAAGCCCCGTCGAGCTTAGTCAATTACTATTGGGTATGTGGTATCCATAAACATGACAAAAAAAGAGCTAGAGCATATAATTGGATGTACACAATCCACCCACACATGCTCTTTCTTAAAAAAAAGTGCAAACCACAAGTTAGTAGCTATATTCGTAACGCCATATTTAAAAAAACAGTTAGTCCATTTTTATGCTGTAAATTACTCGTACTTATTTATTATTAAAAGTTTGCAGACTTACACTTAATTACACTGCGAATTTTACTAGATATATACTAGCAATTGATTAACTACATATGGAAGAGAAGATAAGAGAGATAGACATATATTAACAATTAGATAGAAGAAAATTAATTAACTGATGAAAACCAAGTGAAAATTAATGCGAAGCCCTATTTTTAGCAAAAACTAAACCTATTGATCACGCTTGTCCGGGAACCTCTCGTAGCCTGACATATGATCACATCTCTCGTCATTCTCCCTCCTCCTTTCTCACGTATATAAACACCACCCTCCCCTCCGGTTGATCGATCATCTCTTGCATCGATCTTAATTTCTCATCTTTTCGCTCTCGATCTCCTACAGAAGCAATAGTAGCCAGCAAATCAATCGATCGATCCGTACAATGGCGGCCCTGAAGATGAACAGGATGGCCGTGGCGGCGCTGTTCCTCGCCGCCGTGGTGGTGGCGGGCGGCGCTGGCGCTAGCGCCCACGTCGGGGTTGGGGCTGGGGCTGGGGCCGACGCCGGCGTCGGCGCCGCCGTCGGGGCTGGCGCTGACGCCGCCCTCGGGGTTGGCGCCGGCGCCGCCGGCGCCGCCGGGGCTGGAGTTGGAGCTGGAATTGGAGCCGCCGCCAACGTCGCCGGGTCTCTCACCGGCGCCGCTGAGGGCGCCGCCGGCGTGGCACCCAAGGTGCATGTGTGAGATCGATCGATCGATCGAGCGCGCCGCGGCTTCCATCTCCACGACTCCATCCGCCCGCAGCGGCTCCGGCGATCCATATTTTTATAAATTCGCAGTCGATTGTTTGTTGTTAATCAAAGTTTGGTTAATTTATCCGTCGAGTGTTTGGTTGTTTATTTCATATGCAAACCTCGCGATTTGTGATAAATAATTACCGAAATGTATGTGTGTGTGGGGTGCTAATTCATCCTTCACTCCATTAATTTGTTATAAATATATATCCTTGTACTAGTGTAAATGTAATAAAGATCTTAAGTTATGGGTGGATCATCATATACTCCCCCCGTCCCAAAAAAAAGACAAACTCTGGTTTCCGTTCCCAACGTTTGACCGTCCGTCTTATTTGAAAAAATTATAAAAAAAAACTAAAAAGACAAGTCACACATAAAATATTAATCATGTTTTATCATCTAACAACAATAAAAATACGAATTATAAAAATAATTCATATAAGACGGACAGTTAAAGTTGGACACGGAAACCCATGGTTTGTCTTTTTTCGAGACGGAGGGAGTATGTATTGACGTAACGTTGCTTGATTAAAATTTTGATTGTTTTGGTACGGAATCTAACTCATGGAACGGGCCATGCATGCATACCTACACGTTTCATCTTGGTTAAAAGCAAACGGTTCGATGATCGAACAAATGCAATATAGAAGAGGCCCAAATACAAAGTGGATAAAAGACCAGCATTTGCATTGGCTGAAATTGATTTTAATCTAGAGATGTAGTAGCTATTATTCTCTTTAAGCAAAGAACCAGGCATGAAAAAATAAGATAGATAGTTATTAGCAGTAAATTTATATATAAAAATACAATTACTTCCACCACTGTTCAGATTACTACTTGTCGTATTAATAAATTTCCATCGGAGTTTCTTCCTATATTTTACCTCCACCCACTCTCTCACCCCCCCCCCCAACGCCCCAACTATCATCATTAATAAAGAGCACTAAAATATTTTTAAAAATTTAATCTCTATTAAATAATCTAGAAATATTGATATTTTAGCATAGATAAAGTATTGTACTTTGACTATATCTATATGGAGAAGACATAATTTTTAATAACAAATCTACTCATGCAAAATCAATTACCTTATGCAATTGGGTAAACAGGGTAATAATGGCCACATTAATTATTTTTGTAAATGTATTAAGATAACATGTGACATTCATACAAGAATCCTGCACTATATATAGTGCGCACCCGGGGCTTGGCACCTTGTAAGGAGTAATCATGCAAGCATGTCGCCAAATGTAACTAATTTCTAGCAAGCCAAATTAAGCTTCGAGGCTAAATGACAAATTAAGACTCTATTAAGCATAGGAGCATATTATTTTCTTTTGTGAAACACAGTACAAACATAAATTACCTATATTTACATGCACATGCTTACACGTATGAATGAGTATACACCTTACCCTTTGAATACTTCCTAGAGACCAAATCAGCATGAATTGAGATTGATGAACTTGTCATGGTCATGGACGCCTCGCTATGAAAACCGATACTATTTGTACAACACACGGATAGTAAGACAATTGACAACATTACTATATGAACATATATTTTTTTATCAAAAGGATGCCTTTTTTTTTTGGAAAAACAAGAGCTAGGAGCATATAATTGGATGTACACAATCCACCCACACATGCAAACTTTTTCTTTAAAAAAACGCACATCCTCAAGTGACTAGTTATTTTTTTAGCATCATATTCTTAAAAAAAAAGTTAGACCTTTTTACGTTGCAACTTACTCTTACTTATATTAAAAGATTAGAAACTTACACTTAATTACACTATAAATTTTAATAGATGTACTGCAATATTTGTAATACACATTATGGAGAATTAGAACTAAGGATGTGTTTGGATAATGGGAAATGGAGAGTGGGATTAGGATTGAGAAATGAATGAATGGTTAGGATTAAATGGAAGAGGGAGAATGAATGGTTAGGGTGTGTTCGGACCCAAGGGTTCCCAATCCCTCTCCATCGTATTCCGCGTGCATGCTTTTCAAACTGTTAAACAGTGCGTTTTTTGTAAAAATGTGTCTATACGAAAGTTGCTTAATTAAAAAAATCATATTGATCCATTTTTTTAAAAAAAATTAGCTAATACTTAATTAATCACACGCTAATGGACTGCTCCGTTTTCCGTGCTTGGGTGATATGTTCCCATTCATCAACAGCGAACACACCCTTAGCATTTAAAGATACCTTTTGATGGGTGGAAAATTATTTTCCTATCCCATTATCCAAACAATGCCTAAAAGTAATTGATTACCTAAGAGAAGATAGGAGAGATAGACAAACATTAACACATTACATGAGAAAGATAACATGATGAAAACCAAGTGAAAACTTACTGCGAAGCCATATTTTTAGCAAACACATACTCACGCTTGCCCGGGAACCTCTCGTAGCCTCACATCTCGTCATTCCTCCCTCCTCCTTTCTCACGTATATAAACACCCTCCCCTCCGGGCGATCGATCGTCTCTTGCATCGATCTTAATTTCTCTCTTCATCATCTCGCTATATACGTGCAATGGCGGTGGCGCAGGTGAGCAGGACGGCCGTGGTGGCGCTGGTCCTCGTCGCCGTGGTGGTGGCGGCGGCGTACGTGCCGGCGGCGACCGCGTACGGCTGCTTCGACGACTGCTACGAGCGCTGCGCCAACGGGAAGACGGACGACGCCTGCAACTCCATGTGCAAGCAGGCTTGCAGCGGCGCCGGCGGCGGCCCCGCCGAGGCGCCCGACGAGGCTTGATCGCCGACGACGAGCGCCGCCGCGCCGCCGTCCATCGATCTCCATATCCGCCCGTAGCCGCCGGCTATATATACACTCGATTATTTGTTTGTTTGTTGTTAATTCAAGTTTGATTGATTTAACCGTCGAGTATCTAAATTAGTTTGTTTTGTTTGTTTAATTTATGCAAGCTGGTGTACTCTCTCAGCGATTTGTAATTCTTGTGTGATAATTAAGTGAATTTGTTCCCTTGTTTCTTCTTTGATTAATTAATTACCGAGATGCCTTGCAAAAGAAAGATCGATCAATTACCGAAATGTGTGTGCGCTGTTAATTCATCTTTGGTGGCCAATTCATCAGTGCGGTGGAATCCATCTTACAAAGATATTTAATACTTGGCTCGTAAAACTATATATATATACATTTTTATTATGTTTAGAGAAGAGATATTGGGAGTATACTTGCTAATAAATATGGGGGAAGGAAGGAATAGAAATAAAACCTTGTGGTAGATTTATGGTTTGAACATTTTATTATCTCAGTTGTTGTAGGAGATCGAATGGCCTCTAGATGACATGTTTTAACTAGAAACTCATATTAGGCTGAATTGAACTGGTTATAAGTGGCTATTTTGATGTAACAAGTGTTGTTGATATTTTCTTTAACCTATGGCAAAACATGAACAATAACTATGTTAATGGATAGCTATTGTTTGGGAACTCTAGATTACGTTCATGGATGTACTACACATGAAAAAGAAGAAAAGTTGGGTGTAAAATTGAAAGATAGATATGTTTTTTTTAGGGGGAGGGGGTGTTTAATTGTTACTATCTAACAAAAGCCAAGTAATGCTTATGGCTTGGGCAACATATCCTATACACATAAGCTCTCACGTGTACACACATGCACACCAACTAACAAATATCATAAAAAATCTAAAAAATATTCATGTATGTACTTTCAATAGTATTACACCTAGGGATAAAGTCTTAACCTCAAATTCGTTATATTTTAGTTGTAACAAAAAAACAAAAAATCTAACAGTTTTAAGGTTGTAATTCTGTCAGAATTTTGTCTTTTTTACTTTCTATGTAGAATTAATGAATTTGAAGATGTAACTTTACATGTAGATGTAATACTATTGGAAGCAAATGTATGAATTTTTTTAGAATTTTTATGATAATTTTTAGTTGGTGTACACGGTGTGTATATACGAGTGCATAGGATACGCTCTCTATGGCTTGCTACCCAAAATTGAAAGTTAGTATACAATGTCTCGTTTTTCAAGTTTTACGGCGCTCCATCACAATGTTTAATTAAGGGCATAAACAATAGTTTGACATCAGCATTTGGAAAAAAAAACTCATGATGTTAAATATTGGAGGATGTAAAAGAGAGAGATTATCGTTGGTACAGGTGACGGATTTGACGATGGGCCATTGGTTTGATGTCAAAATATGCCTACCAAACTGTTGGTATTTTAAATAGTAATTTGGCTATTGTTTGATTTACTACCAAAATATGCCAATAAGATACATAAGTTACCAAAAACATTTGGCACTACTAAAATTGGCCTATAATTTGGCATTGCCAATATTTGGCATGGTAGCAAACCAAACAAGCCCGATACCAGTAAGCAAATTAAACAACACAATTAAGTACAAACTTTATCTAAGACTGCATTAATTAATTATGACACGAAAAATTTTGTACTCCTAAATAACAACGTTACTAAGAGCAGGACCAATAGCAGGCTATATGCCAGCTATAAACACATAACGAGGAGATGAAAGAAGAGAGAGATGAGCAGCGGACTACAGATTTATAGCCAGCAGCAATACGGGCTCCAAGACGAAATGTATGTATAACAGGTGGGACTATATACTAATAGTGTAGTATACGTTTATATGCTACTATTGCATGACTTAGCTATTAAATTGACTATAGATGATTTGGAGCTAGTAATTGGCTATACTATTAAACTTGCTCTAGTCACTTTTTGTGTCATAACTATGGGCAAACTAATAGCTTCATCTTTTCGCTTATACTTGTGGTAATTGTAACGGCTCATTAACTAATAAAAAATAATTAATGGACATTTTTTATAAATGTATTCCAAGCGATTTTAAAACAGATGGTGTAAAGTAAATTACTCTCTCCGTTTCAAATTATAAGTCTTTTTATTTTGGTCAAAGTCAAACTACTTCAAATTTAATTAAGTTTGTAGAAAAATATAATAATATTTACAACACCAAATTAGTTTTATTAAATCAATGATTATATTTTCATAATATATTTGTCTTGGGTTGAAAATGTTACTATTTTTCTCTACAAATTTGAACTTAGAGTGATTTTACTTTAACCAAAGTCAAAACGACTTATAATCTAGAACTGAGGGAGTATAATAGAAAACCACAAAATCAACTTAGATTAAGTTTTGAAATTTACATTTTCACTAAGGCTTATAAGACGAAAATTAAACGATGGGGGTTTAAATTTAAAAAAGAGGAAATGGATGCGACGCGTGTTAGTCGAGTAGCCGAGTCCGACCCAAAAACACTCACTCGGCCCACATCACGCCACCACCCCGACCCAACCCAAACTTCTTTTCCACGCCGCCGCCGCCGCCGCCGCCGCCCCACGCCCGATGCCACCCGCCGCCGCCGGCTGCCACCGCTGCCGGCGGCTTCCTCCCCACCGCCGTTGACCTCCCCCCACGCCCTCGCCATGCCCCGCCTCCCCCTCCTCCCCTCCCGCTCCCCCCGCCGCCGCCCCCTCCTCCTCGCCATTCTCTCGAACACCTTCTCCGCGTCCACCCGCGCCCCTCCCCCGCCTCTCCCCCCGCTCTCCCCGCTTCTCCCGCGCCGAGCCGACGCCGCCACCGCCCTCACCCCCGTCGCCTCCGCCATCGCCGACTCCTTCCGCGACTGGTTCCTCCTGTCCCGCCGCGGGGCCGCGGGGGCCGCCGCGCCGCCCGCGGCGCTCGACGCGATCTACAGCGCCGTCGCGGCCGAGGAGGCCGCGGCGCTCGACGCGCTCCCGCTCTCCGAGCAGCTCGTGCTGGCCGTGCTCCGCCACCGCCCGCGCCACCTCCCCGACGACGACGCGCTGCTGCTGCTCCGCCTCAGGTTCTTCGACTGGTCGGGGAGCCGCGGGCGGTACTCCCACACGCGCGCCGTGTACCACTCCGTCTTCCGCCTCCTCTCCCGCTCCCGCCGCTCCGCCGTGGTGGTGGACTGGCTCCGCCTCTTCTCCAACGCCAACGCGACCCCCGCCAGGTCGCGCTTCCACGACACGCTCGTCGTCGGCTACGCCGTCGCCGGCGATCCCCAGCGCGGGCTCAGCATCCTCGGTCGCATGCGATTCCGCGGCCTCGACCTCGACGCCTTCTCCTCCCACATCCTCCTCAATTCCCTCGTCGAGGCGTCGCTCCATGAGTATGCTGATTCCTTCGCTCGCCACCTTGCTGCAAGTCCTGTGGCGACCTGCATTCGCATCAAGAGCCTCTGCCGCCAAGCCCGCAGCAGAGATGCCGTGGCTCTCCTGGACACCCTCCCTTTCGACCAAGCATCCAGTGCCCCTGCAGCTGGCTCGATCATCACAGACTTGTGCCGCCGTGGGCGCTTTGATGATGCAGCTCAGATTGTTGACAGGTTCCCCTCCGCTGATGTGTATGGCTCATGGATTCATGGCCTCGTCGAGGCCGGGAGACTCGACACTACGTTGCAGTTCCTTTCTGAGAAGAAAGAAGCCGAGGGGTATATTCCTGATGGACCTCGGTATGACAAGCTTACGTATCGCTTGCTTCGCAGTAACAGGCTCGGTGAGGTGTATGACTTGCTTGTGGAAATGATGGAGGAGGGCATTGCTCCAGGCCGTTCAACCATGAATGCCGCGCTTTGCTTCTTTTGCAAGGCTGGGCTCGTGGAAGTTGCGGCACACTTGTATCGGTCAAGGATGGAGCTTGGGGTTAACCCTAACAAGGATGTGTACAACAATTTGATCAGGGCTCTTTGTCGGGTTGGGGACACAGAAGAGGCGTGCCTGGTGTTGGAGCAGGCTATGGCAGAAGGGTACTTCCCTGGGCGACAGACATTTACCATGTTTGCAAATGTGTTGTGTCAGGAGGGGAAGCTAGATAGGGTGCGAGTGCTCCTTGACAGAGCACTCAAGCAGGAGGCATGCCCAACGGACAGTGTCTTGGCCAAGTACCTTGTGGCATTGTGCAAGAGTGGGGATGTGGAGGCAGCATGTGCAGTGCCTCAGATGGCAGGCAGCAAAAGTCCTAAGGGCTTATATCGCTACGAATCAACTTACAAGAGCTTGATTCGGGCATTGATATTGATCAGGAGGGTGGATGTACTGCCAAGGCTCTTACTGGAAATGCAAGACATGGGGCACATCCCGAGCCGAAGCCTCTATCAGTCGGTTGTTTGTGCTTTGTGTGAGGTGAGCAGGTATGCTGAGGTTCTGGAGCTGCTGAACAACCAGCTGCAACGGACTGACCTACACCCCCGTGTATGCTACAACTACTTCATCGCTGGGGCTGGGCATGCTAAGAAGGCTGACATGGCCAGGGAGGTATATAACCAAATGGAGTATTCTGGGCTTGAACCATCAGGAGACAGCAATGTCCTTCTTCTTATGAGTTATCTGAGGAGTAAGCGTATTGGCGATGCACTAAACTTCTTCAACTTCATTCGTGACAAGAAGACACCTGGCACCAAGCTGTACAATGTATTCATATCTGGTCTATGTGAAGCTCAGAAGCCAGAGCAGGCAATGGTGTTCTGGAGGGAAGCGAGGGAGAAGGGTTTAGTCCCAAGCATCAGCTGCTATGAACAGCTTGTGCTCCTGTTGTGCTCTGTGAAAGATTATGACAATGTCGTAAAGGTTATTGATGACTTCAAAGAAACAGGTCGCCCTGTTTCGGCTTTCTTGTGTAACGTGCTTCTGTTGCACACATTGAGGGGCAGTGACCTTCTGAAGGCTTGGAAACGTTCAGAGCAGGCAACAGTGAAACCAGAAGAGATCCAGGGTAAGGGGGTAGGACGGTTCTTGATTGGCGAACTTATTATGATGTTTGCAGGTGGTATTAGGAACATGAATGACTTAGAGGATTTAGAAGAGGACCTAGAAAAACATTTTCCAGTTGATGTTTACACTTATAACATGCTGCTGCGAGGGTTGAGCATGGTGGGGAGGATGGACTCTGCCTGTAACTTGTTTGAGAGGCTGTGCCGCAAGGGGTATGAACCGAATCGGTGGACTTTTGATATAATGGTACATGGCTTCTGCAAGAATAGTGACAGGGATGAGGCCGAGAGATGGATGGAAGCAATGCACCGAAATGGGTTCTATCCCACATGGTACACTATGAGGATATATAACAATTTAGCGTTGCGATCAACTGATCATAAAGTCATCTCATTTGTATAAGTAATCATCTCTCTGCCACCGCTTTCATGCCTTGGTCTGCTGTGATCCTATGACTTCACTGGAACAGGTAAAACTATTATCAGAACCTTGTTCTATGGTTTTAGTTATTTAAGAAGGTACTCGGTGCGATTCATTTGCTGTTATGTTTTTTGTGTAATTCCTTCTATGTTTTCTTACAACACAAGTCACATTAGACCTTTCGCTGTGTTTTGCACTCTATCTTGGACACACATTAGCGGAGGTAATTTGTTAAACATGACAATTTTCAGTTGGCAGTCGCATTCGAGTTCCACTGTTAGGAACAGGCATGCAGTTGCTTAATAACATGTAAATACATATTTATCTATCCTACTTTTACAAGTCCATTTTGTTTGTACAATTCATACTGCACTGATTGAAAACCTTTTACCGCACATGAATTGGTTGTGATCATTTTTAGTCTATATAAATATCTAATAGACCAAGCTCAAGTTAATCTAGCCTTTTGTATTTTCCAAGCCAAGGTAATTCAGTGCGGTTTTCTGGATGTTTGCAGGCCTAATTTTTGAACATCAGATCTGTACCTGTGGAAGTTTATTCCTAAATTTAACATCACTATCCTCTGAACCACATCTCACCTGGCCCAACACAGTTCCAAGATGCGTCTAGGATATCAGTTGACATGTAATCTAGTTTTACACAATTTTGCGATCACATGATATTTTTGTGCCCAGAATTTTGAGGTTTTAGCTATCCGATCATTCGGTATTGTTTCATTTGGTTGTTTAACAACCATTAGGGCCCCACTGTAATCAGTAAGTTATATCAAGCAATGGTCATTCTTTTTCATCTGGAATTTAAGCACTAGAAAATAGAAGTTGAATAAATGCAGATTGTACAAGTTCTGTATCAGGTAAGATGTGTGATATGCTACTTGGCAACAACCTGTAAGTTATATCAAGCAATGGTCATTCTTTTTCATGACCACCGGCTTTTCCAGCTTTTGGAAGTGGAACCTGCGAGTTCTTAGTTCTTTACATGCTAACTGTAACGAAATTGCTTTTGCCATCAAGATAGTATTTTCTGAATTGCTTTTGGCAGTTCAGTATTCATTTTGCTGCCATTCTTTGTTTAGTACTCCCGAAGCACTGTCAATTGATTGTTTTTTTTCTGCTTAATCATATATGTTAACGATCTTTTAGGTTGTAAAATTAGCAAAGAACTAATGTTGGCACTTCGAAGGATTGATCTGCAGAACAGACTACCCTTTGATTATTTCACAACTTTTTATAACGTACAGTATCTTGAGATAAAAACTCAACAATCTTTTGCTAACAATTAGCTCGACGGTGATTAAAGAAAACAATACTATTGGATTCAAAATTCAGTTTTATAGGCTAACCCAGTGAACTGCACGTTGTACCATCGGAGAGAGAAAATAAATTGAACCATTCAGCATTGATCTTTGCAAAGAAATAAATGGATCACGTGGAAACAATATGTACATTACACTGAGCATGCTAGCAAACCAAACTACCTAAATTTCGATCTTATGTACTATGGTTCATTGAAATACTCAAAAGTTCTTGCACTAGTAGGAGCATCAGATTACACAGCTTATTCCACGAAACCAAAGGTGGAGAAAAGCCAAAAATTGGGGATTGGGCGTGATACACCTTGAGCTTCAGTCAATGTCCAAGCTAGAGTATGGCTCATGACCAACCTGCATTGGTTTAATAATTTAGGGCATCATCAGTCTATGCATATTGAAAGAGTTGCGCACAGGAAAAGAAAATTGCAACTGAATTCTTATATATAGTAACATGAGCATTAAGACATGAGGTGTGTAATTAATTGGAAGCACCAAATCTAGCACATAAAAGAGCAGAGTTTGCGTGATAACTGGCAAGTTGTTGCTACTTAGTACTCACTGAGCAATCATCATGAACACGCCAGATTGTCTCGCCTAAAAGGTTAGCAACTGAAAGGATAGTCAGCTGCGGGAAACTCTTGTCCTCCTTGAGAGGTATAGTGTTTGTGATGATTACTTCTTGAAACAAACCACTTGATAACCTTTCAATGGCGGGCGGGCTGAAAAAGGCAATGTACAAATATTATAAATTTTCCACAGAAAAATAACAAAGCATGAGTCAAATTTAATGTCAGGAACGTTATCTTTGCTGCATAGTCAAGTGTGGTAAATAATTGTAACCTCTGTATTGTTTAGGAGAACTTGTACAAAACTGAGTTCCACCAAAAGCATGAATAAAGTATGTCTATAACATAACAAAGGATTCTGAGCTTCTCCATGGTAAATCAAGTTCAGCTAGCTTACTACATCAATATCTACTGGAAATACCATAGTTGGTACAAATATAGCATACCTAAAAACAGCATGTGTACAGCATGCATAGACTTCTCTTGCTCCTTCTTGATGCAGCAGCTCAGCTCCTTTGGCAATAGTTCCTAATTTAATTGGTTTCATTAGAATATTGATATTTGGAAGCGAAATATCTCAAAGAAAGGCAAAGAGTAATTTTAGTTGTGTGTGCAATTTAATGCTAAAATTAAATTCTCAACTGCCTTGGATGAATCATGAATGAGAACAGTTCAGATGAGAACTTACCAGCTGTATCAATCATATCATCCATCATAACAGCCACTTTTCCTCTAACATCTCCAATAAGATTCATTACCTGTAAAAAAATGAACATGATAAACTGTAGTGGTTTAATCTCACAAAGCATGAAAATTTAAACAAGTATGCAACATGTAGTGATATAGACTCGTCTGAAAATGCATTAAGTACTATAACATGCAGATTGAATCTAGGAAAAGGTGCCAGAGAATATTTCCTTCTATGCATCATCGTAGACTGCAGTTAATACACACAATATGGAGAAGATCAGAAGAACTTAGAACGAACTAAGTTATTTTTCCTACTTGCATTCATAAATGTTTATCCTGTATAAACCAGAAAGCAAAGAATGCTCTACTTGCCTCGGCAACATTGTGTCCATGCCTTCTTTTATCAACAATTGCTAGAGGTGCATCTGATAGCTTTTTGGCAAAAGCACGTGCCCTGGCAACACCTCCAACATCCGGAGACACCACCACCAGGTCATCTGAACATATTGTCTTGCTGGCGAGGTAATCAAGAATCACAGGCTTGACAGATCAAAGAATCAAAAAGAAAGACAAAGTTATAATCATAAATGAAATCACATGCAAGCAGTTATCAGTCAACATGCATCAGTGCATACCTGACCATAAACATGATCTACTGGGATGTCAAAGTATCCCATGGCTTGACTGGAATGAAGATCACATACAAGGACACGGTTCGCACCAGCTTCTGTAATCATATTAGCTACAAGTTTTGCAGCTATAGATTCACGGCCTTGAGACTGAAAGCAGGAAATGCTTTTGTTAGTTTTGACATGCTAGCCAGAGTGCTGTGCCATAACACAAGTCTTCAACAAATTGAGAACTTCGACAATATATTCTTGTTTCAAAAAAATAAGATGTTCCTCAGATGTTAAGACAATATGTAATGCTACTGATTCCTGACTGTGAGGATTCCACAAATGGACACATAGACTAAACTTTATACAATAATAAAGTTTGTCCGTCATTGCTCTCTTTGTGGAAACAATAATAAAGTGTAGTGTTACAAGCATGTGACAAATGCCACTCAAAAAATAAAATGATCCCAAAACCACTAAGATAATTTGGAGGCAAAAAATTGTATGACAAGTTGACAACATTACCTTCCTGTCAGCTCTGGCATAACCAAAATAAGGGATGACTGCAGTAATATTCTTAGCAGATGCTCTCCTACAGGCATCAATCATGATCAGAAGTTCCATAAGATTCTCATTTGCAGGAGGGCACGTTGGTTGCACAAGGAAAACATCGCATCCCCTTACGCTTTCTTGTAACTGAACATATATTTCGCCATCAGCAAACCTTTTTATGTTAATCTTCCCAAGTTCTAAGCCCAAGTAACTTGCTATTTCCTGCAGATAAGACAACAAGAAAAACTTCCATCTTAGTTTGGCACTGTGAGATTAACCATTCAGTCAAACAAGTGCTACTTGTAACAAGTCACACTTAAATACTACTGCTAGACTTCTTTTGAGGACCAGCTGTCCACTTTTCATAGTTCATGGCTATATGCCTCTTTAAGCCTAATTATGCTCAATGTACATTTTTGCATCTACCACTACTAACAGTCTGTTTTCCGGAAGTTATGGATGAACTGAATAATATTCAATATCTTGATGTTACAACCACAGTAAACCACATAGCCCAATTCGTTGCATCTGTCAAATTTGAAACAAGAGAATGCAAAGCATGAAAAAGTAATGAGAGATTCAGCTGACCTGGGAAAGAGAAGGGTTGGCAGTCCCTGAGAAGATACGCAACCTTGTATCATTCTTAATATTCGCATCCCGGATAATCGGCAGCGTCACAGGACTTAACAACGATCTGTTAGACACTGGAGCGTATGGTGGTATTCCATTGACTGCCCTCAGTTGATCAATCTTCTTGCACCTCTGCACGACCAAAGATCCTTTCAGCTTAAGTGTGCAGGAGTGCATTAATCCAATCCAGTACACTAAATTCAACATGACTACACCCACACTTGCTTTGCCACCTTATAGCAAAAGAATGAACCCCACTTTTGTTTGAGGCGAACAAATTTAACACAAAAAACCAAAGCACGCACAGCTCCAAACAATGAACAAGAATCGAAATTCCTTGTGCAATAAACACAACCCTCCCGTAAATCAGCCAACACAACCTAACCAAAAGTCCAAAACCAACTTAAAATTCGACGCAAATACACCTCCTAAGCTCCTTGCCCCATCACAAACCATCGCAACATCTACAACCCTATCGATAACTGCATACTGATCATCATACCACTGCTGCATTAGGGGATAATTTTTTTTTTCAAAAAAAAAAAAACAGAGCGGGGCAAGGAGGGTGGCGGGAGCTCACCACGACGACGGGGGAAGAGCGCGGCGGTCGGCGGAGGAGGCCGCGGCTGCGCGCGGCGAGAGGGGACGGCGCGGCGGCGGCGGCGGCTGAGTAGGAGAGCGGCATCGGGGGACGCGGGGGGGGGGGGGGGGGATGGTCGGAGGTGGATGGCTAGGGTTTAATTTGGGTTAAGTTGGGGTTTACTTCCAGCCGCCGGATTATTAGATTTTAAGGACACTTCGTTGATTGGTTTGCTTGTACTTTTACCAGTAGATCGTTTTCTTCTTTTCTTTTTTTTTTCCCGTTCTGTTTTGGTTTATGCAGTCGTGTGATCATGTGTCCTCGGAGAAAAGTCGCCATCAAAAAATGGGGGAAAAAACAAGCCAGCATTGATCAGAGCTGGAGCAGTGAAGTGGAGTAGTAGAGTAGAGTAACTTTTTTTTTTTTTGCAGGGAGTAGAGTAGTATTTCTTTTTGTAAGGTTATGGTTTTGAGGTTTTTAATTGATACTAACTGGACTGTTGTTGAGAAATTGATTGTTTTATACTTACCTTTATTTTTACTACTTTCAAAAGTCTAACAGTGGTTCCTCGCAAAAAAAAAAAGTCTAACGGTGGTTGTGAGACCGATATTCTTCTATTCGAGATGTATCATCACTTCGTTACTATCATCATAAAAAATTGGTAATAGTATCACCATAAAAATTGTGCTCCCTCCATTCCAAAATATAGGGCACAACTACTTTTTAAATGTGTTTCATAATATAAGGCGTGCATGCATGCATGAAAATTAATAGCACCTTATCTCTCCTAAATTATTTTTTTTAAAATCAAGATGTTTAATTCTATTGTGTGCATGTATTATATTAGTTGAGAATTCTTGGTCTTTGGGTAAAGGGTGATTGTGCCTTATATTTTGTAATGGAGGGAGTATTCGCTTTGTTCTATTCGCGATGTACCGTTGTAATTCTCGTATCCTTCTGGCTGATCTTTTGCACAGTCAAAGAAGTATTCCATCTACGTTCAAATCCCTCAATGGCTAGTGTCACCGTCACTGTTCCCCCCCCCCCCCCCACCATAATGTGTGGCTTGCTCCCATCTTAGCCTTGTTTGGATCCTCTGAGCTATTAAATAGCCCTCCAAAATCTTGCTATTTAGGAGTATTAAACGTAGATTACCGACAAAACCGATTCCATAACCCCTAGGCTATTTTGCGAGATGAATCTAATGATGTATATTAATCCATGATTAGCGGCTGATTACTGTAGCATCACTGTATCAAATCATGGATTAATATACCTCGTTAGATTCGTCTCGCAAAATAGCCTAGGGGTTATGGAATGGGTTTTGTCAGTAATCTACGTTTAATACTCATAAGCCCTCCGGATCTAAATAGGGCTCTTGTCAAACCACCACCAACTATCCTACCATTTTTCTCGTAATACCATCCCTTCTCCCCCGCCCTCCTTTCCTTTCCTGTTATCCGGCTTCAATAAGGCTGTGTTCGCATGCACCTTTTCCCATCCCCTTTCCCTCGTTTTCCGCGTGCACGCTTTTCAAACTGCTAAACGGTGCATATTTTGTAAAAAGTTTCTATACAAAAGTTGCTTAAAAAATCAAATTAATCCCTTTTTGAAAAAAATAGCTAATACTTAATTAATCACGCGTTAATGGACTGCTCCGTTTTCCGTGCGCAGAAGTTGGGTTCCCATCTCCCCCATCCGAACTCAGCCTAAGACTGTTTGCATCATCTATCGTAGGAGTCTCGGATTTAGGTATCGCTTTCAAAGGATCCAAATATTTTTGTTGTTGTCATTTGACCTACCAACCGATGTGTCCCATTTCCGTGCAGGTTGTGCTCTTGCCCTTATCCTTTTCTCGGATTTGGTGTGAAGGGCTAGAGCAGCAAGTAAAAGATGCACAACTAATTTCACTATTTTTTATAGGAAATTGTTGGTTGTAAAAATAGCGGTAACCTACGGCGAATGCTTATCGTTATCAAACAAGTTGTCAATAAAGATTACTACTTTGCGCTTGATTTTAAACGATCTGTTGTAAGTATAGTGTGCCCTGCAAGATTTGAGATCGTGCTTGTTATATATACATTCCATTCTTCAAAACATTAGTATCTTCTATCATCGATCATTTATAGTACAACCTAAGTTCAAAAGAAATTAACTTTTTGTGATGAAGATAAGGAGTTCCTAAAAAGTTGCATGTCACAAGCTAGAGACTACGGTTATGCAACTTTTTACCAATTATGGATGGAGATTCATAAATAGACTACAATAAATGTGTTCTCTCATTGTTAGTTTGGTTTATCCGTTTTCTTTTATGGTGTGTTCTATTTCTTTAGATTCACATCTTTTCTCAAATGTTATTATGTAATAATTGGCTGTAGCTCTTTTTAGTAAAGGCCGGGATACTATATTCCATTATCTTAAAAAAAAAGTTCAAAAGAAAATAACTTTTGACCTGATTTGTAGCAAGAAGTTTCTTTCTTTTCTTTTTTACTGAGTAACACACAGGCACATCAGAAAATCAAAAAAAAGAACTTAGGTCTAAGGAGTAGTTCATAGACGTTAAAAAAAATGACTTTATGATATCCTGGGGGCGTTTTTTTTGAGAAATCAGGATGATATCTTAGCATTGATAGACCTTTCCTTCCAAAAATATTAATTCCCACCCCACAAATGAACAAACGCTGTTTTCATCACAACTGAATTTATAAATGTCAAATCCAAGATCGAAACACTAATTTACTGTTTTTTTTCTTTTTTCTTTTTTCTAGGGAATCTTTATCATCGTAACTTCTGTAGTTACCATTTTACCAGTCGCACATTCGCACTAATTTTAGGCTAAGGGCTTAATTACCCGCGTTAATGATGGATAATAAAAACCTGCAGCGAGACCCTGGCGTTTTCTTCTCCTCTTCTTTCCCCGGTCTTGGAGGGTCTCATCCTTCCTTCCCCCTCCATTGCATGCATGCGCGTCGCGGTTACAATTAATTAAAACCGCAAGCGCATGCATCTTAATCGCCCCCATGCATCTCCGCCTAAATTAAATCGATCCATCCATCGCCTCGCGCAATTAACGATCCATCGATCGAATCGAAGCTCGCTAGATTTCGAGAGATCAATACATACATCTCATCAATTTGGGTTGCATTTGAGAGAGAGGAAGAGGAAGAGGAAGAGAGGAGGAGAAGAGCAAGGTAGCTAGGGTAGCTTGGGCATGGCCGGCCGCCGGTTGCTGGTGGCAACGGCGGTGGTGGCGGCGGCGGCGGCGGTGGTCGCGGCGGCGGCGCTGGAGGCGATCAACGTGACGACGGTGGCGTTCGAGGAGGGGTACACGCCGCTGTTCGGCTTCGACAACATCCTCCGCTCCGCCGACGACCGCACCGTCAGCCTCCTCCTCGACCGCTCCACCGGTAATTTTTTTGAATTCTTCGATTGATTTGCGCTTGAGAAATTAGTTAATTAATCCATGAATTCATGGATTTTTTTTTCCTCCTGGTTAATCCGATTCGAATCCCTAATTGGCTCACCAGGCTCTGGGTTCATGTCGTCGTCCATGTACCAGCACGGCTTCTTCAGCGCCTCCATCAAGCTCCCCTCCGACTACACCGCCGGCGTCGTCGTCGCCTTCTACGTACGTAATTAAGCACAACCACCAATTAATTTACCCCGTTTTGATGAGAGTGAATTTTAAATTCTCGAGGAATCGTTCCTTATCGATTCACTTAAATAGTTAGAAAAAAAATAGAAAAATGAGAACATATATTAACAGTGTATCAATCCGTAAATATGAAAGTTAAATTTCAACTTTTAAAAATTGTAACAAAAATAAACAAACTAAATTATACAACTGATTAGCGTATATTTGCAGTTAAATTTGTTTTTTTCGTTGCGATATCTAGAAGTTAACTTTGACCATAAAAAAACCTTTTGATGAGAGAATTTTAAATTCTCGAGGAATCGTTCCTTATTGATTCACTTGAATAGTTATGGAAAAAAATAGAAAAATAAGAAGATATATTAACACTTGTATCAATTCGCAAATATGAAAGTTAAATTTCAACTTTTGAAAATTGTAACAAAAATAAACAAACTAAATTATACAACTGATTAGCGTATATTTGCAGTTAAATTTAATTTTTTTCGTTGCGATATGTAGAAGTTAACTTTGACCATAAAAAAGATGAATATTATGGAATTACTTAATATCAAATAAGGTGAGGATTTAAATCCAAGTCGTCTAGCCCATCACCTTGTGCAGCTAGCTGGAAAACGACTGGGTGTTTCTCAAAATTTGACCATACATATGTGTGATATATCACAAATTAGTCTATCTAGTTGAATTTATTGATAATCATTTTGAATGGTATGCAAATAAGAGGGGTTATCTCGGAGTTTAGAATTTACATCAATTAAACTCTAATTTAATTGATTAATTATATTGCAGACATCGAACGGCGACGTGATCGAGAAGCGGCACGACGAGCTGGACTTCGAGTTCCTGGGCAACATCCGCGGGAAGCCATGGCGGGTGCAGACGAACGTGTACGGCAATGGCAGCGTGAGCCGGGGGAGGGAGGAGCGCTACCTGCTCCCCTTCGACCCGACCACGGAGTTCCACCGCTACTCCATCCTCTGGACGCGCGCCGCCATCGTCTTCTTCGTCGACGACGTCCCCATCCGCGAGGTCCGCCGCACGCCGGCGATGACCGGCGACTTCCCGTCCAAGCCCATGTCCATCTACGCCACCGTCTGGGACGCCTCCACCTGGGCCACCTCCGGCGGCCGCTACCGCGTCAACTACCGGTACGGGCCGTTCGTGGCGTCGTTCACCGACCTCGCCCTCCTCGGCTGCCGCGTCGGCGACCCCATCGGCCAGATGCTCTCCTCCGCCGCCTGCACCGCCGCCGAGGACGCGCTGCTCGCCTCCGACCTCGCCGTGATGACGCTGGAGAAGCAGCAGGCGATGCGGCGGTTCAGGGAGCAGAACATGGTGTACTCCTACTGCTACGACACGCTGCGGTACCCGGCGCCGTTCCTGGAGTGCGACGTCGTGGAGTCCGAGCGCCGCCGGTTCAAGGGCAGCGGCCACCTCCGCCTCGCCTTCCGCCGCCGCCGCCGCACCCGCCCCGGATCCCGGCCGGCGAGGCCCACCAGGGCCGCCGACATGTAGCGCAGCACATAATCATATTTGTTTCATCATTTCATCGTCGCGCCTTCGAGTCATGGGATGATCGAAACGGGAGCAAAAGAAAAAAAAATAACGGACACACGCAACGACCAATTGGGCCCACGAGGAAAGGAGAAAGCGGCCAGGCCCAATTTGGAAGTTGAAGGCCCATTCCAAATTGGGCCTGAATTCTAGTGGTTGATCCAAATGTCATCTTTAATTATTGAACCCGACGTGGTATATCCTAATCTAGAAAAGCATATGCATGGATATACCGTTCCAAAATACACGGATATACCGTTCCAAAACCCAGACATTTCATGAACTAAAGAACACCAAAACATTTCTTCGGAAGTAGATAGACAGAGGAAATACCTCGTTTCCCACGTGCACATTTTTCAAACCGTTAAACGGTGTGTTTTTACAAAATCTTTACTCCGTCCCTCTAAAAATATAAGGATTATTAGTTGGACACGAAGACTAAATAATAGGAGGAGGTTGTGATTGGTTGAGAAGTGGAGGTAGCTGAGAAAATTAAATGATGAAGGGTTGTAATTGATTGAGAAGATAATGTTGGTGAAGAAGTTATTATATTTTAGGATAAATCTAAAGGGCTAAAAGTTGTTATATTTTAGGACGGAGGGTGTAATAATCAATCAATCCTATGTTAATTGTTCTTTAAAGTATCTTCTCTAATCGTGTGTTCTCAGTCACTCCCTTGCAATCGATGTAATGCGGTGACGTGGCACACAGTAGGAGTAGCAGTCCAAGTCATAGCAAAACCAGCGGAGCAGCAAAGTGAGAGCGGCACACAGAGAGACAGGTAGACGAACGAGGTGACGTCACTCCATCGAGCCCATCCAGCAAGGCAGAGCTGATGCTGAACCCCTCCTCCAAGACACGGCACGAAAAAGGCATCTTCCGGGAGATACTAGAAAACTTCACGACACGCAGGCGCAGATGCCACGAGCAGCCGCTGCCTCGTTTACCCAAACCCAAACACCACCTCCTCCTCCGCCTCCGCCTCCGCCGCCGTAAAACCCTCGCCGCCACCGCCACCGCCTCCGCCGCCGCGGCGGATCCGCTCCTCCTCTCCCTGCCCTGCGCTGCGCGGGGCGTGGTCGAGGCTCGACATGGTGCTGTGGGAGCTGACGGCGATCACGGCCTACTTCCTGGGGCTCAGGCGGACCTACCGCCTCGCGCTCCGCATCCAGCGCCGCCTCATCGGCCCCAACCACCCCAGGATCCGCCACTTCGTCTACAGGTCCCTCTCCTCTCCTTCCCCTCCCCACGCCCCGCGCGCGCTCTGATCCGAGCAATCGGTACGGATTCGCGGCGCGGGGACGCCCAAATCGATACGGATTCGTCCTTGATTTCATCTTTGTTGGGGGAAAATCACTGGGGCGAATCGCGTGTACTACAGTACCATGCCACTGGGTAGAAATTGCGGGCGCGCCTTCCCTGAAATCTGTGATAAACCTGTCGTATTGTGATGTTGACCAGCTTCAGTTAGCTCAGAAATGTCGCTGGCACAATACGGGGCGCTAGGTTGGGACATTGCCAGCATTTCGTTTGGGTTGTCCAAACCACAGCTTTGCTGCTACATCCTCACAGCTGCAATTCGATTTGTCATGTTCATTCCGATGTGACCGTGTCAACCATGAAACTTACTTGCACTATACCCGGTGTTATACACAAGTCCCGTAATGAAATCTTGTCAAATGCTCCTATTTTTGTGATAGATTGCTCAACATGGAAATATCCCTCAATCCTCATATATTCATTTTCCTTTACTTTGCAATAAAAGAGATTATACCTGAATCTCACACTCCATTTATGCCTTCCATCCGCACTTTGGTTTGTACTCATTTGAGATACAGATACCTGTAATACTAATACGTTACCTTATATTACTAACTATGCCTCCGCTTTTGCCTAATGTTACTGAACCATGTAGGCGTATTGTCCAAATAAAAGTTCTTGTTATGTCTCTCGAAAAGGAGTATAGTATTGTAGTTTTTTGGTGTATTATATAACCTGGAAGTTCCATAGCTTGATGATCCAGTGTTTCTAGCATGAAATTGAATTTTTGATATGCTGACATTTTTAAAATGTACACATTGTACTTTATGCTTTCCGGCTTGTCCATTGTTGTTCAGCTGGACTTGAGCAAAGTAACTGTGATGATGGATCTGCATATTGCGTACACAATCCTGACTCCCCATCCATGTAATTTTTCTGGCTAATTTTTTGGTTTTATGCCATACCTCACACGCTGATGGTTTCAACCTTGTCCATATGTGGATCTAACAATAATCCTGTCCAGTCTACTAAATCTGTCCAATTGCCTTTGTAAAAACTAAGGATTGAAATGATTCAGATAAGCAGTTCCTTAAATGGAGTTTCATCTTCAGTTCTTTTGTTGATCCCTGAATAGTTCTAGCTAATTAATTACTATAGTACACAATATTACATAGTCATTTCAATTGATTTTACGTGACCAAACAATTCTTCTCTGCAGGCGAACACGGGATGTTTTCAATGTTGCGGTTTCAGTGCACAAGAACATTCAGCAGAGAGACCTAGAAGTTGGTCGGAACCTTGGTAACATGATCCTTCGCTGGCTTGACCGCATGAAGCCCTCAGCACAGATTCGTCCCCATCCTCCAGGCCCACCAAATGGCAGCTCAGAGCAATTCAGGCATCTTTCGAGTACAAGCAAGAGCACAGGAGCTCAGAAGCCTACATCCAAAACTTTACCGTGCGATGGTGGAAAGGTGTTGTTTTCACCTCTGAACATTCGACCCAAGTCCTTCCCTGTTCTACCGACAATGATGCAGCCCACCAGAATTAGTGCTAGCAGCCAGTGTAGGCGGATTTCCTACTCATCATTCCCATCGGCCACCGCTAAGAGGAATGATTTCATGCAGGGTGTGTTCCGCAAGGACATTGCACAGCTCATGGTGTGATGATCTGTACTGTCCTGGAATTCAAAGTTCAATTGACTTAGTTTCGCGTAGAACAGAAGTCTCATGACTCATGGGTGATGGATCCTGCAATAATAAAGGGCTGAACAAGTTTTTTGTTGCTCAACCAGTTTAGCAAATAGATTTTCTAACCAATGATCATAAGACAGTATGTGGTATTCCATAATGGATATGTTTACTCCATTCGTCCTTGAAATGCGCAAAAGGAACTATGTAGGATTGAAACATTATCTCAGATTCTCACTACTTCCTCTTCACTTCTCTTTTTTTAATTGTCAGATTTCCATTTCAGAAATGGCACTACTTTAGAGATATCTCCTTTCTCCAAACTGGGAGATTTCTTTTTCCTAGGAGGAATTCACCTTTAATTTTACTGTTGTATGACCCACATATGGAAATGGTTGAATCTGTTGCTGTTGCAGACCACAATTCCTGGAATTTTTTTTGGGAAGATAAAATATTTACTTGTTTCTCCACATTTCCTTGTCAGGCAGCAGTGCATGGCAATAGTCCCTGAGCTAGCGAATGATTCCATATTTCATATCTGATATATGCACTTTATTCGGGAGCTTGAAAAGAAGTGATATGTGTCATTTCCACGAAAAATTCTCATCTTTTAGTGCTTGTACCCATCGGCCACCGAATAACGAATCGACTAATTACAGAAAAGCCATGGATGATTAGCATTACCACTGACCAGTGTACATATATACACACACTGACTCACTGAGAATCTCTCATCAGCAATCACAACTGAATTTACAGTCTATAGGCTCCTAGAAGATTCTTATTCCCTATCAAATTGTGCACTTTTTTTAAACTTCGGACAGTCGGTACTAATTGTGATCAAAATTGTAACAAATGCACGGTCATTAAGTTAATTAGCCAGTATCATTACATGACATTTTGGTCATTTCTCATCAAAAAGCTTAAAATGCCCTTAACATGCGTGCCCGTGTAGAGTGGCTTCTATAAATAGACAAGCTAAGCTGGCTAGCTCGCCCAACAACAAGAAGTGCATAAGTGACACACTGATTAATTAAGCAAAAAACAGTAGTAGCTTAATTTGCTACCATGTCGATGATCACTAGCATGCTGGGGCGGAAGCAGAACGCGCAGCAGAAGGGCGGAGGCGGCGGCGGGCGCACCGGCGGTGGCGGCGGCGGCGAGATCGAGCCGGTGAGCGTGGACATCATGGAGCCGTTCATGGACGCGATCTCGCTGACGGCGTTCGCGGCGGCGCCGTCGGCGGCGGCGGCGGCGGCGGGCGTGCCGTCGACGGCGAGCATGGACTGGAAGGAGACGGCGGCGGCGCACGTGTTCATGGCGGACATGCCCGGGGTGCGGAGGGAGGAGGTGCGGGTGGAGGTGGAGGAGGAGAAGGTGCTCAGGATCAGCGGGCAGCGGGCGCGCGCCGCGGAGGAGAAGGGCGAGCGGTGGCACCGCGTCGAGCGGAGCTCCGAGCGGTTCGTTCGCACCGTCCGCCTGCCGCCCAACGCCAACACCGACGGCGTCCACGCCGCGCTCGACAACGGCGTCCTCACCATCACCATCCCCAAGGACAACGACAGGAAGCCTCACGCCAGGATCATCCCCATCACCAATTAAACTAACTATTAATTACTAGCTAATATTCCACAGCTTAATTATCGAGTAATTATATTAGTACTGTTAATTAATAATAATTACTACTCCTACTACTAATAATAAGAAGCATCATGCAGCGTGTATGATTGCATTATATGCATGGAATAGATGTGTAAACAACTCACCAGTTTGCTTGGTGAAAGCTGTGGCATAATGCATTGGAGGAATATAAGAATAAATTTTGGTGTGTATGCCATTTTAACCTTTTATTTTACAAGAGCCTATTGGTAAATACTCCATATTATTATTCGGACCGGCAGATGGAGACCTAATTTCTAAAGATGTACGGCCTCCCTGCGTTGTGCCCTGCTGGTGCGAAACAAAAATCTAAAAAGCTCGGCAAGCAGTGTGATTCCAACAGAACCAGCTGCCTTGTTAACACAGCTTTTAATTTTTTATCTCATGGTTCATGGATGTTTCTTCTACACATAAAAGGATTAAAAGAACTCATGCAATGTTCAAATATATGTGCAGATGTGCTTCAAAGAGCAGCAACATATACCCTCTGAAAATACTCACCACCACCGTGAGGACTGAGAATAGGGGCCTGTTTGGTACAGTTTCAACTTCTAAATATAACTCCAGGAGTTGAGTCTGGAGTGGAGTTGTGGAGCTGTCTAAACCTAGCTCCACAACTCTAGTACATTTTGTGAGAGAGCTCCACCCAACTCCACTCCCAGTTTTGGTGGTGCTGAAACTGTTTGGCTGAGCTCCAGCTCCACCTGGAGCTGTGCCAAACAGGCCCTAGATAGTAGTGAGAGAGTCGAGAGGCGGATTAGTGGGCCTTAATTGTTAGCCTGGCCCAGCCCAATATGGCCCAAGTATAGAGATTCAGAGTTTACTGCTCCCTATGACTTTTTTCTTCTTGTTCTTTTTCTTTGTTGATTTTTGTTTTTTTTATCTATACTGTCATGTCAGCTTTGTTAGCTACGTAAGCCCTCTACTTGCAGTTAGTAATGACTCATGATGCAAGGATTAAGGTAATATCGGTGTATTGGAGTACTATATAATATAAGAGGTTAATTAAGATCCTACGTGTTCGTATTAGCTATAAGTTTATATTAGAGTTAGCTCGTATACAGTACATGAGCTAAGATATCATCTCTATTTTTCTTATCCTCTCTTTCTTCCACATCTCTATCAGTGAATGATGAACCTTAAAACTCTACTCTATTGATCCACGTCAGAAATAAAAAACGTATACCAACTTATTACCAAAAAGCAAAAACCGTACGATCAGACCGGTAAAAAAAAAAAGAATTGTCTGATCTTCTAGAGTTTTCAAGAGCATGTGAAGAGATAACATTTATTCCCTTCCTCTCGTAATATAACACCCTAATATTAAATGAGAGACATGTATTATAATTCACGGATAAATATGTCACATTATATCCTAAATTATTATATTGTGGGACAGAGGGAGTACCCTATATAACAGCCAACATTTCTTTTTTTCTCTTCATATCTATCCTCTACATATGTTTCTAACTTGCTATTTTAATTACCTGCTCTAAAACTACAACGTGCTCTCCACTACCAATAATCAGTCGTCAAGCAATTAATCAACTAGGTTAACTTGTCTTTCCTCTTAGCTGTAGCTGCTGTGTGTGTTTTTCTCTTTCTTTTCTCTTATTTTTATTTTTAATGCAGTTATTGCGTCGTGATTAAATTAATGGTTTGCACATGGTCCACATGGTGAAGGCAGCAACGCCAGACTAACCGGTTGCCACATCAAATCCTCAATCAACCACTCAGAAAGATGCAATAATCTACCTCATTATATGCATGCTTACTCGATAATAATTGCCATCACCTTTCGTGATTTGATTATTTGCTCATCCATGGACCATATAATCTCTCCCTCTCATCTCACCTACCGCAAAAAAATAGTATTAGTACTCTATTTATCCATCTCAAAAGGCAAAGTAAAGCACCACAAGACAAAACAATAATGCATTTTCTCTAAGTGCTTTGGTTTATCCTATATCAATTTTTTTTTAACTTTGACCAAACATACAAAAGAATGTATCAATATTTATAGTAATAAATTAATTTCATTAAATATGCCATTGATATATTATTATATATCTATTTTGTGTTGAAAATGTTGCTATATTTTACTACAAATTTACTTATACTTTTTTTTGAAAAAAATAACTTATGATAAATCAAAACAACTTATTTTCTAACTTTCTAAAATGAAGGAAGTACTTAAATAAGCATGGTTTCTTACATTTACAACTAATTATTTCTTTCGTTTGAAGACAAAATACCCGTTAACAGACATAAGACATGTCGCTTTAGTCTCTTATTACTTGTAAGGTAAGGTGTACATGTATGTTTATAACAATAATTAGTGTGTACGCATTTATATGAGTTTCTGCCTATGATGTATGGAAAAAGAATATATTGTACAAGCAGATAAATCAAATGAGCTAAAGTTATGAGGTCAAAAAAGAGAGAGCTAAAATTAAACTAAAAATAATAATAGTACTAATAAGCTTTACGCCCTTGTGCTGCAGTAAAACCCCAAAAGTAGAAGCAAAACGAGCCCACGGATAGCCTCATCGCCCTATTGACAATTCTACCCCTCCGCCGTCGGATCAACCGCTTCGCCTCCGCCTCCTCCTCTCGCTCTCCTCCTCATCGGAGAAATCTCGCCGCCGCCGGCGATGGGTTTCTTCCGCCGGATCGCCGGCATGTTTGGAATCTCCAGGGACGACGCCGACCACCACCCCCACCACCACCACCACGACGGCGCCGCGGGGGACTCCGCCGCCGCCGCCGAAGTCCCGCAGGATAAGGTCGTCGCCGCCGCGGCCGCCGCGGCGGCTGCCGGGAACGTGCAGAGGCGCGGGTTCAGCGTCCAGGTCCCCGTCCCCGTCGAGCGGCCCGGGCCCGGGCCGGTGCTCGTGCCCTGTCCCCAGGGCGACGGCGGCGTTCAGGTAATCGGATTGTGCGGTTGTGGTGGTCTCGCCTGTTTGCGCGCCTGTGTTAGTACGATCTGGGAGGGAGGTTTGGTTATCGGAAGAGCGCCTCGTTGGATGTTGATGCTAGTATTGCTTGCTGAAAATGGGCGACCTTGCTGTAGTGGTTCCCAGAATTGTGATGTAGAAGAACAGTAGAAGAGCTCGAAGCAGTAGCTATTTTTAGGCTCTAAGAAAGTCATGCAATGCAATTCAATTCAATTAAATTGTGCTGCCGCAATTGAATCTAGTCTCGGCTATGCGGCTATGCCCCATTCGATGTTAGCTTTATTATAGGATTGGTTATGTTAATGTTGATTTGAGTGCAGTCGTGAGTTCTTCGACTTTGTTCTGTGAGATAGTATTGTCTCTGCGGTTCCACCTCTTGTGGAGGTAGTTCTACCTTCCTCTTTTAACCTCCGTGAACATAAGATTAGTCCAGCGCCAAAATACGCTGCTTCTTGTTCTATGATTATCTTAGTAGGCAATGCATATGCGATTGGTTAATGCAACGGTGCGTTTTATTAGGATGTCTTGTTATGTCAAGGAAGATGCAATAGTTAAGTAGAGAGTGGTAGCTTAGCTTACTTTGGTGAATTCTTACCTACTAACATTTATAGTTTGTGGGATGGAAGAAAGGCTAGGCACAGATTTCCTTGGATGGATTTGATGAGTAGAGGAGCTCACCTAATTTTAGACATAAGTGGATCACCTTTGTTGTTACAGATGATAGAAGGTTTTGACTTGGGTTTCTGCCACTGCATTAATTGTTCAGAAAATTGGAGTGCATAGGTTATATCTTTGGCTTACAAACTCTTTTTATTGATATAGCAAATCTTTCACTATTTTACAATCATGGTTTCTTCACAATGGTGTACGTATTTTTCTTCGAGCTAATCTTGTTACATCTGATTGTCCATTTGTGCATTTTGTCATCTGATACTTGTTTGGATTTGGTTGGTGCGTTGTTAGCATGATAAAGTCTTTGTGATCTCCTCTAAAAATACGAGAGCAATGCTAATTCTGCAAGTCATTTAAACCATGAATGTTATTAAGACCTAGCACTGTATATTGCTAGTGGAGCACTCTGGGAACCATTGTTACATATAATCGACAAAAGTTCACAAACCTATTTGCATTATAGGAAGTTTTCATGCATAGTGGACCTCACAAGTCTGGCTGCTATTTATATTGTTGAAAATTTCTGCAGATACAAGTTATGGCATGCATCATATGGGCATGCAAAACAATGAATATTTTTCAACTGGGAATCATTTTAATTGTTGGTTTAAAGGTCATATTTAATTTATCAAATCTGCGAACTGCCCAAGTCGATACTTGTGCTGCAGTGTATACAAGGTTGTTATATTAAATGTAATAAATTGGAAAATACCATTTGGGCATTATTGATTACCAAATTTACTATTCTTTGGAAGCTTTAGATAATGATGTATGATCGCGCCAAGCTGCCGACTGTCAATGAATATTATCACCAACTTTACCTTTTATAAATTTGTTGGTGCATAATAGACAGACACTATGGGGAACATCTAGCTAGTAATGTTGATATTCATACATTCAGAGCACGGTGTTATACTGATATTATTTGGTGCCCATTCCTCCTTTTTATTTTGTCACAATTTTCTTTTTGTTGTTGTGGACGTTGCACATTTTATATTGTATCCTCCTAAGATATTTCATGCGAGTGTCAGCTGACAATTATGGTACTTGACGGCTACTCTTAAAGCACATGGCCATCACAACAACCTTTTTTTTTCTGTAGTAGAACAATTTCAATTTGGAATGACATTCCTTTTTCATGGATTGGCAGATGCAGATAATGGTGTCTTACCTTTTGAGTGTTTTTTTTGGATGTTTGTGTTTTCAACACATTGATATGTTCCCTTATGTATTTGAATTAATCATGGATTCTCTTCAATGCTGTCAACTTGCTGTGGTTTGCTGCTTCCATCCCTCTTATCATAATGATCATTGGTTTTATTTTTGTTCGACTAGGGCTTTAGGTGGTATACAAGGAAGCTAAGGATTGATGAGGATGGTGATGTCGCAGATGAGTTCTTGGATGAAGTTGTTCCAGAAATCTCGATCAACAACGACTCAACTCCAGCTGGAAGATATCAAGTGAAATATAATACAAAATCAGCTGCTCTAGCAATGAGAAAGCAAATATCCGTCATTGATGGTGACATCTGTCATTCCTTGGAGTACCAAGGGCGCCTGCGTTGGGTGTGACTGTCATGTAAGCTTGAGTTGTAGTGTGCTGTCACCTCAAGAACTGCCAATCACTCTTGGCCAAAGGATTGCAAGAATTTGATATGCGCGTCTGCCTTGGAGCCTCCCAGGAGTGTGGATCTGTGGAGTTCTTGGTTGATGCGTCATTCTTAAATTTGAGTGTTTTGGGATGCCTGGTTTGGTCCCTTGTACCACTAGCAGTAGTTGTACATTGTTGAACTTGAACTGAACAATTACAGGAGTAAACAAGCTACTGCTAGAACAGCAGAAAGGGAATGTGTATTTGCAAATAGAGCCACTGAATCCTTGATCAATCTATTTTGCATTACACGGAGTGATGTGTTGATTTTATTGTGTCTTTTGTTTCCATTAATCTCCGGAATTTTTACACATACATCTTGTTTAAATAAGAAAAAAAACAAGTTATTCGACATATATTTCCCAAACAATTCTATGCAGGACACTAGCACAGTAAACTAGTTTGAAAAATTTTAACCGCGACTTAATCTTGTACGAAATGATGCATGCAGGGCAAAATCTTATTTACTTCCTTCGAAAACTATAATTGTGGACTATATGTATCATATGCATAAATTGCTGTTAAATGATTATAGTACGACGAATGGAAGTTATATAGCTATATTTATGATGCTACGTGGCTTCGATAATACACTATATTTTCAAGTAAAAACAAGTGGTATAAACTTGAATAGTGTTAATGCCAATTATCCGAGAACGGAGGCCATAACTTTCACTTGACTTCTTGACTTCCTTTTTAATAAGAATAATTAAATGAGAAGATAGTATATGATCTCAAATGATTGGATTAATAATAAATTAATCAATTCTTTGATAGTATATGATCTCAAATGATTGGATTAATAATAAATTAATCAATTCTTTTCTAATACGAAAAATCAATTGAGAAGATAGTGATCTCAAATGATTGGATTAATGAATAAAATAATAATTAGTTGAGAAAAAAGATATGGCCAGGAGGAATCCAAGATGGCGGCGACGGTTGTTGCAGCGTCGATCCGAGGTGGGCCATCCTATCCATCCATCTCATCATCCCATCGCCCAATAGCTTTCCTCCCTCCTCCTCCGCTCCTCGTCCACCATGGACCAGGCCCACGCCCCCTTCGTGGGCCCCACCCGGCAGTCACCCACCCCTACCCACGCGGCCCACCGTGGACGCGGCCCACGAACGCGAACCCGACCTCCCATCTCTTCCTCCTCCTCTCCTCGATTCCTCTCCCTCCCAATCCACCTCCTCCTCCTCGCCGCCGCTCGCCGCCGCAATCCGCTCGCCGGAGGCGGACTCGCCGGCGTCGGACGCTGCCTGCGCCGAGGGCGCTGCTGCATTTGTTTGCCTGTGGCTCGGGGGAAGAGCGAGCGGCCGTGTGGGCTTGCTCTGCTCGAGGGCCGCGTTCGCGTGGTTTCTCTCCTCGTGTGGGTTGCTAGATTAAGGTTGGTGAATGGTGAGGGGTTGAATTGTGTGGCCTCGTCGTGCTCGATTGCTTTTGCATTGTGCTTTGCGTGGATTCTGATTTCTCCTCCAATTTAAGCTAGTTTGACATGTATCCGATATTGACGAGGGGTAGATAGAATTCGGTGAATTGTAGATTTGGTTTGGTGCATCATAATGCATTTGGTGTTTTTTCAAATTTAGTGGGAATTTAGATTAGTGTCCAGCTGAGGAAATACGGGATCGAGACAGTGAGATTTGTCATTGCAAAATCTATCATGTTTTTCCCCTTCTTTGCTGTTCATACCAGGATTGTTTATTTCACCCAGCAGGTGGCCTTTTTGCTATCACAATTTATCAATATCCGGGTTACAATGGAATGAGTGTGCGAGTTTGGTTGCCGGGAAGCATTGTTGACGAATCAGATGGGTACTAATGATCCTGGCACGCCGTCCAAGGCAACAAAGGCATCAGAACCGGTAACTGATCACTCATCTACTTTCTAAATGAACCTTTTCTGCTTAATTTGTCTTACCTGTATTAGCCTAAGACAATAAGATTGGTTCTTATTATTATTTTCTAGTGCCCCTTTTCCCCATATGATGTATGCTGTTAGTTTTTCTCGAGAAGAATGCTGTGTTGCTGCCAAATTAAGAAATGTGTCGAACATTTATGATAAAGCATGAATTGGAAAGAATGTGCATATTCTGTTTTTATGCAGATTATTTGGACTATATTAGAGTAGCAAGATATTCTGGCTTGTATTCTATACTTCTCTTTGCATAGATAATAATAATATGCCTATGTGGACAGAACGAATATCCCTTCACAGTAGAAGTACAGAACACATATGTCCTGTTTCTTTTTCACAGACGTTTTATTTTATTTACCTCTTTTTATGGTTTCTTGCTTGCACATTCTCAGGAGCAGTCTCCAGCCACTACATCTGGCACTACAGCTCCAGTTTACCCTGAATGGCCTGGTTTTCAGGTTATTGCATCTTTACTTATTAAGATGAACTTATAGCTTTCCTCTACTGGATTTTCAATTTAATTTTAACGACATAACAGTGCTTTATATTTTGTTTTTTAACCTTGAAGGCCTACTCGGCAATTCCACCGCATGGGTTCTTTCCACCTCCTGTTGCTGCAAGTCCCCAGGCTCATCCCTACATGTGGGGAGCTCAGGTACCCTTTGTATCTTAAAACTTTATTGGTTCCTTTTATCTGATATCTGTTGAAATTACGGGAAAAGTGGCAGTAGGAGCTTTGTGCTATCTGGAATCTAGGTCTGGCTTATCCGGACTAGGACAGTGTGCTAGGTTAAATTGGAGCAACGTAACTGAATCCTTTACTAAATATTATTATCTGTTTTTACTTTAATACTCACTGGACACAAGCATATAGATATAGGTAACATCAAAATGTAGATGGTTTCATCTTTCAAAGATCAGAAGAATTAGCTAGTATGCAACATGTAGATTATGGTTCTATTGTTAAATCAGGTGGTCGAGTGCAATGCAAAAAATTAAGCATTCTGCCGGAGGTAAAAAATGGCTATAGAAGTTAGGCAACTGCAAACTGCTTTCCTTAACAGCATATTTGTGTGTTATTTATAACTATTTTCTTTTGTACCTCAATTCAAAATATTGTCCCTTTAATTTCAGCCCATGGTGCCACCTTACGGGACACCACCACCTTATATGATGTATCCTCCAGGAACTGTATATGCACATCCCTCTACTCCTGTATGCATTTTCTACCTGACAGTCATAATCAATAATCTTCTCTTTGTACTTGCACCCATTTATTGACATGCTTGTATTAACAATGAACTAATTGGTAGGGTGTGCATCCATTTAATCACTACCCTATGCTGGCAAATGGAAATGTTGAAACTGCTGTAAGTAACCCATTTTTTTTAAAAAAATATTTTGGTGATCATCATGTTCATGCAATCCTGAGATGCTTCTTTCAGGGAACTGCACCAGGTGCTTCAGAAATTAACGGTAAGTCTTCTGCAATGTCAACATCAAGGTTTTTTGTGCAAGTAATTCACATTTATGCTTCTGATCATAATTTCAGGGAAAAATGAGCTTGGCAGAACATCTGGTCCATCTGCCAACGGGATTACCTCCCACAGGTTTTTTTTTTTAAAAAAAAATATGAGTTCATTTAGTTCTGACAAAACCTAATCTCAGGTAGCTTGAACATGCAGTGAGAGTGGAAGTGAGAGTGAAAGTGAAGGAAGTGATGCCAACTCTCAAAATGTGAGATTGATCTCTATATATATTTCATTCAAATCACTTATTTGGTGCATTCTTTAGGCAGGAAGAAAAATCATTAACCTTGAAAGATAGCCTATCAACCCTGTTTTATGTTGCTCCAGGATTCACATTCAAAGGAAAATGATGTAAAGGAAGATGGTATGTACTTGAGGACCTATTTATGGTTTTGTGAGACACCAATAGAGCATATTTCTTTGTGTGAGATTAAGTATGCATTTGATTATGTAGGTAGTTCTCAGAATGGCATATCACATACAGCATTAAATCAGAACATGTCGATGGCTCCAACTCAAACGGGTGTAGTAATCGGGGGAGTTGCTCCCACAACAAACTTGAACATAGGAATGGACTACTGGGGTGCTGCTGGTTCTTCGCCTGTTCCTGCAATGCATGGCAAAGCATCGTCTGGTTCAGTTCGAGGAGAGCAATGGGTACAAGTCCTTTGACAACGAGCGTTTGCATTATTTTTTTGATAAGTTTTGAATTAAAATCCTTGTATATGGTAATAGAATGGTAGTCCACAAGGCAAGAAAAAAATTTGCTCTACTCTAGCCATAACGACTTCCATAATGAATGTTAAATCCACTTATTTTGGGAATGGGGATTAGCATGTGGCAAGATGCCATCTTTTAATTTTGAAGGGATGATTTATATATTTATTTTGGAAAGGGTTGTTGTCTTTTGAAGATGCTTATTTTTATTCTTTGCCCTTGTGTATATGTCAATGTAAAGATGTCGCTACTTGTATAATTTAATTATACCTTGGCCATTTTCAGGATGAAAGAGAGCTCAAGAAGCAGAAAAGGAAGCAGTCTAATCGGGAATCAGCACGTAGATCCCGGCTGCGCAAGCAGGTATGATGTTAAATTGTTAACATGACATTGGACTCGTTATTTTCTTCAGAACATCATGGATAGTCTTATTGAAGCACCAAAATATTTGTTCCAGGCTGAGTGTGAAGAGCTTTCTGTACGCGCTGACAATTTAAGGGCAGAAAACTCCTCTCTTAGGGCTGAGCTTGAACGGATCAAAAAGGAGTACGAGGCACTTCTTTCACACAATGCTTCACTCAAGGTGGCTGAGCTCATGCATTTCCTGAGTATTTAATTTCTTCGTGTTTACTTGCCCTTTATCATCTTTCTGTGTTGGCTCCATGAAAAATGTTTTGCAGCTATGAATCTAAACTAGTGAAACTCTGCAGTATTGCTGGAATGTTGGTCCATGTTGCAACGTCTGAACCTATTTATGCATATGCTCTTGTTGTGATGTGTTTCTTTCAGATTGTTTTAATCTTGTTTTGGCCACAGATATTGTTGTCTGCCTCATTGGTGATTTAATATTTGCAGGAAAAACTAGAGGGGAACAGTGATTCAATACCTTATATGAATGAACAGAACGACACCAATGGCACCCACCAGAAGCAACAGGATTCTGATGCTCAGCCTAATGATGCGCCTTGAGAGTTATCATCACGTGTAGTAGCATCTAATTGTTTAGCTCATGATTCTAGTAGGACATCACCATTTGTGTTAGATGAATTTACTAAGCATCTTTCTGTGCCAATTCGATCAGAATCTGACATGGCAAATTGTCGAGACCAAACTGTCTCTTACCTCTATTCCAGTTGCTTGCAGCTCCATTGATAATCTTAACCTCGAGTAGTTTACCTCGTATTGTGCGTCAAAACGAAAAATTAACATTATAAAGATCTTATTAGTCTGTCTAATATTTGAGTTAAAATAAACAAAAATACTCAGAAGCTTTGCCCGTATAGCAAAATGAGGATATGATTATCAGTTCGATTCAAACCAAAAGCTGCAACAGCCTATGCGGTTATCTGATTGTACATTTCCTTCTCTTTGCGTAGAATTACATAGCCCCAAAATGGCGAGAAAGCATCAGCCTCTATGTACACCACCAGGTAAAACCTATTTACTCGCCCCAGCCAAGCCAAACAAACCCAGGAAAGGAAAGGCCCTACCTATTAGTACAAAAATATCCAAAAGGGAGAAATAATACAGGGATTACAAAATTTCTCCGCTAGCTCGAGAAATAGTCCCCCTAGCTGCTTTAGCTGTTATTTGCACCCAGCTAATTGGGGGCAGAACAGTTAGCCGTCGGGATTTTGCACATCCTGGAAGCTGTCAACTCTCGTGCAAAGCACTTGGATTGGAATGATCAACTGTTGAATGTTGCTCTTCCAAGAAACTGTGTACTCGCGTGCGGAACTTCTGGGCTAGTTCAGCGAGATCGTTCGCCATCTGGATGTTGATCTCACCAAGGTGTCTCAATGGGTATTTGCTCCTTTGCGGCAACTGATTTGCGACATCAATTGTCAAGGTTGCACAGAGCTTGCTGCTTGTGAGCACTTCCAGTGTTGGCTTTGAAAAATTAGCATGCGAAGCTAGTCGGTTTAGAAGGATTAGAACCTCTCTCATTAGCAAATACCTACAGAAAAGCATATGTTCATCAGTTACAAATAACAGAGTGCAGACAACTCTAAGCTAAGGTCCATGGTTTTATTTTTCTGTATGATTCTTATAATATTATTTGCATATATATGTATCTGACTTAAAAGTATCCAGCGGTAATTTAATATAAGCATCAAAAGGAAATTACCAAGCAGTCACTTGACAACATGATGCAATTTTGTGGTTATCTGCATGGGCAGCCTATCTCCACTTACACGCTACTACCTCCATCCACAAATATTGAGGGATTTTGGGTATGTAACATAACCAAAATCCCTTGTATTTGTGGACAGAGGGAGAAAAAAGGAACATATTCAAAATTGCAGTTTAGGATGGGAAGTTCAAGATCACCTTTCTTTCAATAGCTCATGTTCTCCATTTGAAAGGGCTGTGTCATATTCCATCTGTGACGCAAGGACTTCCATGATCAACTCCAAGAAATTGGCACCACGGACAGTAACTGGACCTAGAAGCACTTCATACCCCAATTTGCCACTTGAAGCTATATATGCTAACAGAGTGACAACTACCCGACAAAGCTTGATCCCCTGAAAATAATAGTTTTCTTAGTTGTCCAGTGTTGGAAGTAAAATGTAACAGTAGAACTTATGTCATCTTTTGTTTCTCTCTAGAACTCCAGCTTTAAAACCTTTAAGAAATACCATGCAACACCTTTTTTTCAAAGAATGGCAAGTAACAATATTACTATTTTTCAATATATGCAGTCTATGTTCTTAATAATATGGAAGTTAGCCTTCAATCTAAACATCTAAATGAAAATATACGGTCTGGAAGAGGAGCAACATACCAGAGAACTTGTTGCCCTACAACTCAAGCATTCAGATAGGTCCTTAAAAATTGAGCTTATAGCTTCTTGTGATCTATCATTTTCACATCTTATAGCTTCAATCTGCTCAGGGCTATCTTTACCTCCATTGCATAGCAACTTCAATGTCGTTGGGCCTACCAGCAACAGGAAATCCAGATATCGGTAAAGAGAGAAAACAAAGTAACAGAAAGGTAAAGGTTTTATCTTCAAAATGGAAAATAAATACTCTCCTTCCCAAATTGATCATCATATAGTGGAAACTAAAATTTCTCAAATTGATCATATAACCACATGGACACAGATTTCATCGGAGTACAATCAATACAGCACGGGAGAATGTGTGCATGCTAAAGGGTGTAATTGTGCATTGTGTTTTAATCGATGCATGCATTGTGGGAGAATGTGTGCATATTGTGCATGACATCTTGATTGATGCTGTTTAAATTATCCTTGGTCTTGGTGCACAAACGGATGATCAATTTGGGATGGAGGGAGTATGATTTATGACCCCAAAACATCCAGTATTCCAATAGGAATAGACTTGAAAAGAAATATATATGTTATTTCTTGGAGCACATTTTTTTAACAGGTATATAGACTGAACAAGATCTAATTAAATCCTGGCCAAGCAGCCAAGCTAGCAACAAGACTTTGCAAAAGGGCAGAATTAAGTTCGAGAAGTTGCAAGGGTCCAGACTCCAGATCACCATTTTGCATTTTGCATGCATTTAATGCACCAGTTATTGTCTGATGAAGCGTTTCTGTAGCTATATTCTCTAATACTTTAAATATTTGAGTTGGTGGTGGTTGATAGTCAATAACTAAACATGAATCGAATTCCACTGCAATAGATGGGCACATTTCAAGCTCACCAATAAAACAGAGCTATGGAGAAAAAAGAGCCAGTATAACAGGTATTCTACCAGAGGAAGTGAAGCATTCATTTAGCCTTTAAAAATTCTTGAAACGACACATTCATTTCTAAAACTAATACTAAGTATATATAAGCCTGACAACTTACAATTCAATAGCAAGAAAAGTAGATCCACAGAATGCTTCTTAACAAGCAATCCATTTTCCTTCTGCAACAGTTGATGCAATTTTTCCATTACAGAAGTAAATCCGAATCTGAAAGTAGCAGCACATTATCATTAGCGTAAAGCATTGCAACCGATTAAAGAAAGAAATAATACTCATGTGATTGCTTACTTTTCCCGCTCCACTTTGGGATCACTTGTCCTTGCAATGATAATCATTATAGATAATGCATCAACACGAATATTCTCCTCCGAATGCCTGTCCGCAATTTGTAGCATTGCAGTGAAGAGTGAAGTCCAGACTGTAAAAGGAAGCTGTGTGTTTTCAGTGTGAAGCCCATCATGGCTTCTTGATAGACTCGATGCATCAGGTGTATTCAGCGAAGTGGAGCTACCTTTGTGACTGTTCCGCTCCATGTGAACAGTATTGTTAACACATGGCTCAATAGAAACATTATTCCTGATGTTACACTGAGGAAAATCGTATTAAAGTTCATAAGCATGAGAACCTATCATTATAAACAAGGAAAAAATAATGAACAATCGTATTATTGTATATACCCACGTTCTTGTTGTATTGCTGCCTATGTCAAATACTTGGTTGATTACAAGGCATCTACAAAATAAAAACCCACCCCACCCAATTCTCTCAGAAATAACAAATACAATGGAACAGAAAACAAAGACAATTCACCGTGCTAAATCAATATCAATATCTATTAATATTTCTCAACATTTATCTGATACTACTTTATTTCTACTATGCAGTGATTGATTGCTCAGCCTGGATGAAGATAGCAGCCCACAAAAATTGCTCGAAGCACAGCTGGTCAGTTAACAACTATACCTTCCAAGGCATGCACATTGTAAGAATCAAACTCTAGTTTTGCCAACAATTAGGCTAACTGATTTAGTGACACTAAGGTGATACTGCCAGATTTGTATTTAAATGTACTTTCATTTTCTCATGATTTTAGAATTAAAAGATAGCATTTTCCAAGAGAGATTTATGGTCAAAGTTCAATTCAAGCAATACAAAACTGAACTGACTGGTAGGTTACAGAAGAGAACATTGGTAAGGTATTGAATGCAATAGTAGCTGCTATTCTATAAGATAAGGTTGGCTGGTCAATATCTGAGTTCAGTGACGAATCCAATTATGAAATACACTTCCATGGTAACTAGAACCATATTCAATGTAGTAGTAAAGCATACCTCTGATTAGACATCGTTCTGTTATTCAGCAAGTGCTGCAAGACACTATGTAACATCCGCAGGGCTCTACTAACAACAGCATCCTGAAAAAAAAACAGTAGGTAAAAATGATAATTAAGTCCAAGGAATAAGAGTAATTGCCTAATTGGAAAATTGACTGGTTCAATTCAGCATCCACAACACACACACACACACACTACAGAAAAACAACCATGACAATAGATCACAAATAAAAGCCTACTTCAGCTTAGATAGTTACTGTATGTCCAACAAACTCAACCTAAAGTTACTGTATGTCCAACAAACTCAACCTAAAGCCATGTAAGTTTGCATGTGAGAAGCTATTGTTACTAGTTCTTCAAATAAATCAGCAAGCTAACTGATTCTCAGCCGGCTAGATATTTCCACAAGTATATGATGAAACTTGGTTTGAAACTGATCTGAGTAATTCTGACTTCCTTGCATAATAGGAAGCACTAAAATTGGGTTGTCCCGAATGCCGCATCTATTTTTTCTAGACCTAGTGGGGAAGCCCATAATCATAGACCTGAGAAATGTACTACAAATGGTAATGCAATGTAAATGACTATATAAGCATGTAAATGAAGTTGGATAATCAGTTCATACATTACCAACAGCAGCCAAATTTAGCAATGCTTCGAGAAGAGTTTGTATAGGTATTGTATCACTGCTCGTCTGCAGGGACAAAACAGATAATTTGACAATGTGAAACATTAATTCAAATAAAATAGAGTAACATGGAATGAAAAACTAAAAGTAAAGTAGAGAACACTCTAACTACAGTATATGGAGATGAATGCATTGTCCCTATTCAATGTTGAAATCTAGTGCAGACTACAGAGAAGATAGTCCGTTCAAGCTGAAGTTTTTGCCTTGATTAGTAAAAGTTCAAATTCCACAAAATAGATGGTCAGTTCAAGCTGAAGCAGAGGAAAATTAAAAATAAATGTATATTTTCTATCTTTGGCATGTCTATTACCTTTATGATGATATCATATACTTGGGAAATAGCATTTCTGACCGATGAGCTCGCTTCAGAAGAGGCTTCACACTTGTCTAGCGATCCCGTAGACTGGACAAGTGTCAAAATTTCTTCTGAGCAAGAAACCAGGATCTTTGATATCAGACTCCTCCCCATCAAACTGTTAGTTGGCATGCCCCACACTGCACACAGATTGCTAGAGATACGGTCAACCAATACTTTCTTGTGCTCAAGATATTCGTTATTCCCTGGAAGATCTGTCTGAACCCCTACAGTCTTGATTTCCTTGTGTTTGCTGCCTTTTGATTCAAAGCGAACACTTTCCTAGCAATCACAGCAGAATAGATCACTAATGGAATATGCTAGCACCATATAATAGAAAGCAATGTGCCCAGGCAAGACAAGCTACCTCCAAGACCTCAGATGCATATGTTTGATTCCTTTGGTTCAAACAGAGACCGTCTTGAGGGGAACTGAGCTCCTTGTTTCTACCATTTAATGTCTCTGCTCTTCTCGTGGATGCCAAGCAAGAATCCCCAGTATGCAAAGCCCCATTTGCAGGGGCATGAACAGACTGATCAATATCCATAGCCATACTGCCGGCATATTTGTTAGCAGAACCCCTGAATACACAAAAAGGGATGTCAATGATATTGAGCATGCACTCAAATACAGTAGCCATGGCACATGTCAATTAACGGTTCAAGGAGAACTATTTCATTTCAATTCAAATTGTTCTCATTCAGATAGCATGCATGGCTAAATCATGAGCGATTCCAGGACATGATGAGACAAGACCATGGGTTACTAAATACAGCACTAGAGTGTCACTTACACATTTGCCCTTCTCAAACTTTGAATCTCTGCTTCTTTAGCCTTGATTTCAAGGTCTTTCCTTGTCCTGTCTTTCTTCAGCTCACTGCATTCGTTTTTCTGCATTCGAAATTGAAACAAACTCATCTCTAGTTGATCATACCGGTTAACTTAAATCTGCATTGATCATTTCATCTGTTCACAACATCACATTGTATAGTAGTCAAGTAAGTTCAAATATCCCAGCGCCCCCCCCCCCCCAATTGTATTAGGCAAGTCCTCATTTGAAAGCAGACTCAAACTAGAGCAAAATGCACTAGCTCTGCGCAGCATTAGAGCACAACAGAATCATCTAGTGAGATACGCACCACGTCGTTCATTTGCTTCGAGACACGATTCAGCTCCCTCTGCAGAAGCAAACAAGTATTTCAGATCACAAGCATTAGGAGGAGCACAGGCAAGCGAAGCATCCAAACGAGCATATGTTTACACCGCACGCGCCAATGCGCCATCGCAAACCTCACCTTGAGCCTCTCGACCTCCCTCCGATCAGCCGCCTCCCTGGCATCCCTCTCCCTCCGCGCGCCCCCGCCCCCGCCCCCTCTGAAGCGATCAGCACCGGCGATGCCCGACGACACCGCGACGATCTCGCGGCTGCTCACCTCCGCCGCCGGGCGCTGCGAGAGCTCGCGCGGAGGGGAGAAGTCACGGAGCCCGACGTCGAATCCCTGCGGATGCTGGGAGAGCTCGCGGGGAGGCAAGAAGTGAACAGGGGCGGCGGAGAAGACATGGGGCCCGGGGGTGATGTAGGAGAGCGGAAGCGCGGCGGCGGCGGCGGAGGAGGAAGGGTACGATGAGGTGGAGGGCGGCGGGAGGTAGGAGATGAGGTCGGGAGGAGGAGGAGGGGGAGGGGGAGTGGGGTTAGGGTTGCGGGAGGCGACGGCCTCGTCCTGGGCGCGGAAGAGCTCGGCGAGGAACTTGTCGTCGTCCCACTCGTCGTCGAGGCCGTCCATCCCCCTCGCGGCGCACCGCGCCTCACCGGCGGCGGCGGCGGCGGCGGCGCGAGGTGAGAGAGAGAAAGAGGGGAAGTGGGAGAGGGTGGGTGGGGTCGATGAAGAGGACGGGAGTGCGGGGTTTTGGGCTGCATTTAATAGCTCCCCACCACCTTTGACGTTGGTTTCTCTCATTTATCCTTCGGATAAACCATTCTTAGTACTCCCTCCGTCGTATTATAAATTGTTTAATTTTTTTAATAAAATTTTGATAAGTTTAATCAAGTTTATAAAAAAATTTAACAATATCTAAAATATAAAATTAGTTTTATTAAATCTTGCATTGAATATAATTTGATAATATGTATGTTTTGTATTGAAATTAATAGTATATTTTTTCATAAATTTGGTCAAAAACTTAAAGAGAAATTTAACTAGGAAAAAGAGACAAACAACTTATAATATGAAATTAAGGGAGTGCAAAATAACAAGAAAGTTAACAAGGTGATGAAGGGCAATTTTCCTAATGATTAGATAAACTCAACGTGAAATAATTTTGAGGAGAAATTTTGGATTTTCTTTCTGTGATCGACCTTGCAAAGCCTAACATTATTTGATGAACACACAATACTTATCAAATCCAAAAGATGAAGAGGACTCGGGCTCCGATTGTTTGAGTTACGGCTGATAATTCATAAAAATATGAATGAAGCAATCAAAATTAATTTATACGCAAAACCTTCATATCTATGTTTTATTTAAAAGCTAATGTTGGAAAATAACTGATAAACCCCCCCCCCCAAAAAAAAAAAAAATCAACTCTAAAATTTATCAACGGAAGAGGCAAGAACTGACTGAGCACATGCTCTATTTATCCAATCCAAAACAAGGCATTCAGAACTACTACATGTCACTATGTCAGAATCAGCCTATAGCACGATCACCATTAGAATCTTTTCCAATGATCAACAGAACGAAAACTTCTCTGTCACTTACAGAGCAAGAACAAGGTAGAATAAAAACCGCACCACTATATGCCTGTAACAACAGAAGAACCTATCTGAATCCTGAATCCAGCTCCATCTATCAGACTAGCACAACTATAGTTTCTTGTTTCTGTATGACGAATCTGTTGGTGTATCTTATCTTCTCTAGCTAACCACCCATGATCTGCCTGATGGCTGCACGCTGTGAAGATGACAGCCTCGTCGGGAAGGTCACATCAAACTTGATCTTCAGGTTCCCCTTCTTCCCCGGTTCCTTCCTGATCGGCCACCCTTCGTTCGCGAGCACAATCTCATGCCCAGGACGCACGACTTCCTCCACCCTGATGGGAAGATTCCTGCCGTCAAGGGTCTTCAGATGTATGGTTGTCCCAGCAAGAGCATCCACGAGAGGGATCACCTGGGTTGCTACAAGATTGTTCCCTTCCAGGAGGTACACATCGTGGGGCTTCAGATCGATGACGAAGGTGAGGTCTTGTGGCAACTGACCAGATAGCCTATCGCCTTTGTTGGGAAATGTTATCTTTGTTCCCTTTTTCCAGCCGGGCAACACTTCAACAGGTAAGACCTCTGTCTCGATTTCTACCTTTCTGCACAAGATTAGACAGTAGAGAAGCAAAATGCTTCAGTAAACCTATTATCAGGATTAATATCTCAAGCTATGCAATGCTGCAAAGCAAGAGGAAAAAGTTTTCTCATTGCATCAATTGTGAAAGTATAAAAAGCGAAAGTAACAAATCAATACATATCCTTGCATTGCCTATGCTCTTCTTGGTTAAAAACAGGGAAACTTCGACATATGAAGCTAACTCAAGAAGCGCAGAATTAAATTGTAAAGCTAGGACACCAAGTATGCTGCCAGTTATGGCATGGTTTTATCCTCCAGAAACTGTTTTCCTATCAATTATCAAACCACATTGTGTAGTGAGCAGTAACCAGGATTATCAAGATTAAGAATTAACAGAATTCGGGCAACCATTAGCCATGCCAATGCCACCAACAAACTCTTTAGTTGTAACTTATCTGGATTCCATTTTTGGAATTGTTAGCAGATCCAAACGAAGGTAATAACCTAATATGCAACCAAACCAACAGAGTATGGAGTATGGACTGCTCACTGACACAAACGTGTGGTGAAAAATTGTCAAATATAACAAATTGTTTTGTGTTCACAAGTAACTGTAAAATGTTGTTCCATACACAAAATAGGTGCCAGGCACAGGTGCTCAAATTCAACACCATATAAATACGTTGGAGCATAAGCCTTGAATGACTAATTAATTAGAACCTAAATGCAGTTACATATTTCTTACAAAAATACTGGAGTTGGCTTACAGTGCAAACAGAAACTTAACAAAGAGTGTCAATAGCACAACTCCTACCATTTTGGTATATTTCAAAACCCATAATAATGCAATTACAGAATAAGACACAATATTTGAAACTTAAAATTTTTCTTACAACAAAACTATGTATAAGTTCACATACTTTAATAAAGGAAAAAGTACGAATTACCCCCTTGAACTATTGCGATAGTATGAATTGCCCCCCGAACCACAAAACCAGACATATTAAACCTCAAACTATTGAAACCGGACGAATTACCCCCCTGACTCAATCTGGAGCGGTTTTGGTCCTACGTGGCATACACGTGGCGCCGACGTGGAAATCCAATCAGCAAAATTAGGTGGTCCCACATGTCATGCTGATGTATTTTCCTTTCTTCCACTTTCCCCTCTCCATCTCTTCCAGGGCAGATAGAAAGCGGCGCGGCGGTGGCGCTCTCCAGGACGGACGGGTGAAGCGGCGACAGTGGCGACTGCGCCCTCCAGGCCGGGTGGGGGAAGCGGCGGTGTCCAGGACGGGCGGGGGAAGCGGCGGCGTCAAGGGCGGGCGGGCGAAGCGGCGGCGGCGGCGACCTGCGCATGTCTTTCTTCATCTTCTTGCCCCTTCTCTCTCCTGTTCATCTCCTGCCAACCTGCCCTGTCTCAAATCCGGCCAGCCGTAGCTCATGGAGGAGAGCAGAGTAGCAGGAGGTCTAGTGAAGTGGGAGGATGCAGAGAAGTGATTGAGGCAGGCGTCGTCCAACCACTACTGCCGTCCACCATGGAAAGGGTTACAAGCAACAGAATGGCGACGGTCAGGAGGAAAAGAAAACATCGGTGAGGTCGTAAGAAGGTCGATGGATGCACTCGTCAGTGCTCTTGCTCTGTACATCGCTCGTTCCTGCTGTAGAAGTGTTCCTCGATGGTGAGGCTGTCAGATTCGTAGCTTTCGATTTGTAGAGTGGCTGCGCGCATCAATCTCTGAACATTCTTTTTTTGAACGAATCTCTGAACTTTCTTGATGTGTAATTTCTTCAATTTCTGCAAGAGCGATTTCTGCAATTTCTTCAGATGTCATGTGTATTCGATGGTTCGATTATCTGAATTTGCCAAATGTTCTCAACCCCGCGCTTCCTCCCGGACAAATCCAACTGCTAGCCCAATACCACCACCATTGGTACCAGGCGACACGGGCAGGGGAAGCGGCGGCGATGACGACGCCCTCCAGGTCTAGCGGGGGCAGCGGCCACGACGCCCTCCAGGGCAGGCAGGGGAAGCGGCGGCGGCAGCGGATCTGCGGGACCATGCCAGCGCCGAGCGGCGGCGGGCGCGCCGGCAGCGGTAGCGGGCGCGGCGAGGAGCGGCAGCGACAGATCGCGCTCGTCGACGACCATGAGAGATTCCCTGCCGTCGACACGGCCTCGGCGCACGTCCCCCGGAGGTAATGCGGACACCGGTGAGGCCAGCTTCACCACCGTCATTCCAGTCGCTCCCGTCACCACTCGCCGCCCATCCGTGCCTATCGCCGCTCGCCCAGCTACGCCCAATGCCAACATCACAGAGAAGAAGGGGTTATATGACATGTGGGCCCTATATTACTTTTTTTTATTTTTTGCTGATTGGATTTCCACGTCGGCGCCACGTGTATGCCACGTAGAACCAAAACCGCTCCAGATTGAGTCAGGGGGGTAATTCGTCCGGTTTCAATAGTTTGAGGTTTAATATGTCTGGTTTTGTGGTTCGGGGGGGCAATTTATACTGTCGCAATAGTTCAGGGGGGTAATTCGTACTTTTTCCTTTAATAAATGTGTTCCCACATTAATGAAACTCCAATACAGTAAAAGAAAAAGTGCACAGTAAAGAGAAATCGTAGGCATACATACCCATCAGTATTTGCAACATTCCTAGTGATCTTCATCTTCCTTTTTGTTCCATTATACAATTCCTCAAGAGTGCACAGTAAGGTTTTCTCAATAGCTGGTGGTTTTTCTAGTTGACTTGTACTGGTACTGCTTTCCTTATGTGAAGCAGAAGATGCTTCACCTCTAGTGTTCCCTGCTGTCCACTGTGATCGTGGTTGGAACCGCGTTCGTTCTTGGTCGAAGGAGTAAGGTTTGTTGCTTGCCATGAACTCAGCAAAGAAATCATCAGGGTCGCTCGGATTGTACCGGAAATTACTAGGACCACTTGAGCCAGCAGCTGCGGAAGTCCGGCTCTGTGAACCAGGTGGAGGCATTCCCTTTAAGCCTTCTTCACCATATCGGTCATAGATTGCACGTTTTTCTGGATCACTTAGTACCTACAAAATCAGCCAGAGTTAATTAGAAAATAAGATATTGAAGTGAGTACACTACACCATGACCCAATATTGCATCAGAATAGGTTACATCATGCAGTATTACTATGCGTTTGACATAGTTGCAATCAGAATACAAATGAACATACACTTTTCCCTCACTTCCGTCCGTATTTTACTAGTTCAAATTTCAGATCGATGTTATGATAAACTAATTATAAGTTAGGGAAATGAACTTATGAGATGCTGGAGTAGTATAGCGCTATAGCTTGCTACTTTTCAACTGAAGTACATCCACACTTCCACAGAATTGAAACAGTCTTCTTTTGCGGTAGTACTTTGTCAGCCACTTGAATTGTCAAAAGTTACTCTTTTCCTCATGTTTCAAACAAGAGCTGGACCAAAGGTCTCATGTTGCAAATTAAAAATTTATCAAGATGGATCATAAGCACAGCAGTAAATAAAAGAAGGGCCCCTTGTAAACATGGAATGAATATTCCAAATGTGGTATCTGAGTACACTTGGAGATCCAGGTTACAACAAGCTTGAGATTAAAAGCTTTGTATAACACATCATCCACCCAAAGCTATGGTCACAGTCTTTTAGTACCACTGAACGGTTTATCTCCTTAGTTACACTACGAAAAGGCAGGTATTAAGATACCATTTTGAGGATACAAATAAAAGGAAGGTCCATCATATCTCTACTATAAATGCTCAGTTGTCCTCCTATGGTCCTAACCACGCACGCCCAAGACAAACCGCCCCCCACAAAAAACCGCCCCCATAGAAAACCAAAGAACGCTATGGACAACCATTGGTCCATAGAAAACTCAAACCGTAAAATCATTGGCCCATCTTCTCCTAGATCCCGTTAAGATGCATGGGCATGTCCCTAGTCATCATTTATTAAAACCGTTAACGCTCCATAGCCGCCTTCTGACATCAATATGGCACCACCATAGTTGCACCAAATGGTAAGTAGCTATGTTTTCTTAGCAAACTTGGGGAGCATACCCCAAAGCACATCATATCACAAGGAAAATGGATGCACAAAATTCACTTGCCTCATAGGCCTCAGTTATCTGCTTGAACTTGGCCTCAGCCTCCGCGCCGCCAGTTGGATTCTTGTCGGGGTGCCACGTCCTCGCGAGCCGCCGGTATGACTTCTTGAGGTCCTCTAATGTCGCATTGCGGTTCACCTTGAGGATATTGTAGTAGTCCATTCCCATCCTTGCTCTAACAAACTGGCAAACAAGCAATGAAAACCTATACTCCTAGAGCTTCATAAACCTAAATCCAGTGGAGGCCCAACAAATTCTGACAAGAAAGGAAAATTTTATCAATCGACCCTTCCAAAATTTACTCCAGCATGGCTGCCGAAGAATCGCAACGAGAGCTACCGAATCAGTGAAACCGATGTAAAATACCGAGATGCTCCAAACCCAGAATCAATGCCGAGCCGGATTTATGCGGTAGCGTCGAGAAATCGATGAAATCCACCAGAGCCACACCGAATTGCTCCTCCTCCGGATGGCCCTGAAACGCAGAATGCGCAGACACACACGATGAGGCGCCTTGTTAGGTTACGCTGCGGTTTCGAAATGCACACACGCGATTCAGCCATCCAACGCAATCACGCACCAACCCAATCGTAGATCTCACCTCGGGTTTGGCGGCGGCGCGGCAGGTCGTGCAGGGTTTGGGTTGGGGGTTGGAGGGGCAGAGGAGCCTGCCTCGCGCCGGCGACCTCCGCCTCGATGCGCCTCGCCGACGCCGCGGACGCGGGATGACTCGGTGGTGGTGGTGCGACGAGGGGCGCAGAGGTGAGGTCTCCCGCTCCGCCGCCGCCGCCGCCGCAGCCGCCGTCCTCAGACCGGTTTGATTACACGTAATTAATTGGTTTTTTTGTTTTCAGATGGTTTTTGGTTTGTTTGAGGGAGCAACAAGGTGTTTGTGGGATTCTCCGTACTGATCGCTTTGTCGCTTGGAAACTGAGCTTTCTTTCTGGCCCTGTGGATGTTGGGAAACTTTTAGTTTTTTTTCTTTTTTTTTCTACTAGGGGTGATTTTGTTGTAATCTAAAATGTAATGTTTATGATGTTAAATACTATCTCTGTCTGAAAATACTCGTCGTTTTTAAGTTTTTTTATAGCATTTGATCATTCGTCTTATTAATTATTATTTATTTTGTTTGTGACTTAAGTACGACTTATTTTTTTTTATATTTGTACTAATCTTTTAAATAAGACAAATGGTTAAACGTTAAAAAAAAGTCAAGACAACATTGAATTTGAGATGGAGGGAGTAGTAGTAGCAGCTTCTTGGGATGGTAGTGGTAAATTTGTTTTGTGTGTGGTTTTTAATAGAGCTACAGTTCGAGACACTTAATCATATTTATTTTGTAGAGTAATATGTTTAAATACTTCCTCAGAACACAAGTTTAAGAAAATATATGAGTATGAAAAACGTATACTTTAATAAAAAAAAGTATTTTATCGAAGAATTGTAAACACGTAGGAATAATGATTATTTAGATATATCATAGGAAAATGTAAGAATTGGGTGTGAGAAAGAACAACTCAAATGAAAGTTCTCCTGAGGTTGTACACCATGCTATTTTTTCTATAAAAAAAAGAAATCTTCTTGTCTCTAGTCACTCTATAAAATATTATATGACTTTCGGTGTTCTGGCCCTTTGTTCAGAGGTTCGATAGAAAAACAAATTATATAAGCTTGCTATATTCTAAAATGGAGGAAGTGTGTTTTTATACAAACGTCAAAGGATAAAAAAATTTATTATTCCATCGTGGCTTCATCGCTAAAGTAAAAAAAATCTATCATTATTACTTCTATTAGATTTTGGGCATGTTTGGTAGAGAATGCAGTGTTGTTACGGCTACGTTGCAGCCAAACAAGGCGCATTCTCTGTTGTTGGCTTACAGATACATCTATGCAGTTGCAGGAAAAGGACAGCTGGACATGCCCTTAGTACATTTACTCTTTTAAACCATTTCAATAACAATTTCATACTCTGTTCTATCAAATTATTATAAACTACCTTACTATATTCGTATTATGTGAGAGTATTTTTCCTGTTAAGTGGATGCTTCAATGTGATTTCAAAATACTAATCTCGCAAAGATAAACTAGGATGCAGATGCAAGTAAACCATAGTTTCCTTGTACCATATATACGTAGAGTTAAAACAACAATTCACATTGGGTGTGTTCGGAGGATATTTTTTACAGCGTAGTTTAAAACTGCCGAGGCTTGCAGCGACTTTGAACGACAACGATGGCTGCCTTGCCAAGTCATTATACATTAGAGTACAAATACTCGATATCGGGAACTAATAAGGCTAATATATATCTATTTCACACTAAACTGACTAGTAAAAGTATTTAGGTTTTAGATTAAACTAGTTCTAGAAGTGTTTCAAACCAAACGGAGGAAAGAAAAACCATCAAGGCAGCAAAAAAAAAAAACATTCCATTCTGTATTCCTGCAACCGTGTGTGCTTTTTTCCTGGGTCTCGTGCCAGAAAAACCAAACTAGTACTCAAGAAAAAGAAAAAAAAAACACAGAGAATACTTGCGAGCTCCGATCTCTTCTTCTTCTTCGTGAGCTCTCACCAAACCAACCCCAACCACTGCCCTCCTCCTGCCGCGATCCACTCCTGCTCTCCAGCTCAGGGAATCCACCTCCACCCGCAGAGACCAACCAGCAGCTGTCCGTCCTCTGCGGCGGCGGCGGCGGCGGCGAGATGGGGCAAGCTCTGCGGCGGCTCTTCGACGCCTTCTTCTCCACCAGGGAGATGCGGGTACCGTGCGATCCTCACCCACATCCTCTCTCCCGCGGTTCTCCTTTGCTTCGTGTGTGGTTCTTGGCCGGAATGGGTGATTGATTCCTCCTGCCGCCCTGCCCCTGTGGCTGGGATTCTTGCCTAGGGTTTTCTTGTTGAACTTATTTATTATTATACCTAGGAGCTGAAATCTCGACTGTGCAAGAAATAGGTTGAATTTTCAGTGGTAGGTAATTAAATCGTGCTAGTGGTTAATTGGGCAACTTTTGAGTTCAAGTGGGTAAGAGAAATACTAGCACCCTAGCAGTGTACATTGGCAATGGAAGGGTTTAATTTAGTCTTGCCAACTCAGTTAATTTTGCAAAGGATGATTATGACATCGGCGAATTTGTTATGTGATCAATTTTAAGAGAACGGGGCTTTTGCCTTACAAGTTCTTCTAATCCACAGCACTTATGAAATTCAGAAAATGGACCGGTTACTCGGCTTCTTAACTAAACCTATGGCAACCAGGATGCATCATCTCATCAAGTGTATCCATAGCATTAGGCTCCGCATCCCTGTCTATTTAACTTGTGAAGTTGGAGATTATTTGAATGTTACATGTTTTTCGCTGATAGTGTGATTGACCTCTTGAAGGTTGTGATGCTTGGTTTGGATGCAGCTGGCAAGACAACAATTTTGTATAGGCTGCACATGGGAGAAGTTCTTTCAACGGTTCCTACAGTAGGTACGTGGCTCAAGCTCAATGACTCATCTAACGCATCGTTTTTAATGTACTTATTTATGTATCGTATTAAATGATCGTAGATTGCCATGCAGACTATTGCAGTACTTGACACTTAGCTTCAGCTTATATGGGCAATAAAAGTACATGTCCGTTTTTTGGGTGGTTGAAGGGATCCATGATATGATTTTCCTGCTAAGTACAGGGTCGACACTCAACAGTCAGAAATAAACCGAAAAACATGACCGACGATATTTGGTTAATCAGTGTACAGGGCATGCTTGGCAGGCATAACTGTTCTTGTGGAATTGATTTGGAAACTTTAAGCTTACAACTGATTGTTTAAAAAATTAATTACTTCAAATCATGTATATTTCCAAGAAAGAAAGTGCAATATGATAGAAGCTGGAAACTGGCTTGACGTTTCTTGATAAGGTATTAGTTTGTAGTACCTCCTGGTACCTTGGCATAGAAGATACTGAGAGGTGCCAAAGATTTACACTAAAAAGTATATTCTTGAGGATTGTAAAAAAACAAGGTTATAAAAGCCTATATATTGTTATTTTAATGAGAAGCCTTGCTATGATTTTGGACATCAAACTTGATACAATAAATATGGTCACTCTATGTGATTATTAGACAACCTTATATGTACCTTTCCTCTACAGTTTGGGCTTTGGGCAGTAAAGATGGAAAACTTATGTAACAAAAATACATTGTTGGATTTGGTTTCCTCGTTATGTGGGTGGTACTTTTTTCCTTTCAAATCACGTATCACTCAAGACAGCTTTTCCTCAATCCAATTGAGGAAGTAGCACAGATTTGTTTACTTTTTTTCAGTCGTTTATAATAAATTATATAATTCTATACCTCATAATTCATTGATGTGCTCGACTTTTTCCCAATCATTGATCTCATGTCTATATCCAATAATACCATGTACCCTCTGCAGGTTTTAACGTAGAGAAGGTTCAGTACAAGAATGTGGTATTTACTGTGTGGGATGTTGGCGGACAAGAAAAGCTCAGGCCATTATGGAAGATGTACCTCAGCAATTCTGATGCACTGGTAATAACTAGTAGATTGAATTTATATACACATGTTGATATTTAGCTTGGCACCTTGTCATTCCGCCCTGTTATAGTGCCTTTAGTACTTTCCCAAGTCTTGGTTTGATATTGTCATGCACATATTGTTTGTTTTCAGTTCAGGTTGATATCATATATTAGCACCTTTTGCAAATTTTTTTCTTGTCGTTGAATGTGTCCCTAAAGCCTTTCAGTTTTTAGGTGAAGTTTGTAAATCGATATGAATGACGTAAGCGAGGAGCGTCTAGTCTTCTTTATAAGGACATCTCTTTAGCTAATTCGATTAGGTGTTTCATGACAATTCCAATTGCTATATGCATCATATGCATATCTTTTGCTGCTGAAGTTAAGGATGTCTTTCTGCTTTCAATTTGTTGTTTTTTCAGATACATTATTGAAGCCATACATTTCTGTCATATTTATGAAATTTGTTGCTTTCAATTTGTTGTAGATCTACGTTGTTGATTCATTGGACAGAGAAAGGATTATAGACGCCAGACAAGAATTTCAGGTTAGAATTATATTATCTCTGTCATTGTAGTAGTTCCTGTCTCCCCAAATTATGTTGGCTGAGAATATGGGATCCTACTAACTTGGTATTCCTTTACCCTTTTCAGACCATTATCAAGGACCCACTGATGGCAAACAGCATAATCTTAGTATTTGCAAACAAACAGGACCTGGTAAGTTAAACCAAGAATTTGAATAACTAATGATTAATTGCTTGCCTGTTCATGACCTCATTTACACACCTTTTAAAATTACTGTGTCGCGTGTTCATTCTTTTTACCAGCTTGTCTGTTATTATGTTCAGTATCGTCTTTGTTTATCATGTGCAGTCTTTTTTATTATATATAGATCTCCTTACAAAATTCTCCATTTCTTTTTGTATGATGTTGGTTAGTTCAATTTACATTATGAGATGGGGGTAGTATGACTCTATCTGCTACATATTGGACTAAAGATCTGAGTTACTTTCAACAATACACGGTGTTGATCGTGCTGTCAGGGATTTTGTACTCTGATGAGGCTTTAGCTTAGAAATATCAATTCTTTATGTTCCATATTGCTAACTGGAAATCAATGTGTAGATCTGTTCCACTGTTGAAGCCATACATTTCCATCAGATTTATGAAATTGTCAAATATAAGAGTGGTACTTATAGACTAAAATATTATCTTCACACAGAGAGGTGCGATGAGCCCAGATGAGGTGAGCGAGGGGCTAGGCCTGCACGACCTCAGGAACAGGATATGGCATATACAAGGGACATGCGCTCTCCGTGGTGAGGGACTCTACGATGGACTTGATTGGCTCGCATCCACCCTGAAGCAATTGCAAGAGACAGGCCATGCAACTTCAGTCGCCGGCCCTTCCATCTGATTTCGCTAGAGAAGGTATTGTCTCACTTTGAGTGCTGACCTTTTTTTTTTCCTCATGTTCTCTTTCTTGCACCTGACATAGTTACCACTTACACTACCTGTTCTGTTCCCCCCAGAGATGCCAATGCCTCAACTAGTCAACCAATCTGATGCTCCTGGGCAGTCATCCTTCTGTTCATCCAATGAGAATATTGAGTTCCTTGGTGCATGCGTGATCTTCGCTATCGGCTTTCTTGGTGTGGCTGCTCGCAGAGGAGGGCATTCAATCGCTGTGTTCATATGAGCAAACTCATTTGACAGTAACTTGCGGCATAATTTTCTCCTAAAATGTTTGTAAAGTGTTTGGACGTCTGTGTACTTTGTTGTAGTGAACAAGAGCTGAGTAGTTTGCACGGACCGTGCTTGTGTATACTTGATGGCACGTCCACATGATTGTTTGCTGATTGCCTATCAATAAGACGGTTGGATGATGGATGTTGTTTGGTGATATATAAACTGGGCTTTGGCTGAATGTTCCTCCTTATGATTGTTCACAAGTTCAGAGATTGTTACGTTGGTAGAAGATATGCAAAGAAAAGAAAAGAAAAGAAAAGAGAGTGATGTAGGTATCCTTTGCGGCATGGGCAGGAATGTTCAGAATTAGTTACATTTAGTAATGTTCCGCAGAAAATATAGCATATAAAAAGAAAAGAAAAAAAAAAGGAGCGGTGTAGTAGGCTACTAGCCTTTATAACATGGGTAGATGCAGTTTGAGAAATGGTAGGGAGAAAAAAAAAACAAAAAAAATTGAACGACGCCTGAGAGATTCGAACTCTCGCGGGGAAACCCCATGTACTTAGCAGGCACACGCCTTAACCACTCGGCCAAAGCGTCGTTGTTGAATGCGGATACAGTGTAGAAACAGTTATAATTTTTTGTCAGAACCTTTCATACTCCAAAAATACCTACGTCAGCGTTGGGACCCACTGTCATCCTCACTATTTAGCGGTAGTACAACTTTTTGTCTGCCTTGGTTTCATCGGTAGCCACGTGGCTTACTCGCTATAGGCCGAAAGGCCCACATACGATTGGGCCTCTTAGGCCATTCCCAACCCAATGACTAGGATAGTGTCCATAATATTAAATAAACTGTCACATAAAATAAAAAATGATGTGACAAGTGAATAAATGAGGAAAGAGAAGGAAACCATGTCAGAGACATAGTTTCTACACAACATCCAAAACATCATTTGAGATAAATATCATTAAATTTAAGTATGAAATAGTGGTGTTTGCATTAAAAAAGTAGTGTCTAGTACTAGTTTCTTTGATAATGTGGAGTTTATGAAAACTATGTCTAGTGTTTTAGGTTGGGGATGCCCTTAGTCCACGGCCCACCTCGAGACCATGCTTGTCTGCCTGAGGTTTCGTTTCATTTTAGGGAGAAGCACAGCTTCAACAGCCAGACATCTCCACAGAATTCAGAACAAAAAAATTTCATCCTAGTAAAGATTTCCCCTTCCCTTCCGTAAGTTCATTTCCATCGTGTTAATAAATCAGGTTCCAAGTTCAACACATGCTAGGCTACAGATGTGTCCTAGCCAGTCCACCATGCCGCAAATTGTATTTGTACATCAATGCACAACAAGTCTCCCCATTTTTCTCCTCTCCCAGCACATCACAATGTGCTATCAGCGTGGAATCATCAATGGGGAGATCTTGGCATTTGCTATCAGTCTCAGTAGCACTGCTGCTGCATCGTTCACGTCATTGCTCCTTCCAGATGCGGCCGGTAACCCGCAGCTTGAGCTCCTGCCTGTTGCCGCCGGAGAAGAAGAGGGCCATGTTCCGGTGGATGATGAGGCCGTCGAAGCTGTCCCGGACCTTCTTGTGGCTGTCCCTGATGCTCCGGGGGATGCCCTGCCATGTCAGCTTCCGCCCGTTCCCGCCCACCTCCAGGCTGTAGCAGAAGTTCCGGGCCTCGCTGTCCTCGCCCATGAACCTCAGGAACGCCATGTACACTGGTGCCATCCCCAGCAGGAATGCCTCAAAATGCAGGCAGAAGTGCTGTCCAAAACACTTGAAAACCTGCATGGCAACAGAACATAGGGGAAAACACATCAATATACCTGATATAGACTTAACCGAGAACCAATAATAGCTGATTTCAAAAAAGATGGTAATATGATCGCACCCCAGAATGAAAAAAATATATATATGCAGATTGCTTGTTATGCAAATTCTATCCTAACCAGCATGACACCTATGTTTGAGAATGAATGGCTAGACAAATTCTCTTTACATATCTGAGAAAAAAAATGCATTGGGGTACCACTTACCGTCAGCATCCATGTAGCGTTTTCCACTTCATAAGGGTTGGACTTCACATAACGGTGGTTAAAGGTGCAGCCTTCATGCAAGTCCACCTTATGGTCGTTTATGAGATGAGAGACAAGCATCGGAACATCGCCAGCAATCAGGCATTCTGAACCTGCATATGGACAACTATATGGCCTGAACCTGCAGAGCTCCTCATGCTTAAGTTTGTTTTGGTAAGGATGAATCTCAGCACAGCCTAGGCTTTGATATTTGCATGGAAGCTGAAGTGACTCAGCCACCTTCTCAAGAGCCAAACATCTGATATTACCCAGTTCTTGGCGACAAGTAGGGCAATGATTCTCCACCCTATGCTTGCAGTTAGAGCATATTGTGTGACCATTTGGGCACTGCAAGAGGAACACAAATGAATCAATTGATTATTACCTTTCTTACTTTGTGTGTTCACTTTTCAGTTCACAGAAGTCGTTCCAAATATCATGATCCAAGAAATATAACACCAGTGCTACGAAAGTTATGCAATAACGCCTACAGTTCATTCAATTCGAATGAAAGACCAGAGGTGGAGGCATTTACAAAGTTGAATTGAATGATCACAACAAACTTACACAACTCATCTGGCAAAGAAAGGTAAAATAAAGTACAAACAGCATTATATACACAGGTGGAGGGAGCTTGCATACAAGAAAAACTAATAATCGCTTTCATGAAAACACAGAAAAGTCGTGCAACTGTTGAGAGTAGACAACATGCCAATGTTAAAGAATGCATTGCTATTCTTTCCTGGACAGAGTTTTTTTTTTATCAAAAGGGTGGTACCCCTCCATTTCTATGAGCAGAAATGTGAAAGTTTCCTGGACAGATGAAGTCTTGAACATTCACAGATCACTTTGAAGATCATGAACCCAGTATTGTAAGGACAGGGACAATAAGCACAAAACAATTGAGTTACATGTGCAATGTAAAACTTGTCAATGATTAGAACATAGAAATTAAAGAACATGCACTATTATACTAACAAACGGCTGAGTTTATTGTGAAAACAGGACAAAGCAGTCAATACTTGTCTTCGAATGAAAGAACAGGTAAACTTCACCAACACAACATTCAAATAACAACAAATCCAATGACAACTTACATGTCCTAACTTGGTGTATGTGCAACACATATACCTTGTATACAAAATATATTCAAAGTAAAATGTCAAAAGTGGTGGGACCAGTAAAGCTTTCTAGACTGATCCCACTTAAATATCCAATAGAGCTAGATGAAAACTAGCAACTACATTTTTCTCAGGATGAAATGTGCAATTATGTAGATGGAAATAATCAAATAATCAGCTGCCTCTGAAGGATCATAAAGAGAAGAAGATATCATCAGTACGCAAACCTGCAGTATAGGTGGGCGCATTGAGTTTGTGCAGACTGGACACTCGAGCAAATCATTCAAGCCCGTCAGCGATGATAGCTCAACTGTGACAAGTGATGTAGACCAGGGCTTGCATGTAGAATCTCCATCAAGCCTAATGCCAGTGAGTGCCTCAGAGAGCCCATCAGATACACAATCCGACTCAGGGATATCGGTCACAATGCTGCTTCCTGGGGCCATTGCAAAAGCTTCTTTCACATTGGGAAACACTACAAAATATCACCACACCCACCACTCCATCCTTCCTTGTAATTAGCTGCATTGTTCAGTTAGAGGTATATTAGTTGAGATTACGGAGAAAGTACTCAGTTTTTACACAAAGAAGGCAGTTATACATGACAAAATTAAGATGCTGCACGAATGAATTGACAATTTTCAATTTAAGAGCTTCATGAAGTCTACATCATAGTTCTTCATTGCATATTAAGGTAAAATTTACTGTCTAACCTACTACTAATTGCTAACTGCCATCACCAACAGCACAATCCAACTACACACATAACTCTGTTCAGAGCAAAAGTACAACTAAACTCAGTCAAATAAAGACCACCTATTCCGGTGAACCTGATCCACAAAACTATATAGCTATAGAGCATGAACACATTATTAATGCTATCTACTTCGTCCAATCTAACATTTGGATGCACAGAAACAATCAACATTCTCAAGAAACAGTAGAACTGCTCACTTGCTCAGTTCGTCTCCCCAAGCATCTTATTTCTGCTTCAAGATTCACTGGCTTAGTGCATAGAAGTTACTAGAATCCTATCAGAAATCAAATTCACTCTCAATCAAACAACTTGCTGCCCCCTCACTGTCACCCAACCTCAAAATTGGGCTCGGAATTTTCCCCTGGACCGCGCAAAATTTTGCCCCTCTCACTCCCTTTACAACAAAAAAAACAAGAGTCCCTTTTCTCCCTTGAAGACTTGCATCTGCAGCATGGTCGAATCTGCATAAACAAACGGCTCTCGGCGGGATCCTACCGTTACCAGAACTGGAATCTACATCAGTTCATCCCTCGAATCAAATCCTTCCAACGAAATGCCGGTTGCACAGCAGCTCGACCAAACCGCGCAAACGCTTCCTCTTTTGCATCAGATCATCTCCAGTCGTCCTCGCAGCGTCAGCTATGAATCGCCTCACACACACCAAAAAAAAAAAAAGGAAAATCCAGCGAGCGGAATCGCTCCATTTCACACCAATTACTCCCCCCATTCCCCATCAATCTCGCCCATGCGCCACCGGATCACCGAAACGGCGGAACACACACCCACCCTCCTCCAAAATCAACCACGAATTGGCGAATTCGAACCGCAATAGAACGCCCTCAAAATCCCCGTCTCGAACAAACGGGGTGCGACCAATTCAAACCAAATCACACAACCAAAAAAATATTTAAAAAAACAATCTAACACGCGTCTCCATCGAGTACACGGAACATTCCGTCGGTCCGGTCAAGCCGCTCACCTGGAGACCGGAGACGCCGCCGCCGCCGCGAATCGGAGAGGAGAGAGACGACGACGCAGACACAGTAGCAGAGTGGAGTAGAGAGAGAGTACTACTAGTATTTTTTTTCTTTTCTTTATTTTTTTATTTACTCCTTTTATTATTTTTTATTCCGCGTTTCCTCTTTTGGTGTCTTCGCGGAGGCAGGGGGATCTGGAATTTTCCGCCTTCCACGGCGGCCGGCCCACCTCCCCACACGCCCGGTGCACGGTGGACCTAATGGGCCGGTGGCCCAGTGGGGCCCAAGAGTCAGGGGTGGGTGGGTCTATGGACGCGGTGTATGGAGTGGGGTGAGGAGGTGTGTGTGAGAGAGAAAGAGGCCGTGGTGGGCCCGAGATGGCGGTGGTCCAGTTGGGTCGGGGTGAGACCTGTCGGGAGGTGGGCCCGGATAGGCGGTGGCAGAGGCCGGAAGTCCGGAACGCCATCAAGACGTTGCATGTATGTACAGTACAGCTTGTCTGCTTTCGTATATAGAGAAATTTTAAGGTCTTAAAAAATGTTTCAGGAGGTATCTAAATTTTTCACTGATATTTTTAATATCTTAAGCTACATAAAGTCTGGAGTTATCAAATTTCACACTAAGCATCTCCTGATACCATTTCAAAAATGATAAAATTACCCTAGCATATATGTAGAGCACCATGGTCATATCACGGACACGATCGACATTTCATTCGTTTTTGGGCCTGTTCGGTGGCATTGGCTGCTACAGCCACTGTATCTATGTAGCTATAGTGGCTGCGGTAGCCAGCCAACACCAGCTGTATTTTGTAGGGGCTGCAGGGGAGTGGTTTTTTCTGCAGGGGTTGAAGCCGTTTCCACAGCTGAACGGCTGGGTTGTGAAGCACAGCTCAAACAGCTGTGAAAACGGGCTACCGAACATGCCCTTTATCTAGTTAGTTGAGTGTGCAGGTAATAAGTTGTACCCAAAGTCTCCATCGACAATTTTGGTCATTATATTATAGCTCGATTATACTCCAACCAAAATTAGTTATATAGGAATTTCGGTCGGAGTACATCGAGTTATTCCAGTTGCACTACGTGGTAGCCTGGTAGGGCTTGAGACAGAGGAAATTTGACACGTACAAATACCGTTGGCAACTGTGCCATATTTCTACGCTGTGGCATATCTCCAATCCAATACTCTACTCTACTTGTTAATAATAGACATTGTTTAATGAATGCTGCTATACAACTCATATATAATTAGAGACATATAACTATAGATCAATTGAAGGAGAGTATATTTATATGCACTGCAGCCGTTTATAACCGTTGATCGAATTCGGTCATACATAAATCAAACACTTGGATCGTATGCAAAGCAATTTCCATTCCAAAATTTCAAGTGTACTGGGCTTAGGAGACATGCAAGCATGGGCCGTCCGTTGAGCAATGCCATTGTTTTATTTGGACCGGAACACAATAGCGACCGGTGAAGTCGTGGGCCGTATAGACATTGCATGTACAATATCAATGGCTAGACTACAGGGGCTACATTAGCAGTTGTCCCTGTACTTTGCACATGTCATGGTCCTATATATACATACAGCACCATGGTCATATAATGGAGACATTTTATTTATTTTCACCCTAATATGTAGAGTGTGGTAGCATAAGCTATAAACTGAATCCCCGTCATGATCGAGTGCCAGTTGAGCTTGACATGATATTTTGCCTTTCTATTATACTCCAGTAAACATTATGTATAAATGCCGATCGATGATAATATGCATCAAAATCCCCCAATTTCACCATATGCTAGGGCTTAGGAGGCACAGGGAATATGACATGCACATATACGGTAAGTAGTTCTTCCATCTTGTACCATTTTCGCCTCCTTTATTGCCCACTGCATGCATCTCTCACTCCTATGGGTACTAAACTTGTCATCTTCTCAACGTGTCTGAAGAGTGACACAGCTTCAATTTCCAGTATACTGTTTATCTTTCTTTGTGTTTAATTGAGGGATCATTTGCGAGGAAGACATGCATGTGAGAAAGGGTTTTTCGGCTAGCTCCACAAGCTGAGTTAGCCGGTCTGGATTCGAAGTCTCACCCCTTCTAAGAGTTAGGGTTACTACTATTTTATCAGTTCACTTAATTTTTGCTAAAAAGAAAAGGATCTGACAAGCACAAGCCTCATGCATCATGCAATTTATCTAGTACTCTGACCGTACAAAACATAAGGAATTTTAGATGATAGAACATACCACAGTACTACGAATATGGACAGATAATATATCTAGATTATAATGATAGGATGTGTTCTATCCATCCAAAATTTCTTATATTTTAGGAGTACAGAGTACTATCGCTGTCTCTTCACAAAATTTAAGACCAAAGAGAGGCATGCAGTTGATCAAATTTAACTACCAACTACCTACTGCTAGCTCATAAACACACCACACATATATATGTAGATACATTGAGAGAGAGATCATCGAGATGGACGTTACAGTAGATCGTTGGAGGTGCAAACAAGCAGTGAGACCGGCCACCACTGCACATACATACATGGGTCGGCACTAACACACAAGTTCAGGCACTTTCCATGTAATCTTGGTAGGCTTCGGAGGCATCAGGAATCGATGATGCGTGAAATTATGTCGTTGGGGTTAGAGCCTACGCTCGATCGTCGCTGATAGTTTGAACATATGCACGAACATCAACGATAACAGAATCCCTACCTAGTCTTGATGGACCATTAGAAAATGACGTTGAATTACCGTGTGATACTTCCTCTATCTAAGGCGTGCATATATTCCAAGATTCAACTTTAAAAACATTTGACCAACAATTATTATAATATAATATAAATTTTATTTGCTAAAATTAATATCATTGGATTGAAATTTAAATTTACTTTAAGATGGTTATAATTTTATTTCAATAAACCTTATACTTATAGTATATGATATTGTAAATTATAAGTCAAAGATTAGTTTTGAAAACTGTGCCAAGTTTGATCATGCCTTATATTACAAATAAACCTTAATAGTATATTAATTCTTCCTTAGCCTCCGTGGTCGTGTGTCCCCGAGCATTAGAGGCCGGCGTGCTGCCTTTTGATTTCCCGTTCAAGCTAGCCAGATGACCGGCTGCAGCGTATGTGTTAGTTGATATTGTGAAATCAGTGACCATCTTATTTACTCAGATCATGTTTGCGAGTTGAGAAGGGCGAACTGATGGTTAATTAGGAAATGTTACTACTTTTTCTTTAAAAAAATACTTCTGAATTTTTCTTAAAATCGTTGATGATCGTGGGCACTCTCTGGCCAGGTTGCGTGGATCAATGATGATCGTGACAGTGTTCATCGGTGTGTAGTGACAGCACATTTTGGACCCTACATGCAAATCAATATATTGACTGAATTTTACAGTTTTTCTTAATTTTTTGTTGAATTTGATCAAAGTTTATTCAAATCCAATCAATACCTGTTAAAATTTTTATAAAATTTCAGTCCGAAAAGTGCCGACAATAACAGAATTTCGTAAATTTTGGTCCTACCGAAAGCACCGAAATCGAAAGGGCAAACCCTCATAGTGAGTAGTGACTGGTGAGATCCTTGGGGACGGCCGGGTGTGCCAACAGCTGCGGATCATTTCAGTGTTCATCAGTTATGTCCATTAATTGCCTGTATCTTGAACCACATATCAAGGAAACAAAAAAGAGAGAGAAGAGCAGCTAACTATAGATTTGTAGCCAGCTACAGTATAAAGTGCTAGACGTAATGTGTGTATGGCATGTGGGACAAGATATCAATAGTATAGTATATGTTTATAGGTAACTATTGTATGTATTGGCTATTAAATTGATTATAGATGATTTGCAGCTATTAATTACTCCCTCCGTATTCGTAAAGGAAGTTGTTTTGGACAGCGACACGGTCTCAAAAACACAAATTTGACTTCTTGTTTCTATAAAAATATTTATTGGAAAGTGATATATGTATACTTTTATGAAAGTATTTTTCAAGACAAATCTATTCATTTAAATTTTATATTTTCAAACTCAACAACTTAAGAGTTACTCATGATTTATATTCTCAAGATTTGACTTAAACATTGTTCTAAACGACTTCCTTTATGAGTACGGAGGGAGTAGCTCTACTATTAAACTTGCTCTAAACCCGCCGTGTGTTGTGCTCGCCACGAGGCGCCGATGCTGAGGGTCACAGTGCCACGCCGCGCCGCCAACGCCGGCTGGTTTGATGATTCGATCCCATGGCAAACCCTACCACGTGAGTGCTAGCCAGCTTAGGGGGAATGCACGCACGTACTCTCTCCGTCCCAAAAAAAAAACCAACCTCGTATTAGGATGTGACATAACCGGTACAATGAATCTGGACATACTCTATGTACATATTCGTTGTACCAGAATATATCACATCCTAGTATTAGGTTGTCTTTTTTGAGACGGAGGAAGTATGTGCCTTTCCGGTGGGCTGTGCAGTGACTGGGTTGGTGCCTTTTGGGCTTTTAGTTTGGCGAGGAACCGTAATGTTTTGACCCATTGATACATACTACTACCATGCCTTCTTCACCGGCCGTCTAGCGTGTCATGATGACACATAGACACAGACACCCATAAACACGCGCGTACACACCCACCTCATGATAAGTACGAAGTAACTCCCTTTAATATGCTTTTTATGATCTTGACAAAATTAAAGAAACGAAACGGTCTTTTTAATTGCTCCCAACTAGTGCAAGTACACGTTGATTGTTGCTTGACCATAAAAGCAACAGAGAGAGAGAGAGAGAGAGAGAGAGTCATCAATCGGTAATACTACAAGATGGATGCAAGCAAGTGCGTGTGTCGATCTAGTTAGCCATGGAAGACAGCAGGAACCAGTTAGTTGTAGAAATATGAGGTCGTCTGTAGCAGCTGAGCGTAGCCACTGTATGGTGTGTGCGCTGACTTGCAGCCAAATTCCAAGCGGTGGTGCCATCTTCACTGGAGGCGCAGCTGCAAAATCTTGGTCATCATAGGCGCTATGCAACGGCTGCACAATGGATTAATACGGGAGGGGGTTCATTAATTTTTCCCCGTGCACATCAAATGTGTACTAGGTGTTCTTAATTTTCTCCTATAATGGACTTCTG